GACGGCAGTCAGACTCGGCGAAAATGATAGGGAGGGGCTCGTACCCTGGACGGTGCGTTTTACGGGAGAAGGGGCTAGCACCGACATAGAGAATGCTAGTTCTTTCGGCGAGAAACTTCCATGGACAGTCATACGGATGTTGTCAGATGATAACGGAAGGACAGGAGTCACTTGAGAGGCCCAGACTATACTATTAAAATTGATATTAAAGGAATAGATTTGAAGGGTATAGACTTGACTCATTTGACTCTGAATAGGGACAAGGGCAGGGGTGTCGTGAACAAAGTAATGAACCGTCGGGCTCCATAATAAGCGGGGAATTTCTTGACCAGCTGAGCGATTATTTTCGAGAATTCTGCAAAAAGGAGTGAGCTGCAGTGAAGGCAGATGAACGGGAACCCAATAACTCATAAAGGGGTAAGATGGAGGTGGCAGTTTCAAAAGTACAGTGGTCAGTACGTCAGGACACTGCCTAATTGAGATCTGGAGCGGCTGTGATATTTAATTTGTGTTATGTGCCTGATTTATAGATCTTAAATTGCATCAGCCAGCCCACGAGTGTACACGACTGTCCATTATTTTGTTTATGACGCGAAGCCGAATATCATGCACAAAAGAAAGCCAGTCACATGCCAGAATAGGCCTGGACTCCCGATCTAATTACATCTGAACGGTTAGGTCTCACGTACGTATCGCTCGTTAAAATTGAACATAAGGCACAGCTGCAGCGGCAAGTGTCTTCTGGAATGAGTTGCAGTGTAGTGCGTTTAGGAGGAACGTGCTGCATCCGTCTTCAGGCTACAAGATTGAGCCGAACGCAGAAAAAAGTTTCTTGACGTAGAGGATTTATTCGTTCTCGTCTGAATAACAAGCCCCTTTTCCTGCGTTCTGTTTACTCTTCTTCCCTCAATGTTGAGGCAGTACAGTCCTCCGAAACGTCGGTAACGATCGTAACGATCCACTATACTGTACGGCGCCACACCCCACAGACAGTAACCTTCAAAAGTACACCCACATGGCCGTGACTAATCTCGTCTACACAGCTGCTGCGTCAGCACGCACTTGTACATTGTCAAGGTCAAAGTGACCTTACGTGAGGCATCCGCGGTAATATGTGCGCTCCTTGTTCTGGAGTTTCACATCTCAATCCAAATGCAGCTGCTATTAGAATGACAACAGAGACCTCAACTGATACTTTTGCGGCTATGCAGGATTGTCATTTAGTTGAGTAAATGGCGTTTACCTAGACAAATAATAATCAAATGGGAAAACGTTGGATTTTAGGTTCTCACAGGTCAACCAAGAAACCATCTCTGTTTGTGGCCTGCCCCTGGCGGGTTCTTGCTTGGCTTACTCTTCGACCCTGAAGGTGGATGCGGTGCCTTCCTCCGAAACGTCAACGGACTTGTACCGGAGTACTTGGTGTTTTAACCCAGAAGACTGTACTATTCAAGTGGATATATGTTTCGCATAAACATTTATATTTCACACTTCTCGATTCATGATCACCTACTTCCGGCGTGCGATTCAAGAAGTACACGTAGGGGTTCCTAGTTAATCAACATGATCTTAAAACTAGTAGCTCGGTCCGTCCGCACTATAGGGTTGCAACATGAACCAACTTCATTCCTGGGCCGGTGCGAACACAGTTAATATACTTCAAATGATCAAATGGATTTTACGAACCGATTCCGAGCATGGACAGTAATCTTGTATGTGGGTCTACAGTACACTTTTCTCGCTAGTCGAAACTGCGAGAGAAAGCGGAAGTACATGTGGAGGTGCGTTCCGTGTAAACAGAGTATCATCCGTTGTGTAATTTTAAATGCACACATTGGGGACCCTGTCAAGGTCAAGATATAGCGAAAAGCAGTTTCTGCTAGGGTCACCTTGGACCACGTGGTTACGTAACAAGCAGCCGGGCAGCTTACGTCAGGAAGTTCTATAAATAGGCTGCACATGTTGCTTCTGGCTCGCGTACAACAGAAATAAAGGCGAATACGGGAAGGACCCTGTGTCCAAGCACCACGTCATAAGTGGTTGGATTCACGCTCCAGTCGCTTTATCCATTACGGGCCTTAGAGCCCATCTGAGAAGGGCGGTAGAGAGCAAAACATGTGCCCCTTTCGGGAATATAACCCCGACAGCCTTGTGCGCTACCAGTCACTTTACCGACAGCCATCTGGGCTCAAGAGCGGTTTACCGTTAAATCTGCATATGGACACGAATTACAGTAATTATTAAATACATAAAATGGTCTGATCTGAAATCAAGAACTGGCACAAAATGTAGAAGACTAGTTCACATGGAATTTTTCAACACGACATTAACTTTCGTACGAAGGCACCTATGAAGAAATGATTAGTAGAATGTCAAGACAATATGATATGGGCGCCTTCTCAGATGCAGTCACAACAATTTCTGACCAACGTTTGACGTTGCAATTGATCAGTTTAAGCAGTACAGTCCAGAGTAAAAAATTAATACTGCTAACTTCTAATACGAGTAGAAGCACACAAGCAAGACTTCGTAAATAACAATCAGCATGCTTTAGACATACAGCCTCAGTCTTTCATAGTAACAAGTGAATATACTGATAATTAATTACACGGTGGCGTATAGACCCGTTGCTAAGCTGCGACTCTGTAATCAGCGGCACTTGCTAAGCAACGGCGCGACAAACACGTGACCGTTCATAGGCAACAGATTCTGAATAATGTAACAGTTAGAGGCAAAAATAGAATAACTATGTTTTCTATGTGGTCCGTGCTGAGATGTTATAAGCAAGAGTCAACGTTAGTCGTGAGTTCTGTAGGGGAGGCTGTGAAGATAGAACATCTTGTATGATGGTATATACTTCATGGCTCCTGTCGGACACCAGCCTAAAGCATCGAATTAATGAAGTAGTTTTAAGTCAAGAAGAGGGCTTAGTTATCGAGGGACCGCACACTAACACTCAGCCTCATACGAAGGTAAAGACAGACTTTGTTCACAGCTCCACACAGCAACGGCCCTGCAGATTGGAGTATTCATTTCTTATCAATGAATGTACAACAAGTCCCGATAATACGACACTTCTCCGTCCTCTGGGGTTTTGGCAAGGACAGGTAAACTGTGGCCCTTAAAGAAGTTCAGCAGGCCAGTGACGTTCGGATATGCTGCAGTTAACAACAGAGGCTTTTGCTTTCTCATGATTTCGCGCTGCTGTCTGTCCTTCGTCACGTCAACACCTTCAAAAACTCATTAATAAATACAGATACCAGATACCGCTGGTTTTAGCTGTTAGTCGCGCAAACTGAACACATAATGAGGAGGTTCTATCTGTTCATCCATATTCAATCTTCGAAATGGATTTCGATAGCATTTGTTGAAGAAGGCAGTCCAGAAAGTTGCCTCAAGAATTTAATTTTCGGCCGTATAAAACTCAACTTTTTTTATTTGAAATAAGTGTCTCATCGCACTAAAAGTGTCACAGTATAGGTTTCATTATATACCAAAACAAACCACTGTATTTGAAACTTCTGCGACACACATTTAATTGAAAGCGTGATTATGCAGTGCCATCAGATCTGCAACAATAAGGAATCAACATCAGGTTCAACGCAGAATACAAAAGAAACCGCGTTTATGAAGTGCCTATACCCCAGAGCAGAGTACCCTCTTTATTCTGGTGTAGTTACCATCTGAACACCCGGAACACGTTGGGATTCCCCCTCCCCACGAGAAGGGAGTGATACGTATTTCTATAGTGTGACATAAATCCTCTTCCGTACATTGTAATCAATCAACATGGAACTGACGCTCAATGCTACAGCAATAGAAAAACACGAAACTGCTGAGGGTACAGCATTATGGAAAACAGTGCACAGTTCAGTACAGAGAATCGAATGCAGACAAAGCCAGAAACGCAAACAAGAGTGGGGCAGTCGACTGAATATCAGAAGCTCCTCATCACAATAAATATCGATTTCGTTGAGTCATACATGCCTTCCTTCTGAAACATATTTTATTTGTGGACATTCAAAGAGGTGATAATAAAATTAATCTATCTTCATAGAGTACCAGCCTCAATCGGTTCGACAACGTACATGTTTTGCCTACATTCTGTACCAGAGAGAGGGCTCAGGAGTTAAATCAGACATAATGACAGAATCCGTTATGACACAAGATCTACATTTTTTTTTAATTCGCTTAGTATGGGGGGTGGAGTCCAACTGGGTCCACTCGGCACGGCGGCCACTGATTGGCCTATTGTAGCCTGTCCCGGGTGATTATGATGATGGAGAATTTGGTGGAATGAAGATTGGCGGGGGAAACCGAAGTATTTGGAGAAAACTCGCCCCAGCGCCACTTCGTCCACAACAAATCCCACTTGACCAGACCCCGGGATCGAACCCGGGCCGCCGCGGAGGGAAGCCAGAGTCTAACAGCTTAAGCTATGGCGCGGGCAAGATCTACATACTTGGGAATCAACCAAACTTCCCATAAAAGTCACGTAATTTCGAGTTACAGAGTACATCGAGCAAGTTACCTACGATACCTTACGTTTGGTCCATCCTTCCAGGGTTTCATTCCATCCGTCAATTTTAGCACACAGCCACATAATCCAGAATAAATTTGTGTATGACTGAAACCTATGAGTTGATAAAATGTCAAATGTAAGCAAGTTTTCTGGTCTTTTATCACTGCCAACTATGCGAGCAACGATACGTACTTCCGGATTGGCCAGCACGTAATTGTTATAAACTGCTCACGAAACTAATTAAACTATTTGTAGGTGGAGTAATGTGGCACGTTAATGATTAAACTCGTAAAAATTTGACCGTTTCCTCCTTCGATTATGTTTCCAAAAGATGTTTCTTTTACTACACTACGAATGAATACCTTTCAGAACTATTTAAAGCAAATTTCGTGTTGGAAGCAAGAATACGCAAAATAACACTCTCACAACAAATAACAGCATCTGTCCTGGAACAAAATACACTTTATATTGAGCTTACCTTCCAGGCACTTTCCCTCATCCTCGTTGGCAAACAGGAATTTTTAAACAACCGGCGGAACCAGAGCGGTAGGAATTTCATGATGAATGCAAAAAAGCTTACCTACCGCGCCACAAGATTACACTACTGCAGCTGTAATTTCCGGTAACTACAGATGTGGCTACTAGATGCTGACACAGACCTGAAAATATTTTTGTTGGAAACTTCCAAGTCACGTTCAAGCTGTATTATGCAATGGTGATTTAAAACCCACTGAATCATCCTGAATTTGGCTCACCATACCATTTCTCATTACTTTTCTAAACACGCACTCCAGATACCTTGAAATAGTATGTACAAATATTCGTTCCTCAAACATGATTATATTTCTTTTAAAACTAGAGAATAATTGGAAGGTGTTGCTGAAATGGCCCATAAACGTTATCTCATACAACACGAAATGTTTTCAGACTGTTTTCATGTCATTGTACTTTCTGTCTCCCTGCTGCATTGACATCTTCAGTGGGCTACCACATACTGTATGAAGCAAACACTTGTCAAAGGTGTACCAAAACTCCTCATCCTGCTGTGTCTGAACAGGTTATACATTTCATATAGTATATTAATTTCACAGTTACAAAATATGGTTCAAACCAATGCACAGAGAACCTACCTCGCCTGATATGGTGGGGGGGGGGGACAAAAAACTGTTCCTTATCCATGTTACCAACCAGAACTGTCACTAATTATTGAGGCTCTACAGTATAAGTTGTCCCTGTTCTTAATTAACTGAGTACCAAGACATGAACATGTATTTTGAGGCTTTACAGTATATATCTGCTGTTAAAATGAAATACACGTATGTTCATACATTTTGCTACTGACCATTCTGTAACATACTCGTACATAATCACTGGTATAAGCCAGCAGCACAGTTGGAAAAATATCAGATTCTAATAAGCTGAATATGTATTCAAAATAAAACATCAAATAATTACTATTTTTATATTTTACCCAACACTTTACAAGGGTAGGCACACATCAATGACAAACTATGGAGGTAGAGAAACAGTACTTGTCTCTATAGAATGCATGAGACACAAACAACACAACATAGGAGCAAACCTGAAAATGCTTAATCAGAAACAGTGAAGAGTTGATGAATCTGTGGTCATAAACACAAACAGTATGTTCTCAGAAATGTTTCTTTATTCAGAAGTAAGTACCTATGTTTAACACACAACACAGTTCAGGTTTTAATGTTTAAAACAATGAACAGTAATATACCTAAAATGTTGCTGCTGGATCGTTGCATGCTGTATCTCCAAGATGCAAGCTTTCAGGATTTCTCAGCGGCATATATAGCAAGTGTCACGTAACTTCGAACAAAGCCAAGAGTAACCTTGAATGCGCAGAAGAAAAATTTCAGACAAGGGGGTGGGTTCAAAAATGTGAGAAGTAACAGGCGGCCAGTTGTTTGTAAGTGTTAAGAAACTCCTCCCACCACAAGCTATGCATGGGATTTGACTAGGAATGCGGGGCCTTGTTCGAAGTTGCACGACACTGTCTATACCAATGTTTTGGAGGAACCTGCTACCTGCCCATTTGGGTTTATCTCTTCTCACCCCTAACAGAGATCTATGTGACTGACTTCCTCACAACCTGCCTACATCCTCGACACTGGTTGGGGAGAAGGCATATAATGTCCATCACGCACTTCTGTATTGCACCACTAGACAAAGACCATATTTGAACACACCCATAATGCAGTTTCTGCATATTATCCAATACCAAGCACAGTTTCCTCACATTTGTAAAAATCAGATACTACCAAACTTTTCAGGATGTGCCGTAACTTCCTCTTGTAGTCGTTTTTCAACAGCTGGCAAGATCAGTCTGTCAGATGGCAGATTGTAGCTCACATATACTGCTCTTTCTAACTTCTTTGATAATCGACAGGCAATGTTCAATGACGTCATGTCAGTGTTGGATCCCATAAGTCTTGTAAACAGAGGCAATCTGTCACAGCTCGAGTTTAATGCCATTCCCAAGTCACTGAATGTTGGATCTGTCCCTGAACCTATCCATAGGAACACACTGTTATCCATCTTCAAAACTTGGAAATGTACAGGTGTTTCAGCAATTTCTGTGGCAAAATTATGAACTTCAAAATTTGACTTTGTATATTCAATGGATGCTGTTCCATTTGATGTTGATATTGGTACACGTTCTTCTTCCATTTTGGCTAATCTGAAAATATTAACCATTTATCACTTTTATACACATGATTTGCTTCTCTCTGTCAAAAGGCCACCTTAAATTTCCCACTGAAGACCTACCTTTTTTATTGATCATGGCCCCAACAATTCACTAAAACTAATAATACCTCTGTATACTTCATAAGAGAATTATATGGGTGAACCCACTACTGTACCTTGTAATTTCATGCTGTCAACAACAACACAGTGAACATGCAAATGTCTCTGCTGGTAGAGAAGTTAATGAAATTTATAGTATAAAGTAAGCAAAGGTATCCCTGTACCAAAGGCCCATAGGGTTGTGATATGTTGAGGTTCCCACATTTTCTAGACAACTGGCTCATAGATGGCGGCAAGGTTGTCGGCCCTATGCGCCAGATGCCCTTTACCCCCAAGAATATTCCAAGAATATTTCTGGTACTCATTTCTGTTAGAGTCTGAGTCGACCCGAGGGCTTTAGTGCGGCTGGAAGGATTAGGTCAATTGAAAAAAAATACAATGCCCTCATTGGGACTTGAACCTGTGACCTTCTGGCTTGTAGTTAATATGGATTCTGAAATTCTGTGGTAGATCTTTTTAAAAGAAAAAGAAAAAAAAACCCAGTGGAGGCAGGGGGAACTTTGGTCAAGCTCTTCTGTTCTGCAGAAAGTAAAATAATAATATGGAAGCACTGTGAATTCTACCTTCAGTGCCCAGTTTGATATCACTAACTAATTTTTGACGTAGATAGATCACAAACACCTACAAATTCTACATGAAACACTGGTAGCACATTTACAATTCTGTACATGACAACAGTGAGAAATTTTGGATGGAAAATTTAACATCATATAAAATGCTGTTCTTTGGTGGATCCAATAAAGTAGTAAGAATTATAAGAGTTTGTAAAAAATGCTGCATCAGTATCCATTCTGAAAAAATATATACATTATGTAAATTAAATATACAAAAAAAATTTGCTGTTTTTACTTTTTTTTTTTAATTTGAGGAGACATGTACAAAAGACGAGCCAGCTAATTGAAATGTTCTCTTTTCTATGAAAGTTTCAATATTGTCTTGTAACTAGTATCTTACATATGGGATTCAAACCCTGAGTGGATTATGTATCCCTATTATTAGTTCTACTCAAAAGTTGAAACAGTATCCTCCCCCAACTAATTTTTAACTCAGTGTTACCTGTCCTTTTGTCCTGACACCTACTAAGTTTACCTATTACGTGCCATAGACTTTTATGCTCAAAATCTTCTAATGCTGCGCTCACGAACTTTTTAGTGGCAGGCTTCTACATGTGATCAAAAAAATTTTTGGCTTCAGTAGTATGAAGTGATAACCCTAACCAAGAATTAGGTTTTTCATACGGTTCATTAGAACCCCAAATTTTAAACTACGACTCGCACTAAATTATGAGATACATTATTTGATATACATTCATTGGTTTCCAATATATAAATCACCATGTACAATTTCAGGTTATTGCAGATGGGTTTTAGCAGGTATAAAACTGAATCCATTACTTCGACTTATGGGAATATGCAGAGTAGAATGCCAACGTTTTCTAATTATTTAGCAAACCAACATTCTTCGCGGATCATTTCCAAACGCCCAGCTTGTACCTTTGAGGTTAAGTCGTACTAGATCTTAATGAATTATATTATAATTATACTTCACATTAAACAAGTTGCAAAATCGACAGCAACTTCAAGTTCCTGTAAAGGTAAGAACAAGGTGTGTAGTACCATACCTCAAAATTATAATTATATTACAGCAAACACCTAATAAATCATTAAAACTCAGACTCAATCGTCTCAATCACCAAAACACAAGAAAACCAGCAAACGACATCTATTGTAAAATTCGTCAAACCACTTTTGATGTTACGAATTAAAAATGGAACTACTGGCGGACTCTTGCGAATATGGTACTAAACATTCACGTTCCTTCACAACTGAAACAAAATCGACTGGATATAACCAACAGATCAATATGTTTTTAGGTAGAGGTGGGAGGCGGGGTGGGGAAACTTCATTGTAAGAGCCCTCACTATCAAACACTGTTTCTACCCATTTCTCCTGAATTAGTGATCGTTTACTGCTAGAAAAACAGGGTTCAATACTGCTTATACAAATGCATTATTCTTGCCAATACAGTCTTTGAACAAACTTCCCTAAAGTCAAGTAGGTATTACACTTGAACCCTCTTTTACTTTAGTTGTTTCCTCTAAAAAATTCCGTATTCTTTGCCTGTTTCAATGTAACATGATTTTTCAATTATACTTAAATTTGCCAGTTACAGCTGGCTTGATACATTACAAAGCTCATTACATGGTCTCCCCAAGCAACTGGCAACTTCAAACCATGCAATTTTGTGTCCCACATGTACACAAATAATATCAATTTCAGCCTAATACTACAAAATATTTTATTTTCTCACACAGCTGGATTTATTCTGGCCAGCTGAGCTGTTTACTACATTTGTTGTGAATATGGCAATTAATTTTCAGATTCCACAAGTCAGAAACAATTTCTTTACCATGTGAGTAACTCACAACTTTCTATGACCCTGCACCATGACATTTATTAATATTTTCAGCATTATAATTATTATATGACACTTCTTACATTGCTGTTAACATAAAACTTCTGCAAAAAGCAAATGCCATGTTATGATTGGATCGATTACAGTAACAACCCATCAAGCAATTAAAACAGAATAAATTTGGAGAATGCTTGCTACCACTTAGTTTAAAATCCTTCATCCTTCCAGCTCTTATCTATGAAACCAAAGATTTAAATATACAAAACTATAATTTTACATATGCTTTTATGGTCTTTGCTTCAATTGTACCCATTAAGGGAAAACATAGAAGAATGGAAATGCTTGAGAACAGTGTACTTGGGGGAACTTCTGGGCTTATGAGTGGAAGCAACATGAGGATGAAGAAAACAATACAATTAGAAAACTAATAATTTGTACTTTTACCAATTATTAACAGGACCTCTTTATTAATTATGTTGCATTGTACTTTTGGTGGATTTGAGAGGAGAGAGATGCTTATGTCAAATATGAATTCAAGTGCCACTAATATCCTTCAAGGGCACAGTACACAGGATGATGAATGTGAAACTGACGTAACAGAGCTGTTAAAAATGAGAATTTTTTATTTCTGCAAATATGCATGGTAATATGTGAAATTATCTAATTTTACCGATGTACAAAGTATTGATTTTAGTGAATCAGAGACACCTGACAATGTCCACATACAGTCGAAATATGTTGAGAGGAGGAAAGGGGTCAATAAGTTACACTGTAGATGAAATGAAATAATGTATGAAATAACTGATAATTCACTATTTTATTTTATACACCCACTTTCTTTCATGCTTCAATTTCCAATCTACATAATGTTATATTTTAGCGTCCTGTTGCACTGATTTAAGTCCATGATTTATTTCAACCATCTTCAAGTGCATACACTCATCTATCTTATCTATCTCATCTATCTATCATAGATGAGCGTATGCACTGGAAGACGGTTGAAATAAATCATGGACTCCAATCTACATCTTTAAAGGTTATTTCAAAGCACATGATATTTTCTACTTCAAACCCACATTACCATTTGGTATCATCAAATACTGTATGCAATGAAAATCTAGAAAAGAATTCTTGAAGTGAAGACTTGAGGCTAAATAAAAACTCAAGACAAATATACAGGCAACAAATATATATTAAAGAACATTAAGTCTTTATTAATGCCAGATATTTCAGAATATGCAAATGCATATGACTAGGTAACGCTTTCTAATTATAAATTTTGAAACTTATAGAAACAAGAATGAAAATGAGCTTCTAGGAGTAAAAAGTAAAGTAAAGGTATCCCTGCAACAGGCTGTGGAGGCCCATAGGATTGTGAGATGTTGTGGTTCCCACATTTTCTAGACAATCAGCTCATAGATGGTGGCAAGGTTGTCAGCCTTAGGCGCCGGCTGCCCTTTACCCCCCAAGAATATTCCAAAAATATTCCTGGTACTAATTTCTGTTACAGGCTGAGTCAACCCCAGGGCCACAGTGAGGCCAGGAGGATTATGTCAATTAAAAAAATATCCAGTGACCTCACCGGGACTTGAACCTGCGACCTTCCAGCTTGTAGCACAGTGCAACCAACTACACTACCGCGTACATGAAATTAATTAGATATGATAGTCAAACCATGAGCAACAATATAAACAGGACTACATGAAAGTATTTAGTATAAAGAATGTATTATCAAACAGCTTTTCTTTGAAAATGAATATAACCGAAACACTGTATGTGAAAACACTACCTATAAACTGTTCACTATTAATATATTTCGTTAATTCTTATTCTGAAATATTATGTTGTTCATTAATCCTCAACAAATTACTATCCGAATAATAAAACATAACAGTAATGCTTTTCTAACATTGCTCAGTATGTGCTGCTTAAGGCTATCTGAATAAGAGTCAGATTAATAGCAAAATGGCCTCTCTTTTACCCATATACTGTTATATTTACTTCCATAATGTAGGATTTCAAATCTGGGGACTCATACAACATGTTAGATGTCTAATAATGCAGGTTTTGTCTCTTTGGCACATTTCAGAACAGACTGAATAAGTTTTACAAAACCAGTGTCTTTTGGTTTCTCCAGACCTCTAAGAAGGCGATTCTTCATTACAGCAACAAATTCTCGGTTACTAAGCTGGCCATCAACTGCAACAAAAAGACAAATAAGGGCAAGCTGTTTGGTTCTATTTATTGAATGAAATATTTACATCACAGTTTAGATCAGAGTTAACTTACGATTTTCATCAAAGATCGTGAACACCACATGTATCACATGGTCACCGAGCTCAACATGGGCAACAGTTTTTGCAACATGCTTCAGAGTTGCTGAAACAATACAATTATTGTAAATACAGTAGAACTTGGTTATAACGTCATCAAAGGGACCTAAAAATAGTGTAGTTATAAACGAATGTCGTTGTAACCGAAATGGGCACTTCCACAGTAGCCTTATGTTAGTCACGTAAAAATCTACCAAAAACCGAGTTAAAATGTTGCATTTTTTTAGTGAAATACGTAGTTAAGTACAGACAAACGTAACATTAACGTGGAATTAATATGGATTCTCCATATCTTTTGTACTGTAGAATTCACCAAACCAAATTCGCGACATACATCAGCTTTTTTCCTTCCAGTTTCTATTTCACGAATCACTTTAACTTTCTCTTCAATGCTTAAAACTTTCCTTTTCATTGCCATGTTTTCGCTACTGCACTTCTCTGGGTTTAGGCAGGAACACTATAGGGTAAGTAGACAATGTGAGGTCCTGTTAGACGAGATTCTAGGAAATGAATGCAGTTAACAACCTGCCGCGTCCTCTTGCACTATTCACGCAGTCCCACCCCACACCCTTGTTTTCGCATAAAACCCACGCTCCTCTTGCAGCCCGCGGTCGTATTCTTCCAGGACAGTCACGTCAGCAAGTAGAGAAAGTGAGGGTGGGCAGACACATCGAACTTTCCCACGATATCAGAGAAATTCAGGAATGAAAATGACGTTACATACGAGGTTGATGCATTTGTACATGTCGTACTAAGCAAGGTATAAAAATAGTTGCTTTATGAGGAATTAGTTCGTACCATTGAATATTTGACGCAATAGACAAGGTGTCGCAGAAACCGGTGTTGCTATAACCAAGTTTTACTGTACTATCAAATACATTCTTAGTACTTCCCCACAATCTGATACTTACCTTGGTCAATGGAAGCACCAGCTACGTGGTAAAATGTCAACGCCGTATCCACATCATTAATGTTATTTAAGAAATGGTAGAACTTCAAGTAGTCATCCCGACTTATTCCCTGTGCATTGTCCTTGAATCTGTAAAAGACTCTGTTTTATAGACTGCTCTAAAAGAAACACTTTCAAATGACATATGAAAGGGAAGAGACAAAAAGATAAACTGATTAGCAAACATACTCCATATCAATGATAGAAACAGCCCTCCATGTAAGTAACTGTCTGAGTAAGAAACTACACAAAACTGCAACAACAATATAGTCAAGTGAAGACAGGATCTTGAAATCCAGCACGCACTTGCCATGCCCCTGCCTTGCTCCACACCCTGCTAAGATCTAAGAGGGCACTCAGGCAAGTGCTAATATATGCTTCCCAACTGCAAATACAATTAACATAAGCACCTGTGCAGATAATGTTTCGAGCTATTCAGTATAACAGAATTTGTGGGATGATCATCCACACTAGATTTATCCATGTCTTAATGAAACTCCTTTGGGACAACCAAATATTTCCCATTTGAAGACTGAAATTCATCTGAATAATATTTAAAAATTCAGTTCATACTTCTCAGAAAGTAAACTGCATCTCCATGAAAAGACTAACCACTTAATGCTGTTTAAGAAAATAATCACTATTTCTTATGAGGAACATATGAACAGAAATACAGTTTGAGGGAAAAATGCAGGGTGTCTGAATGTTAAAGTAACTGTTACACTTGGTTACCATTGTGCATGAACCATGGAACTTGCAGAATACTAATTAGGAAATAATGAGAAAGGAGCAGAACCAAAGGAAAACTTATAAAATAAAGAATATTGTTCAAACTGCAGTATAAAATTCAGTCACTTCAGAAGCAACATGGAGATAGCGGAACAAATAAGGTACCATTTCGCATGACAATGTGGTAGTTCAAAGGACTACACAATTTAGTGCCATTTAGCATTACAAAGGTGGTACTTCAAAAGGATTGCACAATAAAGGAAACTGAAATTCAGCCTGCACTGAATTATTTAGTGTTCCAGTAATGCTCCCCCAAAAAGGAGCAAGAAAAAATTCCTTCCTACTGTAAGAATATAATAATGAATCAAACAGAATATGCAATGACTTTTGTACTGTCCTTCCCACACAGTATTTCTCAGGGATAAACATCTGCTGTATATTTCATGAAGCTGTGTCAAATCAAAAGGTCACATAACAGAGGACTGAAAATCAATTACATACATACATACCGAAAAGAAAGGATCTTTTTACAAAAATGTACAAAAGCTCTCTGACAATATCAATCTTAAGTTAGTGACTGTAAACAAAGGCTGATTGGTGAATATAACTTGCACTTCAATTTCAAGAATTTACCACATGATAATCAGAGAATTATAGCACTTCATGGACCACTAGTGCTCACTATGATATTACATCGACTGATATGCTTTTAGCTCTATAATTATGTACATGAGATAATAATAAAATGGACAAAAGAAGGGGCAATGGGCAATGTACGCAACAACATGAGGGGTGTGAGACGAGGTTCATTTCACAGTTACTTCATTTTAAAGACATGAAGTTACATTTTGAAGTACCACTCAAAATATGTGCAAGCTGCTCAGTCTCAAAAGACTTGGGTCTGAAAGCTGTAACTTTCAGCATGGCCCCTGAAGTTTACACATTAAGGTACAGTTACTGCACTGTACAAGTGCATATTTATTTATATTTCTTTGAATTTCCATATAAACAGATCAGAGTTAAAATTACTCCTATAGTGCATGTCTTACAATGCTACTTATTAATTGCATTTTCTAGCAGCTCTGGTCAATTTGTAATTCTTGAAACTAAAACTTGCAACACAATCTGACATGTTCTACATCCTAGGCACATTGTGACCAGAGAGGATTCATGGAATTTTAAAATAAATGAATGAATGAAAATACTTAGTTCAGATATACCTGTCTACGCCAAAAGAAAAATATTTTTGAAGAAGGAAGTCTTCTGGGATTTGGCACCGTGTATATGTGGTGTTAACCGACGTTTCGGAGGAACGCATCGCCTCCATCTTCTACCCTGAAGATGGAGGCAATACGTTCCTCCGAAACGTTGGTTAACACCACATATACACGGTGCCAAATCCCAGAAGACTGCTTTCTTCATAGTCACCGCCGTGAAAGCCTCAAATCTTACAAAAATATATTTATTACATTTCCTCTTCACTTACACCTTCTTGACTCTTTTAAGCATGCGAGCCTTCTTCTTTGGTGGATAGCCAGCATATGCTAGAAGTAATTCAGTGAAGTCTGCTTCAGTGATATTTCCATTTTCATCTGGGCCTTTTCTTTGGAACTGTAACAACAAATGGAAGGTAACAGGAACAAACTTCAGGAAAGGTAGGAGCCACCATCTCTGCTGTGGCACATAACAAAAAGGTGCAGTCTTTTCACCCCTCTCTCTACTTTACATACCTAAGCCAGATGTTTGCCCATAGAAATATTTGTAACTAAGATTTTACTCATTATATGCTCACCCTCTAAGACCAGTAATTTACCATCACACCACACTCTGCACATATTAATCCCTTTAGCGGTTCATTTCTTGTCCCTACTTGATACATCCTGGAAAACTTCTGAACTCTGTGCTGCCCAGCGTTCATTCATTTTGTCTCAGAATTTTTCCCAGCTGTCTGACAGCTTCTGCAGGTAGTTCTTTTGTTTCTCAGAAGATGGTTGCGTCATATGGAACTGGTCATCACAGTTATCTGGATGCAACGCTGATGAAGTACGTCACAAGTTACAAAATATGAAATGGCATTTAAAATCACCACTGAAAAAGTTAACAGGAATTTGAAATTATTATGATCCATTTAAAACTTACTTCCAGACTGAGAATTTCTCTCTGAAGCTGATGCTGAAATTCAAGGAACTTTTCAATTGTGAGTTTCTGATTCATATTAGGACCGAAGAAGTACGTTGTCAGTGCTGAATTCACACCCTGCAATTAAAGGCTTTCATTATTACTAAGCAGTCCAATACAACTGTTAGGACAACTATGGGGGCTGCAAAATACAATACTATCAAATTTGTTTCCATTTTTAGCTCAGTTGTTAATACTGCCCCAACATCACGGATTATACAGAACATTTTTTGAGCAAAAAAATAATCAGAGAGGTAAGACTCTCAAAATACATATTACATCATTCAAAATAATGCAATAAATAATGTAACCACATTACGCACAAACCTTGAATGTGTTTCCAGTATTGGCATGATCTCTGTGGCGACTCCCAATGCTTGTCTGTTGTCGAATTAAAGTTGCCACTTTCTCAAATTCCTCCGAGTCCACATCTCCGTCTCCGTTCAGATCAAACATTCGAAATGCTATTTCAAACTGACGTCGAGAGGCTGCAATGAAATGGAGAGCAATGTTTCTGGCTTCTAAACAAAATGACTACTTTGTAACAGTTAATCAGATTAAAAAGGCAAAATTAATGACAGTGTGGGTAGGTATGGAAACAGGCAAATACTTTGTTTCACAGAGCACACAGCAGCTGATGTAGCCCACTCAATTCATTCTAGTCTGTTAGACCCTTCCAATGGAATATCCTGAAGTAAAGTCGAAACGTAACAATGGCCACAAAACATCCACTCATTTCAGGCCAAAAGCATCAGACATGTCTTTACCTTTGTGAACTTCAGTATGGGTTTATTTAAACAAATTCTGATTAGAATTCGGAATTACTGGGTTTCTGGGCTTTGTTCATTGTTCGGTATTATAAAGAACAAGAGAACAAGTTTTGGAAACCGGATGTTTCCTCCACAGCTGAGGGGGAGGAGACACCTACTCTGTTGGGTCCCTTAGAAAGAGCTAACTCAATCACTGGACAACCCATGTTAGTATGACTACAGCTATACAAATGCCTGAGGCCAGGCTCTGTTGAAGGCAGATAACGGGAATGATATACAAGAAAAACTGTGATAATGCATTCACAGGCTTGGAAACTAGGACAGAAACAAAACCTAGTCCATGGAAACCAGCGAAAAGGATTAAACTGAGGATCTGTATAACCATACTGTGCCTACTGCTTGTGCCATCTGTGAAATAAAAACTGACTACTCTGGATTTAAATCTTATTGTTGATATGGTGGATCCAGATGGGAGCAATGTCCAAACTGCGTTGGTTGAGCATGTCATATGGCCTGATTACTTGTATTTCATATACCTGCTGTTACTTTCAATTTGCAAAATCCTGACTTCATCCCAATGTAGCTTTTGTTACAATCACAGGGAATGTTACAGACACACTGTGCCATCTGTCGTGGATCTCTGTCTGGCCTAGCTTTCATGAGCGAATTCTTAAGAATGTGTTTAGTTTTGAAGATCATCTTAATGTTATATCAGTTCCCCATACATATGAACTTTTCTGAAACATCCTTCACACATGGAACATACACAGAGTTCAGAGGCATTTCCTCTTTATTCGGCCTGCTACCCTTAGAATAACAAAGTCAATGAAACCTCGGGGATAACTGCTGAGCTGAAGACCATGTTTCAGGCTACTAATTTCATTAAACAGATCTTGTCATTCTTGGCATATGGCAGAATCTCTATTGTGAAGACTCCAAATTAAACCTCTTTCCACATGCAGAATAGGGTTGGATTTGATGTTGAGATATCAGGCAGTGTGGGTGGATTTTCTGTATGTAAACTTTGGTGGCCAGTGCCGTCACTTTCCTGTGACCAGAACATCCAGAAAAGGAATCACATTGACTCTATTTCCATACTAAAATGGATACTGTTGAGGTGACTCAGAAGTTCTTTAACCGCTCTGGGCCATGAGGCCAGACCACAAAAGTGTCATGAACATATCAAAGGCACACCAATGGTTTGTGTTGTGCCAAGTCAAGAACCAATTCCTCAAAATGGTCCAAGGAGATGATGTTAACAATAGGTTGGTTCGATTTGCCTCACTATTATCAGAGCGGTCAGACTTTCTTGAAACCTATAAATAGGTAACATTTCCAAGTTTGCACCAGTGTCTGATTATCCGCAATAATTTGATCTACCCACAAAGTCACTGTTGAAAAAGAATGTTAAATAAAATGTTTTTGAAGGATGAACAATATTTGTGATTACTACTACTATTGTCAGTCATCCTAAACATTTTTTGTTGAACGATCTTCAGGAAATTCAACACAAAAAAATATGTTGCACATAATGACAATGTCGCATTTTTTAAATTTGTAACTTTAGTTGGAAAATAATGGCTGCGGAATGTTCTTGAGAATTTAAGCCAGTCTCTCTTAAAGAAGCACCCTCTGTATTGAAGGGCCATGTGGCAGTGTAGTTGGCTGAGGCACTATGCTAACAGGCCAGATGGGTGCACATTCGATTCTTGATGTCGCTGCATTTTTCAATTTGCCTAATCCTTCCAGCCACTAACAGAACTCAGTACCAGAAATCTTCCTGGGGGTAAAGGGCGGCCAGCATGTAAGGCTGACAACCTCACCACCATTTGTGAGCCGTCTAGCAAATGTGGGAGCCTTGAAGTCTCACAATATTTTTGGCCTCTATGGCCTGTCACAGGGATACCTTCTGTATAAACAATTTTTATATGAAGCAGGGACATACAACATGGCAATTATAATAACCAGTGAAATAACACAAGAGTGAGCAAATTAAGGGCAAATGGAGGGTATGTAGCACACAATGGGGAGATGAAAAATGCATAAAATATTTTAGTCAGAAAACATGATGGACAAGCCACTTGAGAGTTTCAGATGTGGATGGAGAAATAATATTAAAATTTGCTTAAAGCTGTTTAGGTGAACTGCTAATCATTTTTGTATTCAGGACAGAATAATAAAACCTTTCTAAAAATATGTTAAACTTTTATATCAACATCTGGTATATTTCCTCCTTTTTCAGTTCTTTAAAAAATCCGAGGGGGATGCCCCTCACCACCATCCCTGTCGGTGCCCATGTAGAAATAACAGGGCAAACGCAGAGGTATTTGCAACACAATTTTACTGTGTGCGATACTGGGGCAGGCCACGCATGTCATATACAGACCAATGTGGCTCCAGAGGAAGAGAGACTACCAGAAATCAATACATACTATAAGGCTCTGACCCTTTAAGCTGCAATTTGGCAACAGGGAAGAGTGAGATGAGGCAACAGAGCCCTCTGATTTTGGGTGGGGGGAGGAAAAGGGGGAAACTAAAGTGATGGGAGGGAGATAACAGGAGAAGGTGGGGAAGTTCTTTGCCCTCCTCTGGTCTCACCCCTATCCAGGAACTGCCAGGTTTGTACAAATTATATAAACCAGGGAAAATGAAGCTATTTATCTTTCATTATTTACTTAACGATACTTTCAAGAGCCAAGATTTATATGGCATCATGTGATATTAGTGAATAATGAATTGTGAAGGCTTTGGAAGGAAATGGTATTTGCATAATCCGAGGCACTAGCCCGGTGTTTTCCAGAAGCGGATGAGAAAATCCACTTAAAAAAACTGTTCTCAGTATCAAGAGGCGCCACCACGCGACTAGAACCCGGGACCTCCCGGATAGGAAAGAGTGCTGCTACTGAATGGACGACGAAAGGAAACTGTTATTATCTACAAAATTACAGGGCGTCACAGCACAAACGGCCGTATCTTGATTCTCACAGAACGTTTCCGTTTTCTCGCCTTCACAATACGCACGGAAAAGCAGTTACACGTAACACAAGATGATCTTGTCATCTAACTTTTATAACTATTTGATCTGCTTTCATAATTTACACCGACTTTTATTTAAGAAACATATGAACGCTGCAATGACACTGACCTATACTCGCGTAATTGGCGTGTGCGCGTTCCGGAGCGCGAAACGCGTATACTACGAACCAACTGCCAACAATGAACTATTTAACAAGCCTAATGAAGATCGGGAGAGGCAATTGCGTAAACAATATACGTTAAATGAGTTCACTTGTACGTCATCTCTGATGCACTTCGGTCACATTATTGAGATTACGCTGTAAAGCTGAAACAATAACTTCGCTGGTCCCCGTGTGACACAGAGGCCGGCTTTGGCCCGACGTTCACTCTATTTATATCCATAATTCTTTTCCGTGTCAGCAAAACTCGGAACTCAAACAGAACGGTCACATCCGAACCAGTTTCTCATTTCAAAGAAGGAAGAGGGCGAACAGCATAAATGGAACAATTGCAGAGTTAAACAACAGAGACAAACGCAAGGGTAGTTGTCATGACGATACTGTGACGGGAGCTGGGAGCAAGACAGCGTTAAGTCCATACTGTAGTTGCGATCATGAAACGTCGTATTCATCTAACTAGAAGACCACGAGAACACAACATGCCATTTCACTTTGTTCTGTGAAATACGAGTGGGCACAGTGAATACAGTCGTTTTCACTGGGGGATCAAGTCCAACTTTTCAACCCTTTATGATAAGAGGTTTTCATGGGGTTGAACATTAAGATTACTGTAGTCTGGGTGGTGACGCCGTGTAGTGTCGTGGAAAGGTACCAACGTTTCGGAGAATCATGCCTTTCATGGGGAGATGAGGTTTCTCTGAAACGTTGGTACTCATGCGGTACTTCGCATGAACCTTATATTTCATTTTGAGGTGAACCTGGAGCTGGAAATGCATCGTGTCTGGTACCAGCAACGCCAAGGCATCAGCAATACTGGGCCCATTAACAAACTGTCTGGGCCTTCTGCAGCTTGCGGCTCACCAGTCATTTTATAAAATAACTGCAGACCCACAACAACAAATATTCGCCCGTGTGAAATTTTACAATTACATACATTTCAGTATTATGTTAATAACGAATTGGTTCTTATTTTTCAGACCTTACGGTCCAGTCCAGTAGCCATCAGGTCCACTGTCCTGTGCTACCGTTGCATCACGACCGCACGTGAGACAAGAACGTCCGCATCAGGTAAGCAGGCCTGAGCCTGCACTTCTGGTGCTTCTGCTGTCACTTACTGCCAACTGATTAAAGTTACATCCCTGCCAGTTAGCTTTATAATTATATTGTAGCAACCTGTTGCATTTTTCACTCAGCATCAATTAGTTCCACAGTCTCACATGCAACACTAATAATGTTCTATCCACAGAGTTGCCACTGTTATTCCTAACTGCTTGTATGTGTTCTTTATATCTGGTTTTAAATGTTGAGCTGGAGACTGGCTACCTTGACTGAGATGTCGCCAAGCGAATCCTGGGACAGTGCTTCAAACTAAGCTATCAATGCTACCCTGCACAACCTCTCCAACTCATTTACTCACTTATAATCTTACCATTACATATTACAGTCTGAGCATTGAAAATATGGGGAAAAATCAGTATAGGTCACAAATGGATAGAAAATGTAGAACATCAGACACTCAAACCTGGAAAAAACATTTATTTCTTAACATATCTTCCATCAACACTGATCGACTTGTCTTATCGCTTTACCAGTGCATCAGAACTTGCAGCATACATTTTGACTGACTCTCCCTTGTATCATTACTGAACAAAACTTGCTTATTTCTCAGTACACAAACTTCTGGAACCCAACAGTACGATATCTGTAATGCGCCTGTGGCCACTGGATGTCCTTCAATTAAAGTGAGTATCAAAGTGATGGATACAGCAACGTATTATGAATACTGTCTCACTATTTTGAACTGAAACAGAATATTATGTCTGCATATGTATTTGCCTCAGAAATTTATCAGACATATTTGTGTTGTTTCAAATATTATGATCACAGTACCATTATACGCTATTCAGAATGCACAAAATGACACTTAACTTGCAGTTATCTACCTTTTCATTAATCATTCAATATTAAACTCTCTCAATAAAAAGGCAACATCTTGCTGCATCTATACAGCAATAAGCATGCGTAAGCTTCGCAAGAGTAAGCAAAGCTTTTACAGTTCATAACAGCCACACACTTTAATTTTGCAAACTATATGTTAAAACTTTTAATTTCAGCAAGGCTCTGGTCCCACCTACCCTGCTATTCAATGGGCAAAAAGCTGACCACTCAGCTCTGTGTAGTGTTGAGGTGAGTAATGCACAGAGCCATGCTTCTGCTCATTCCACTGGTTTCCTGACATGGAAAACTCACCTTTATGTGCTACCATCATTTGTCCTATTTCACACAATCATTTTATTTTCACAACAGCACAGAACATGTTATAATCTTCCACCATGTAATGAAAAATTAGCCCCACTATTTGATACAGGATAAATGAAATGACTCAGAATACTGTACTTCTAAGGTTTTCATGGCAGTGACTGTTTAGGTTGTGGTTTCCTGTGTCAAAATACTGTGCTGTCTCGCATAAAGATACCAACATTTCAGAGGAACGTGCCATGTCCATCTTCATGCTAAAGCCTGTAGGGTGACGTGCAGGGAAGCTGGTCACCCAGGGGGGGTTCATATAGCTTTGAATCCAAAACTAAAATACTTCTGAATTTCACTGTAGTGAAATGAATACAAATGCAGGTGATTTCCATTACATAACATCAACAGTGTGGATCAGAGCATTAGAAAAGCATGAAATATGTATCTTATCAATAAAACAATATCACTGACTTAATTACACCTGCCTCTGGAATGTCAACGAAATCTACTGGAATAAGTGATACCTCAAACTAAAGTAACGATGTTAGGCTGCAGCAAACAAACAAACAAACAAGTTTTGGATAATGCCGGAATATCAATGTTTTATTTTTCACATCCATAATTTAATTTTAGAAAAGCTGTATATCATTTAGAATACCATTATTAATTTTAACATGTTGCTAAGCAAGCTGACTGCAATGTGAAGCTAGACCAGGCTGAGGCCAGAACACACATGTGCATGCACACCCCTTGTGTCAGCATGGCGGAGGGGAACAGGGTGGCTGATGTGGGAGTGGTGGGGATGCTCTGAGGGAGGGGCACAAGTGGGGCAAGCAGATGGTTACTAGTGTGGAGGGTACTGATCATGAATTTGGCAGGGAAGACTAGACTGGGCACAGACAGGTATGTGACACACTTGCTTGCAACATAGTCGACTGGTAACTGAACGTATATTGGCTAGAGCTATGTAAAAGTAAGTACTACTGGGAACATGTTAGTGTCACAGAGCGGATGATTTTTATTCCTGATCATGATTAGAATTAACTGATCTGAGTGTTTTCCACTTATATAATTGAGCGGAGGCCTGGAAGTATAGCCCCACGATCCTTTCCTTTCTTTCTATGTCACATATCAACCGAGTCTTGTCCTTCACTCTGCTCTTACTTATACTGAAGTCTCCTGTGTTATAACACTGTGCTGCAGTCACACATGTGCATATCAATGCTCAGAAGGCGCACTGTGTACTGAATACTGATAAAGGGGTCATAACTTCTAATCGCCCCTTAAGCACTGGATCCACTATACACCCCCAGTGCTGTTTGGGCTCTCTAAGAGCCTTGGCCATTAGCTGTGGGGCAAAACCCTTCAGACTGAGGCTCTACCCATGCAGGGCCATAGTCACACAGCCATGCACATCCAAGTTAGTTAGACACTTACATAATGCCACCTTCTCTTGGGCTACAGACAGTGGGCCATCCCAGGTTCCCTCAGTCTCACCACTGGTCCCAGAAGGACCCACAACTGAGACCCATGCTTAGAAGGAAAATGGAGGCACTATATTCCTGCAGTCCTACCAGACTACATACTGTCATCATCCAGAAACCACAATATGAATTTGTGAAAACTTTGAACCTTATACAAAATGTTCTGTTCTGAACAAGTTATACACTTTGATAGTTCATGCCATACATCGTAATTACTTCAAACTATAACTACAACTACTAAAACAACAATTACTACTACCACCACCACTACTACTACTACTACTACTACTACTACTACTACTACTAATTCAATAATAATAATAACAACAAAATTCCAAAAGAACTGAACCAGTTATAGATGACCATTCCTATCACATAGTTACTTTGCTGCCTCATCCTTTACTTGCATAATTCCTCTGTATAAGTGGCTTATAGAGACTATTGCAGAGCTGCATATGATGGAAGTGGGGTGTAAGGGAGGGGAGCTAGGAAGGCGAAGTATGGGGAGTTAATCAAATGCTTGTTACAGTTTTGAATGAAGGATAGCTCAGTTGGTATAACAATGGGCTACAACATGGGTTAGGTTTCTGGCAGAGGCAAGAGATTTTCTCTACTCCAGTGTACAGATGGGCTCTGGGTACAGGGGTTTCTTTCCCTGGGGGTAAAGTTGATCACTTACATCCATCCAGTGTTGAGGTCAATAATGGCAAAGCTATATCTCCACTCCCTCATACATCTAATGCTTAAGTAATTAAGCAAAGGGACATCTTTACCTTACCTTTGAAAAACAGATGAAATTTAATGACAAATATTCTTGAGGGAACTGTGGACCTTTGTTTAAAAAATATCTATGGGATGTTAATTTTTAAATTATTAGTTTAAATGAAAGCCGAGACATATATATACTGTTTAATTTCAGGATGACATGAGAGGCATTTACTTTTGGCCGCGGCTACTACTGCGAGCAAGCAACAGATATCGAAACATCCTGCAAGCATTTGTATTCCTGTCTGTAGGATTTGGATACTGCTTCCTGCTAGGCAGTTATGCCCTCTCAAGACACCGTGAAATGGTCAAATCTAGAAATATTAATACCACCAAGGGCCCTAGCACACAGGTACAAAGAAGCATGCACAGTATCTCGGTATCTGCATGACTTCCACATAGCTATTTTAGTCCCCCGTGTTTGTGGGTCATTGGTTTAAAAGCATCAAATGACTTGTATAACTTGATTTCATAATAATGAAACTTCTGTCTGTAATACTGGATAAACTGAGAACTTTAACTGTGGAATACAGTAGTCATCATTTCTATGAAAAAATTACTATGGTCACCTGCAATTACACTTCATCAGGCTTCATTGAAGCAAATTTCAGCACTTAAAAATACATACAAGCAGACATTACAACATATTATTTTTACATTACAGAATGGTGCAATACCAAATACTGACACTCAAACCCAGAAATCAAATATTCTCTTCAGATCTGACCACAGTATGGTCATCCTACCCATGAACAGCGACTCAGAAGACAGTGGGTATGATTTGGAGGACTTGGAGTCAGAACTGGAAGGCAGACGACAAAGGGTGTGGGAAGTATGTATGGCTCATGGCCTCAACACGGAGGGTGAGCCAAATGCATGGGAATTCTTTATAGATTCTACACATGGCCTAGTTTGGTGCAACATATTTAAGGCAGCAAGTTCCACATGGCTATATAATTTCAATCTACTGGGTAAGTAAATGAAAAATGTATTTTCCTCTTTTACTAGTAAATGAGTGCTCTCCATCTGCACTTTACAAAATGGAGCTCAGCTGGTAAAGAACAACACACAAACACATGCCGTACGTAGAAAGCACTACTATCACACTTTGTCACAAATGGAAATATTCAGTTAAAGCAAATTATGACAATGAACTTGGTATATACCAATGTGTTGCAAAAAAAGTGTACAAATTTTATGAATAGAAGAATGTCCTAAGGTAGAATATTATTTGCGGCTCAACAAAAAAGTTGGATTTGTGGTTCTCAAAGCGATCTTTTGGGTTGTAATGCTATGTAGTTTAGTATAAGTACACTGACACTTCAGAGGAATGTATCACCTCCATTTTCAGGGTGGAAGGGTAAGCTGAGCAAGAAACAGCAATAAATTCTGCTTGCCACCCGCTTCACTTACTCTTTAATTGGGAAGATGGAGGGAGCCAGTATGTTCATCTGAAATGCCCATGTCTGGGTATCACAACCCAGAACACCATACTCTTTAACTGAAAAATGTTAGATCACTCGCTGTCCATTTGACAACTTGCAGCACCACCTCTCACACTGAAATGCATTGAACTGCGAAGGACCAACACCCAAGATGACAGACAGAAACATTCTGCCTTGAGGGACACAGTGTACATAAGTAAGTTTTCAGAGCAGTGAGTGTTCACACTGCAGTCTTCTGCACTGTGACTCCGAGCATCAGACTGGTTAATGCAAACTTGTTATACTCAAGTAGCACATGTAACATCCTGTGGAACAATTTTAAATTTGGCGATAGTTTAATGACAAGATATGAAGACAGATGACAACCCTGACTTCCCAAAGTAAATTTCAATCAGTTCCACTCATGCAGAATAATAATAATAATAATAATAAGTAACACAATGGATATATGAATACAACAGACTTTGCTACATACAAAGGATGCATAATAATACTTGACGTCAGTTTTCTCTGTAACAAGAACAGCTGAAATGTTTAAACTGAATGATGACTTCCAGTCACAGTTACTCTCCCATACAACAAGCTCACAGAACATGCCTCTTCTCATTCTTCCTGGAGAGGATTNGGGGGGGGGGGAGGCAAAGAGATTGATGTACAGGGGATATTAAAATAAACAGAAACAGCAAAAACTGTGAGTGGATGTTAGGAATTTTCAAGGTCAGTTACTAGACAGTTGAATATCACCTTGAGTTCTATAATGCATGACAATATTATGAACTACTGGAAAATTAATGTACAACAAGAGCTCTGTAGAAAATGGCCCAAAGGATGTGCCTCATAGGGTTTTGTATAAATCATCCTCACAAGATTCTGAAAATAAGTGAACTGGATGGCCAGGTCCCATTGAATGCCACACATGTTGAATGAATGTATGAATGTATAAGGGTGGGCCTTCTCAGCCCTCGCACCCTGACCACAGTGATCTATTGTGCTTCCCCTTCTGATTATCCCCTCAGCAATCCTGCACTTCGAATGAAACGTAGGATTTTGTACATGGGGATGTCGAAATAGTCACTTGTTTCCATAAAATATTGACCCAAGTGGCGCAATCTTAAATAAACTAAGGCCTCACATTCGCACAGGATATGTGTGGCTGTTTCGTTTTCTTCTTGACACCTCTCACAAGTTGGCCTGTTATTTAATTCCAATTTGAAGAGGTGTCCTTTGAGGTGACAGTGTCCTGTAAGTAGTCCTACCACCCATCACAGCTGGTTCCTGTTTAACTTCAACAGTTCCTTCGCTCTTTTAGCAGAGGGTCCTTGTATGAGTCCCTTTGCTTGCCTGAGTCAAGTCAAGGATCCCCAGTATTTCTTGTGATTCATATTTGACCAGTCCCTGATTGCCTGTCTGGTGACTCCTATAGAGATGCCACAGGTTGGTGCAGGTCCTATGAACAGATGTTCAGCTCCAATCTTAGCCAATTTATCTGCTGTTTCATTTCCAGCAATACCCTCATGGCCGGCACCCATATCAGTTGTGCCCTGTTATGTTTGGCCAGTTCCATAGGAGTTTGGTGGCAATCCCAGACCAGTCTTGAGTTGATCTGGTGTTTGTCAAGCGCTTTAAGTGCAGCTTGGCTGTCAGATAGAATGTAGATGTTCCTATTTCTGTAGTTCCTATCTAGATTCTCCATAATACATGCCTTAATGGCATATACTTCTGCCTGGAATACTGTCGTGTACTGCCCAAGGCACTTTCTGTGTGTTAGCACATCATGTAGTGTGCTTTCTGTAGATTTACTTGTTTCGTAGGCATGCTGGTTTCGGTGTAGAGGATATGTCCTCAATGCCCTGTCCCTGATATGCATATCCACCATTTTCTCCATCGTTTTCAATAAGAAAGATGACAGACTGATAGGACGATAAGCCTTAGCCTCGGTATAATCAAGTTTCCCGGGCTTTGGGATAAACGTCACCTTAACTTGCCTCCAGGCCATGGGGATGAAACCATATGCCATGCAGGCTCTATATATGCAGCATAGGCGTGGAACTAAGAGTTCTGCCCCATGCTGCAAAAGTGCCAGTACAATTCCATCTGTTCCCGCTGACTTAAATGGTATAAACGTATTCAGTGCCCATCTGATTTTTGATTGGTTAATTATGACTCTGGCGAGGTTCCAGTCTATCCTGTTTGTCGTGCTTTGGCAAGTGCCCAGGTTTTGCTGACCCCATCCATCATCCGAATTATCAATCAATTTTGAATCAGGAAAGTGAACCCTGAATAATTAATTCAGTTGCCACACGTGTCCACTTCATCCTGTGGGGGTGTCTAAAGTCTGTCATATACAAATAAAGTCCAAGGAACATTGAAGAATGAAACCAGCAAGTAACAGTGGAATGTTCTAAATCAGTGTCAATATCTTGAGGCAGTTCACGTGTCATAAACACAAAAGCGTTTCGATGATAACACCAATAATTTTAATACATATTGTGACGTGTTGAACTATGCAGGGCACCCCTCCCCCCGCCAGCGGTGATGTAACACCATCAGCGCGCTGTCGTTACTAGGGTAGCAGGCGAGTCAACACTCCTTCCCCTACCCCGGCTCCCCCCTGCGGTGACATAACACGGGATGCCGCCGTTGCTACACAGCAAGAAACAACTCCTGACAGCGTTACTAGCAACATGGCGCCAGACAACAGTGGTGCCTATTACGTGGCTGTTTTCTGTGTTGTCCGGAACAAGGCTAAATAAGGAGCAGCGAAGACTATTCACACACAGTTCTCGAGTTCTGAAGCCAGTAGCCAGCAGTTGGGTTGGAATCCAATTAGTTACAGTTCTCGAGTTATAGCTCTCAAGTTCTCGAGTTCATGAGTTAGTTCTCAAGTTCTCAAGGCAGCAGTTACGAGTTGGCCAGTGAAGAGTACGCAGTCTAGTATTTGTAATACTGCAGATAGCAGTAATTGTGGATCTGTAAATTGTGTGATTGTAAGAGCAACAAAATTTCGCTATATCGGATACGGCGTGAAGTTATTTGTCGCGTTATACACCCAACACGTGACAATGTTATGGCACACGCTGAAATACACACACATATTAACAAATAATCATTCATACTTGCACACAATTATGTACTATTTGTGCTTATTTCCTTTGTTCCTAGGAGGCTACAAAGAACAGTATCTACGCCGATCAAAGAAAAACCCCCTTGTTCTGGCCAGATCACATTTCCCAAGGCCTACCATAAAGCAACTTCAAGAAGCTCTTCCTGAGTCTCTCTCTTTCCTTATTGTACGCGAACCATTTGAACGTCTACTGTCAGCATATAGAAATAAAATTGAAGGCCTTCCACATCGTTTCTACCGCAAAATGGGCAGAGAAATAGTAGAAAAATATCGGAAAAAGAATTCACACGCCAATGTTCTAAATCCCACATCAACAGGGCCTACATTCTCTGAATTTGTGAATTATATAACAGACAAAGCAGGGTCAACCAAAATGACAAAATTTGATGAGCACTGGGCTCCATACTACTCGTTCTGTACACCATGCCACATTAACTTCACTGTCATTGCAAAACTTGAGACTCTGACCCGTGATCAAGAGTATATTATCAGAAGAGCTGGACTTGAAAACATACTCATGCTACCAAGACACAAAGACAGACCTAAAATGATCCTAAATAAAGCCAGAGATGGTAAAAATACAAATGACTTAATAAGAAAATACTATGGTCAACTAACAGAACAGCAACTGAAGAAACTGTATGATATTTATGGGATTGATTTTGAAATGTTTGGATATAATATCACAAAATATTATGAAATATTTAAGAAAGACACATAACAGACTGATGTGACTGCAGGCATGTACTCATGTACCGAGGAAGACTCCCTTGCTGAAATACTACCTGGTACCTGATGGCTGCATAATTATTCATATTTTTATATGTTACAACATGCAGATAAGTATGCACCCAGAAGACTTGAGAATCATGCTTTTCAAAACATCGGGAACACCTCACCTAAATCGCAGCAGCATATAAGTAACTATCAGAGACACTAAATTTTTAATTATATGTACATCTTGTCTATTTTGTGCCCTTTTACGTTACTGGAACTCTGACATACTATGTAAAATTCAGAAGAGCTGTATGTAACACACCTACACAAAACTGCAAATGGTATGTGTATCAAGGTGTGTTCACACTACTTCAGTGCAATCCACAAACATTCATCTATCACTGCTTCTTGCAAACCACTCACAGCAGTGCATGGACCATTCGGGATTAACCTAAAATACGTATCATTCCCTCATTACCGACAAGATTTCTCTAGGGCAATGATTCTAAAATATGTTTCATGCAAAAGATTATTCTGCATAATAATGTCTAGAAAATATCATTTTGACCAACAATTTACTTGTAAAATCCTACGTGAAAACGCCTCACAAGATGCATTATTTGTGAGACATCATAATTTTTTAAATCATTACAGATACAAACTAACAGTAGTCTGAACACTGAAATGTGACCAACTGTACTCAAACAGGGCAACAGCTCTCAGCCCTTAGTTAAGCTTGTCACTCTGTAACATATGAACAGGTTAAAATCACTTATCACCACACTGCAAGTCTGGAAATACGAGCACCGCTAACCACTTCACGATTCAAGTTGTAAGTGCTATCTGTGCCATTCTCTTCTTACCCGTCCGTCTGCGCATGAATGTATTCTACCAGATCCCCGCACAAATGCTCCAGGACCAATTTAAGTAACAAGTGTACATACAACCTCCAACCTACTGTCTGTATCACCTTACCATCAGACACAGCTGATATTCTGAAACCTACGAATGCCAACATTTGTACATACAAGCTTTAATAACTTTTTTTTTTAATTCTCAACGTGATATTATGATGGCTCATTCTTGAATTTTTGACAATCACCATATGTATGTATGTATATATTTTCCATTTCCATGTAAGCTGTTGGTACAATTCAGAGCTTAATAAGTTCTGTCCCTAAACTGTGAGTGTCTGCAAAGGTGTGTGATGTGATTAGTAATCACATAAAAAAAATACTGTTGGCAGTATATGTGCTCAAACTTGAAAACCGTAATGAGTAGAATAAGTTAAGAAAGAATCCAGGGCTGACCACCCCCTTCATACAAGAAATAAGGTATCAGATAGAATTCTGCTCCAATAGAAAGCAGTGCTTATGAAAGACAAAGCCTTCTTCCATTGGGTCATTCAATTACTGCATGGAACAAATTATGTTAGAAGAGAGTGTAGCTGGATTTCTCTGAAATGATGTGCTTATTTATTAAAACTGTAAAGTATGCCATGCTATAACAGATATCATTTCTCAGTCTGCTTATGTACTCAGGAGGAAGGAACATGTCGTCTCGGGAAAAAGCAACTTGCAATCTATGCAGAACAATGCATTCTGTATGCCCTTTATGTTGTGACTCTTTATATATGTGGCTGTTTGTAAGACAAGGCTCAAAAGACCTGAGATTGGTTCTGGACTGCAAGGCATAGACAACTTGGTAACATCACTGACCCTCTTATCACCTCAGTTCCTACAGGGGGCTTTATGAATGTATTTATAAGCATGTTAACGATACCCTGCACATGGAACACAGGAACTGGCCAGCTCTGGAGTTCAGTGGGAACTGTGATATATAGACAGCAACTGCCAAATGTTATTAGGGAGTAATCAAAGATAACATTAACGAAATAATTATCTTTTAAATGGAACTTTATATTGTCAATGACAGTGACAACAGGCAGTCAATGTGGCTGGCTAAACTGATGCTCCTGGGTACTAGAGCACAACTGTCTGTTTCAAGGGGTCTCTAAAGCACAACAAATGAATGCCTTTTGTAAAATGACAATGTCCATTAACAAATGTGGCAATATTGGATTCAAATATAAATTCTAGAATTCTGGAATAGGGCGATGAAGTACACAATCTTATTTTATTGCTAAGTTCTGATGTGAACTGGTGCTGTCCAATTGTACCCAATTAAAACCAATAATAAAGTATACTAAAGGGTGATATGGTGGGATATAACATTCATTACATGGTAGATGGCAATTTCTGAAAGCAGATCAATGACCAGTGTTGGAAATAATATTTAGAATTGGCTGGCAGTATAAGAAATGTGAACAGCTGTGCACTTCTGGCCTCTCAAAAAGTGTAACAAACTCCAAGGCCCTGATGGCTACATTTCTGTATGCAAAACAATGACCAATGTTGAGCTCCTGCAAACTCTAAATGCAGCGTTTCCCATGTTACTTTAGACTATCTATATTCTGTTTAAATGTGTTTACATGCAATCATATTTTATATGTATGTACTCTGCTGAATATGTGCTTTATTTTAAGAACACAATAAAATGACATCGGAACCTATTCTTCATGTGAAACCTGTAGTTTCTTTCTTATAGACGGAACTCAGATTCAACTCATGCACTGTAAATGTGTATCACAAAACCACATACATGTTCTTCTGGCATAGAGAACCAAAGGGAAATAATTTACTTCTATGGGTCACTTTTTTTCCATGTTAGGTGGGTCCCTATCACCATGGCATGGCGCGTCCTCAGGTTGCGGATGGAGGAGACACCCTCCAGTTTTGAAGAGAAGCTGTGAATATATTGAATAAGCATTCACGGAGTCGACAAGGGGTGGCCCTCCAGCTTTGGGGTTGGGCCTGGGGCTAACAACTCCTCACCGTAAAAAATTATTATGTTATGAAAATGAACACAAAGCCTCGGACCTGGACTGATTCCTTGGACAAACGAACTAAGCTAATGAAAATGGATATGAGATTTGATCTTAGAGAGACAGGATGGGATGGTATGGATTGTATAGATCTGGCTCAGGACAGAGACCAATGGAGGGCTCTTGTGAACACGGTGATGAACCTTCGGGTCCCACAAAATGCTGGGAAATTCTTGAGTACCTGCAGAATTGGTGGCTCCTCCAGAAGGGCTCAGCTCAATGAGGGTCACTTTTTGGAACTGGAGTATGGTTTCGGGTTAATTCTGAAAAAATGGCATAGAAGATGGAGGAGGAAGCATTTTTTTGAATTGTGTACTTTCTAGCCTGTGGCTGATGCAACAGAGATAAGGACAGGTATTAGCAGGTCTCTCTGTTCCTGTTACACAATAACCACATTAAAGATTGAAAATGCTAATTTAATTAAACATAATTTATGTTGGTACATGAAATCAATATTGTCAGCAACAGCTGTACAGGGGATTAGAGATAAGCTCCACACATTCTAAAGCCTCAGCCCATTGGAAGTGAAGGGTAAGCATCATGATCTGGCCACTTTACTCCCAGAGAAAGGGTCCCAGTACCAAGACACATGCTAGGGCTGGTCTGGATGTAGTTCACTTTCAGTTAATATTCGTAAGAACAAGTTGCAAGTTACTGCTGTTACCACTGGACAGCATTCATGTAAAAGATCTCAAAGATTACTTTTCCATATTTCACAATGAACAGCCTGATAATCTCTCAAATTTCACACCTGTCTATTGCAATTTCTCGTTTAAAGATCTAAGCGATTTATGTGTTGTGCATATTCTACATTCTAACAAATCTTGGCTATTTTAAAAGCGAGGAGCAAGAAACACCAGATACTGTAAGCAGCCATTTGGGTCTTCTTTAATTGTCCAAATTACAGAATTGGAAGCCACTGACTCCAATTATAAAATGTAATCATGCATGCAACACTACAGGAAAGAAGATCTAACTTACTGCACAGGACCGTGAGGAGAAAGATGTAATCAGAGAATGTGATGAGGCCTGAACTTCCAAGTTTATAGAATATGCTGTCCTCATCAAGGGCAAGCTCCAGCTTCACGTGGACATTCTGATAGGATAGATATAGATAACACAGCATTAAGTATCCATCTCTTATGGTAATCAATGTTTAATGTATGCAAAAATTGATCTTACATCTATGTATCTTCATAAGTTTAAAGTGAGAACATAACTGACGCCAACATTACTTGGATGACAGTCTATTGCTATGAACTTGTAAGGTATTGTTCCTTCTCCCTCCCTTCATCCCCCCCTTCTCTCTCTCTCTCTCTCTATATATATATATTACCAAAAAGAGATGGATATTTCTCACATAACAAGACTTCCTTTACTACATACCACAAAAAGGCATTAAACACTTTGTTTTGTTAAAACCAAAACAAAAGAATAGGACTGATAATTACCTGAAAATAAAATATGATGTGAAATCACAAAATATATCTAATTTATTGCACCAAATATACTCACATGGCAATTTCGTATTATTTTAGCACAAGAAAGTATATGAGCAAAATAAATCACAGCAAACAAGCTGCAAGTGATTTTTACTGATAATTCTTTGAACAGATTTCAAAATAGGGATACAGGAGAATGTCACAGATTTTTTTTTAACAAATCTCCAATTAATCTAGCAATTTCAAAAATCAAATACATCATACTGAATATTGAAAGCAACAAGAACTGTACAAGAACAAATAATGAAACCCAACAAAGACTTCTATGTGAAACATGAAATATTTTAAACACTGCATAATTATACCATAACCTATAAATATGTTATGCAACCAGAAACAAACAGATCACTGCCCTATAATTGCTACAGGCTCTGTTAGCCACAACAAACTATTCTATACAAAAACTTTACTCTATTAGCAGATATCAAGTAAATGACTAACTTAGAACAAAAACTTTATGTTAATATGTTAAAAATTTACTGCTGCATGTTTCTGTAAGTCTACATCCATACTTGAGAGTGCCTGCAGCTTCTCAAAATAGATGTGGATTTCCACTGCTTCTGCAATCAACAGCTTACATATATAGGGATAAGGAATTGTGTCTGAGATCTTCAGAATTACTACTCTCAGTAATGGGTTCTGTTCCTGAGCTCATTTGTACAATCACAACTCGTAATTTAAACAGAACAGTATTCTACTGTAATAGCGCAAAGATTAAGGATAATTCTCATGGATGAATGTGCCAAATCAAAAGATACCATTGTTTCTGAACTGCCTGACTAAAGGTCTGATATAGTCGAGGAGGAAACATTACTATCAGAAGTCTTACGGCTGATAACTGAAAATAACCTGGCACCAAATGTCACAACAGCACTCAGAATGTTCACATGGAATACAGAACAATGGGCTAGAAACTTCTACAATTATATGTATTAAGCAATGGAAGTTAAAATATGTTAAGAAACAGCAGTGCTGAATCTCCTGGTTCTGTGTTACTTTAATAAAACACTACAGAAAGAACAATAAATGTCAGCTTCACGTAGCACCAAAAGTAATGTGCACTTTAATATTTATTTTATATATTGACTGAAATGTTTTATTTTATGCTTACATAATAATTAAAAAAACTGATGCACACCTGATTTTAAAATATTTATGCAGCTAAAAATGACACATTCTTTTAAATGTGTTGAAGAAACTCAGAGAAGTTATTAGAATCAAGTTCTATTTGTTTATATTATGTATTGTTATAATAATTTCCGGTAACATAAACTACAAACATGACACATAACATTATTAACCACAGTTTCAACTGCAATGACTATATAAATGATCAAAGTATCCAAAGTTCCAGAATTCTGTAAATCTAACATGAAACCAGGACCTACAATGGGATGTGAGGTTCTCACTGTGGTGAGTGTCAAAATTATGGTCTTTTGGAATGTGTCCCTGTGTGGTTTGGTAGACAGGTACCAGTGCTTTGCTGCCCCCATCTTATATCCTGAAGATGGGGGCAGGAGGTTCTTAAAAATGTTGGTACTATCTTCCAGACTACACATCACCACTTACTTCCCAGAGGATATTTATTACTTCCTGCTACCAGTACCATGGCTTCATGGTCTAAACACTGAACACTTACAACATACACCAAACTCTCCATTATCTGGCACATGTGGGGTAGTGGAATACTCCAAAACTTTTAAAAGACCCAATTCTCTCTCGATTTTCACCCTTTTCAAGTCTTTCACATACTTATATTTTCAATTTCATTGTTTTAGATCTTGAATGGAAGTCTTCTTAGAGGACATGGTGGACTGATGGGCAAAACATATTGGATATACTGTATGTAATAGGATCACAAATTTAAGTAGCTCCATGGGTCATTACAAGTGCAATGGTGCCTCTGTCAACACACATCACTGGCAGGGAGCAAACATGACAAATGCTGCTAGTGACAGCAGGGAAAACTACCGTATGGTGGGTTAGCAAACGTGAACTGCAAATTTGTTCTTGAAGTAAATTTATAATGGTAAATTTTCTTGAAAACTTTAGCAGGCTGCATGAGAATTCTGGATGCTTGGATACTGTGCAGCTGAGAGTTTACTGCTGTTATAAATTTGAACTTTTAAACTGAAAAGTGTTCTGGTCAATGGCAATGTGCTATAAAAAAGAAAAAATACATGGCATGCACTGAAAGATTCATCTCCACAACAAACAAACCCTTGCCTCTACTGGGATGCAGATATGTTGCCAGAGTAGTGAACCTACACTAAACTTCTACTAGTGCACTGGCCTGCAAGCAGTTAGCACAGACTGCCCAGCAGAGAATGTACAAAGTCCCAAGTTGCATACATAGACAAATATACGTTTACTGGTTTTATGTTGCACACTGTCTATAATGACACATAAATCAATCTATTACACAAACATTTAAATTCTTGCCTCAGGTCTCTATACATGGGTATACTTTATGTTTTACAGGTTCAATTTATTTTGTGAATTACTTACATAACCTAAAGATGTCACATTATTCTACAGTCTGTGTTGTTAATTTACATATATTACTTACATCCATTAACTACATTCTGAGAAATTTGAACATTTAGTGTAACTAATAATCATGAATAGGCAAAAACCACTATCATGGTACTAAGGCAATTATATTTTCCATAATTGGCATCTGTGAATCTTTTTATGCTACATGTAATGCCGTACATACAGCATGTTAAAAGGATTAAATTAAAAGGCAAGTGTCATTTCAAATTATTGTTTCCCCACTGATTTCTTGTACCAGTGTATTAACTAATCCGCTTTCATTTACAATGTGAATATATCTGTAAATGTATGTGAACTGGGACCTGCATCTGTGTATTTGTATAAGCATGGTATAAATTCTGTGAAGTATTTATTTAAGCCATACCAAACCATGCGGATATAAAAGAGTGAAATTTCACAATAAATACCTCATCATGATTCTGCAAAAGTACAGAGAGAAAGAGTAAGGAGAAGAACAGATAATAATATAACAGTGAATACATAAAACAGAGGCAAGATAAATTTCAAGTACAGTATAGAGCACAATAGGGCCAACTGATAGTGTACTTACAAGCAAAATGGGCCACAAGAAAAAAACAATGCAGATCAATTTATGGAGATGCCTGATAAGCAAAATATTTTAATTTGAGCTCAATACTAATGCCTCATGAGATGACTTACACACTTCAAAGGAACAAATATGGTTTATAAGACATCAGAAATGTAGAGCACAAACACTTGACAGGTCAAACCAATAGTCTTTGGTTTAATTTGTAAAATATGGTCCACATGGTGACCAGCTTTATTTAAAAGCTTACAAGCACTGACAGGGATATCAAAGATTCCTAACAAATGAACCAATGAAGACATTTACATAAGAAATAAAATATTGTGTACTCCCAGTTATCTATGCTAATGAAGGAGAAAAATGTATGGACAATAGAAACAAAGACAATTCATCGTGATTAAGAGAGATTTTGATTTAATTATCTTCCAAACTGCAAGATCTATGGAAAAAGTGCATGTAAAATGTGTTTAATTTTTTTGTTGACTTTTGTTGAAAACATTTTTGCTTGATATTTAGCTAGTTAACTAACTTAATGGAGCTGAGCCCTTCTTGAGAAGCTGCCAATTGTGTAGCTACTCATGAACTTCCCAGCATTTTATGGAACCCAGAGGTTCATCATCATGTTCATAAGAGTCATCCACTGGTCCCTATCATCAGCTACATTGATCCAGTCCATACCATTCCACCCTATCTTAGATCCATTTTCATATTATTTGCCCACATACATCTTGATCTTCCTAGTGCTCTCTTTCCTTCTGGCTTTCCATCAATATCCTACATGCATTCCTCTTCACCCACATTCGTGCTATATAGCCTACCCACCTCATTTTCCTAGATGTGATCATTCTAACTATACTTCACGAAGAGTATACAAATTATGAAGCTCCTCATTACAGTTTCCCCAACCTTCAATCACTTCATCTCTCTTTGTTCCAAATATTTTTTCCTCAGCACCTCTTTAGCTTAGATCATTCATGCAAAGAATCAGTCCAGGTCTGAGGTCCTTTGTGACATTTTGTAATAAGCTTAATTTTATGGTGAGGAGTTCTTAGCCCCATGCCGAACACCAAACCTGGAGGACCACCCCTTGTGGACTGTCCAAGACTGCTTATCCAATATATTTGCAACTGTCCTCCATATCTCAGGGCCAAATCCTCCATCTACAACCTGAGGATGTGCTATGCCGTGATAACAATTGAGATATGCACAGAAGTTCGCGTAGGTTTTCATGTAAAATTCTGTTATCAGATTTCACGAAAATCTGTCTGACAATTTGTTCCATGGGTAAATACAGACAGCATGAACTTAATACTCTCTCTTCACAGTTGCAAACACACCTAATAAAATGCACAATGGATAATTGGGAGTATACTGTATGCAGAATTACACTTCTTATAGAAATGATAATCTACTTCTGAGTAAATGTGTTTTGATTTTAAACTCTCTTTTTACATTTCTTTGTACTTATAAGCACTACCTTATTTCAGTGATAGCAATCTAAGAGCTGTAAGTGCATAACACTGCACAACAAAATAAACAAATTTTTCTCTCCTTTAAAGAAAACAGAAATCTCAACATGCTGAATTTCAATTCAAGTTTGAAAATTCTGTACTGTTAAACATACTGATGGTAAAAGTTGGGATAATCCACGAGTGTTCATACAGTACTGTGTTCACTACAAATGCATTAAAAGGGAAGAGAATTAATATACAAATTTGCTTCATCATTCAGAGTCATAATAATTGTCTCTGGTCATAATTAAACTTTTTCCAAAATACGTAGGAAAGTCAATAAGTAAGTTACAAATGGATATAGAACTTAAACAAATAAGAGTACTGATTTGAAAAATGCTTTTATTTCTCAACATAATCTCCCTGTACATTCAGGCACTTGTCCCATCATTTCACAAGCCCCTGAAAACCAGCAGCATAAAGTTCTTTGGGCTGCTGTCTGAACCAGGCGGTGACTTCCCTTTCTACAGCTTCACCGTCGGGAAAATGTTCAGCCGAAAGATGATGTTTAAGAGGACCGACTCCTACTGTAACATCCTCTGGAAACTTCTCAAGGCCATTCAACGGAAGTGACCAGGACTCCTCACCAAAGGTGTGTTGCTTCTGCATGACAAAGCGCGTCCCCATACTGCCAACAAGACAAATGAGACGCTGCAAAATTTCAAGTGGGAAGTCTTCAAGCATCCTCCGTACAGCCACGGCCTTGCTCCAAGCGACTTCCATTTGTTCGGCCCTCTTAAACATCATCTTTCAGCTGAAGATTTCCCTACGACGATGAAGCTGTAGTCACCGCCTGGTTCAAACAGCAGCCCAAAGAATTTTATGCTGCTGGTTTTCAGGGGCCTGTGAAACGATGGGACAAGTGCCTCAATGTACAGGGAGTTTATGTTGAGAAATAAAAGCATTTTTCAAACCAGTACTCTTATTTGTTTAAGTTCTATATCCATTTGTAACTTACTTATTGACTTACCCTTGTATGAAATATTAAACAAAGTTTAAAAATGCTGTTTATGATGACATATGTTTACCGGGTGAGGCCCAAAACTGAAGTCTAATAAATCTGTGGCTATTTAAAAACAATTAAATTGTTAAGAAATTGATCTGCATTGACTGACTAAATTCAGAGAATATATGAACTGCCAAGCACCAGATACCAGACCAATATTGTACCTAGGACATAGAGTAAAGCAAATATTTACGAAAGTTACTACAGTTTTATCGCTTTCATCATAAGTTGAAAGCTTAATTTGAGTGTGAAGAGATTAAATTTAGTGTTAATTTCTTTTATAACTCAAAAGTTATTATATCAGATTTTAAGATTCAAATAATCTGTTGTAAATTCTATTTATGTATTTATTTACCAAAAATTCTGACAATGGATACCCACCTTAGGATCATATCTCTTGTACTGGTCGAGCCCCAGACCTGCAAAACAAGATCAATATGAAGATCAGCACAGTAACATACACACACACACACACACAGAAAAATCACTGAGTACATCACATATGCTGACTACACTGCCTCTTTACAATATTTATTGTACCTCAAGTGTGACACGGAGTATGCCCTACTAAGTTGAAGAATCTTACTACTCTAGCTATGTCTGCCTTGGACAGTGAAATCCTGTTCCCTCTGAGTACCTCCTGAGCACGTGCACTGTGTACACACTAACAGCAGTACTGTCAAATGCTTACAGCAAACAGTACTTTATTGGAGGCACAAACTGTAATAAAATATTTACTGTGTAAACCGATCATTTCTTTCATGATTATGGCACAGAAAGAATGAGCTTGCTGTTGCAGCTCACTCCATGATAATTTGTCACATACTGACTGTGCTTCTTATATACCCATGGGGCTCCACTTCACTGACCCACCAACCTAATCACCTCTGCTATGAACAGTGAAGTGGCAACAAAAGCTGCAGATGCTAGAGGCAATCAATTTAAGATTTAACTGCCTATTCTGTCTAATCATCATCTGTAGTCTTGAAAGTCTGAACTATGTGCTGATAATGACCCTGAATGGAAGAGAAGTGAGACAGCCACAGAGTTTATATAAGAAAGCAGAACTATGATTAATTTTCAATGACAGGAAATAATCCAATGTAACTTCTTTGTTTCAACTAAAAAACTCCCTTCACTTGATGCTGTCAGTTTGCTAAGTGACAAAACTCTCAACTGTGTTGCACAGACAATTATGAGGACATCACAATCTACTATATGGGACCAATCTATACAATCAGCTACACAAAAATGGACAGCTGACACAGGATGAGTCCAACATCAACAAGCATAAATACATAACATAAAACAGATATTACATCAAAGAGCTAGACCAGTACACTACTCCTGACTCTACTTGAAACATAAATAGAAGTATCAGACGTAACTTTACATAACGTCAATGAACTATTTCCTTTTTTCATTCTTCTCTGTTTCCATTCTTAAGACAATCATTTTGTTTTGGCTTGTTTCTTCTACAATAAACTTCAACCTCCTTTTACAAGGTCCTGTACTAGTTTTGTATTCTATGACGAAACGTAACAGGTTAATTTCTGAGAGATTTATCTGAATATGACATACTCATAGATACATATAGTACAAAATATTTTTTATTCATTTTCCTAGATTCATATCAACATTTTGGCATTTGCATCACTAGATCTAAAACCTGAAATCAAACTAGAGAAGTTAATAGTCATATAGGTAGTTCTGTGCTCATGTTTAATCAGCATTACCATCAACAATTAGAAAAACACAGTTAAAACTAAAAGAAATAAAAAGAGTAATGCCTCTTTCTGTAACTTCATTCGGTTTGTATGTGGACAATTCAACTGTACTTAGGAACTCTGTGCTACAACAGGAAGTGAGGTTAGTCATATAATATCATTTCATATTTAGAGGAAAGACAATGAGGGCCTGGCACCTTTCTAGCCTCCTCACAATTTACTTCAACTATTAAAATCTATCGACTTAACTGTAAATGGTTCTCTGTGACCTACAACACAAACATAAAAATAAGAAGTACACTTCAGCGTGCACCATGATTGTATAAGAGTTCCCTGAAAATTGTTGAGCCATTCGATGGATGAGTCAGGCACAAACAATTCCCACCAAGTTGGACCAAAGAGGTTCAGACCATCAGTGGGACTTACACACCCACAGCCTGAACACATTACAAATATAACTCACCCACACTGCAGACAATGCTAGAAATGCTGCCCATTGTGTAAAAACTTCCCATTCATGCAATGAAGGTGTTCTTTTGAAACACAGTAAACTTGAAAGCTGAAACACCAGCTTTCTGCCAATTCAATCCAAGGATTTTCAAAAAGAATGTTGGAACTTAGCACCAATTTATCTAATTTCCCATCATTGGGCATTCAACATTCTAATTCTGTTTTCTATTTTACTCTGTTTCCAAAGAAGAATTTCAGTGTATATATGTAAAGCTTTTACTGAGGTGCCAGGAATGCAAGCAGAACTATGGTGCACTCCAGCATCCGCTGTAATCTCAGTAAGTTTTATTTAATGTGATTAGGCAGTAGGCTTGCCAGTTCTGCTGGTAGTCTCAATCCCTAGAGTCAAAGCTGATGAAATGTGAGTACAACTCTTCTGCCTAAGTAGCTCAAGTGATCTGCAGGGAGCCCTCAGATGACTGCACTGCACATACTGTATGTCGTAAGTATTCTTAGTCTTTTACCATCAGGTTGCTTTATCCCAGGTGTCATAGACCTCAAGAAATCATCAGGAGTCATGAAAACTTCATGACTCTCTCCACTTGGATGTGCCACTTGCAAAGTAGCAAAGTACCGGAACACTTTGTCAGGGGTGGAGTATTGACGTATACGGTTTTCATACTCCATGATCTGTTTGAACAAGCAGCAAGCAGAAGCAAGGTTGGATCATTAATGCAGGAGGTACATGTTAAACAGTGGTTATGTGGGACAACTGGTCACTGCAGAATCATATGTACACACACATCAACCCTTCAGAGCACAGTGGCTACCTTATGTTATTAACATTGCAGAAACTTTGCACTGTGCACACAGTGTATTTGTGTGTTTTGTACTGTTTTCACAATAACCAGCAATTATTTCGCTAAATAGGAATAACCAACTGGGTCTTTGTAATGAGGATGCAGTGTGTTTTCTCTGAGGCAGATATTGAATTCGTAAATATTATCCAGGTGACCTTCATGCTTCAAAGGGCTAATATTGAACTCCTGCTTGCTGGATATCAGTTAACTGGATGACAGTTATTAAGGGCAGTGTCATGGCATATGGTAAGACAACACAGTGACACATGATCAGCAAATTTCAGCTAACTGAATAACTGAAAAAATGTAAAAATGCTGAGTAGGACTGAAATACAAAAAGCCAGAACAATCCCGAATGCCAGAAATTATACAAACATTCCTGCTGCCAGATGAACCCATGAACTATGAGGGGCAGTCAAATCAAAATGGGTCAGAAGCCAAAATATATTAAAGAACATTTCTTACCTCAGAAGTAATCTCCAAAACTGTTAATACATTTATCCCACTGGGAGATAAGATGGTCAATCCCACCCTTGAAAACGCTTGTGGGCTGTCTACAGAACCATGTCTTTGTCCGATGCAAACCGATGTCCACGAATGCCTCCCTTCAAGTCTCCAAAAATGTGTAAATCACATGGGGAGAGATCTGGGCTGTAGGGGGGATGTTGAAGCACTTCCCAACCAAATCTCTGTAGCGTATTCCTCACAGAGTTGGCAGTGTGGGGGCGCGCATTATCATGAAGAAGGATAACGCCGTTCGATAGCATTCCAGGGTGTTTTGACTTTATGGCACGTCTCAGTTTCTGCAAAGTGTCTTCATAGTGCTGTGCACTGATTGTGGCCCCAAACTCGAGAAATTTGACAAGCAGAGGGTCCTTGCAGTAGAAGTGAAGAAGAACGTCGTTATCACTTTACCGGAACTTGTGTGTAGGGCTTTGGATTTCTTCGGTGGGGGAGAATTCACGTGTTTCCACTGTTGACTTTGCCGTTTGCTCTCGGGTTCAAAATGGTGGCACCAAGTTTCATCCCCAGTGGCAATATGGGACAGAAAAGCGTACTCTTCCTCATGGGATTGTTGCAAGTGACCCAGTGATGTAGCCATTCTCTGAGTCTTCTGTTCCTCCATGAGTTGATGTGGAACCCACTGCACGTAGATTTTGCGGTACAGCAGATGCTTTGTCACAATGGCGTGTATGGAACCATGACTTATTCCCATCAAAAGACTAATTTCTTCCACAGTGATCCACTGGTTTGCCCAGATATGACCATCCAACGCAGCAACATCAGGAGTGATGACACGATGAGCCTGTCCTGGGCGAGCATCATCTTGCAGTGACACACATCCCTCTCGCAATCTCTTATGCCATGCCAGCACACACGAACGTGACATGCTGTGTTCGCCGTAAACAACAGACATGCAACAATGAATTTCTCATCTTCCTACTCCTTCAACGGCCATGCCACAGCTCAAGTGGTTAGTTGCTGGCACCCCACCGCAGTGGCCTGGATTCGATCCCGGGTCTGGTCAAGTGGGATTTGTGGTGGACAAAGTGACGCTGGGGCAGGTTTTCTCCAAGTACTTCGGTTTCCCCTGCCAATCTTCATTCCACCAATTGCTCCACAATCACCCTTACCTATCATCTGAGGCTAGTACAATAGGCCAGAAGTGGCCGCAGTACAAGGGACTTAGTCCCACCACACTAGTAATTAAAAAAAATACTCCTTCAGCAGTCAAAAAGTGCACTACACTTCGCTGTTCTTCTTTACCTGCCTCCACTACTGATGTTGGATGACCACAAATAGTGCTAACATTACTTCCAGCACAATAAACAAATCACTAGTGTGCAAGGGCACATTGTCACTGTGCTTTCCCGAGTTCATACCGTAAGCAAATTCCAGTGTTACCAAATTGCACACCATGTGAGTTACACATGGTGACCCATTTTCATTTGACTGCCCCTTATACAAACACTTTGCACAGTTTGTTGGTATCACACAATTTATATTTCACAGTTCCATAAGACCAAAGCCGCTACAGAAATGCCAAAAGTCAAATTCTGACCTAGTGACATGTGCGTCAACTGTCTGCCATCATATTCTGACCGAGATGTGATAAAAAATGTTTCAATGTAAAATGCAGGTTATGAATCATTATGGACAGCTAATGAAAATAAGATTTTGATGGAGGCAGGGAACATAACATTAAAACTAAGGAATACAAACATGGCACATACACTGTTATATGAGAAGAGAAAACAAGCTGTCTGAAAATCTACACTAAAACAGTGCTCAAACAGGGCTGCTGATGGAAAGGGCACAGGATTTTTAGTTATGGTTTGCAAAGCATTTTCCTGCAAATAAGCTGGAAGTTCATACAAATTCAAGTTAGTTAGTTTTATGCAATACTACAGCACCGAACAGCTCAGCCAGCTCCTAGGTCATATTTAAGTTACAGTACAAGCATTACACCTCATTATAAGAGTCATAGCCTGTCCTGCCATTTATAAGTACATTAGATTGCAACCAAAGCTTAGAAATGTACAAGAAATACATTTCTCCTGCAGGATAATTTACATAGTAGCATTAATAAACTGCAGGTTACATAATACAGAAACAAACTACAAATCTGATAATCAGATGTACAAGTATCACTCGTCAATTAAAATATTCATCTCTTCAGTCCATGGAATAATATTTAGTGGGCTTCTTGTCACCACAGCATGGCACTTCCTCAGGTAAGGTTACAAGAGAACTGAAAGAGGTCTGTAATGTTTAACCAATGGCTACACCAACTGCTCAAGCAGACACAATCTTCACAGTTCAAGTTCCACTTCACTTCTATGATGCAGTTGTATTACGGCACATGCAAGTGATGAAGCCATGTAAACGAACAAAGCTACTGTACACAGATGAGAGTTTGATGCTATGATAGCTCTTACACCCTGTGCATTTACATACCGACTAATCACTACGAAACCGGAAACTAATTCTGAAGCCATAATAATCCTCCATTTTGACTTCACACAGTAAATAATCACCAAACATTATTACTAAGCTAAAATTAAACTCTCTGACTCTCAGCTCAACCAGCTACTGGACCAGATATGGAGAGCCAGTAGGACGGACTTGAGCTTGTTATGCTGAAAGCTTCTCCACTCTTTGAGGACTGAAGTCAAACTTTACATTTTCTGTGCTTATAGGCCACCAGAACAACTCAGAGTAGAATATCATTATTTTTCACTTGTTCACTTTCTGACAGAGATGAAATCATGTTTCCAAAACTGTCTGTGTGACACTGGGAGAACAAACGCCTAAAATTACCTTACAGATTAATTCCAGACAAATGGAACATTTGAAGTTTTTATGGTGTTCAGTAATCACTCTGATCTTCTGGGTTGTGTAAATATGCAGTCTTGTAGGTGGAGACCAACATTTCAGAAGAACCTGCTGCCTCCATTCTCAGGGATGAAGGGAGCTTAAGGGCTAGATGTCGTCAGGAGTGACATGGGCCATGAAAAGAGCACATACATACATACAGGTGGTCACCTATACAGCATAGGATGAGGAGAGGAAACAGAGCCGTCTGGCCAATAGGAATGATGAACAGAATGTATGAGGAAAATGGGCATATGGGAAGAGAAAGAAAAAGCCAAACAAGTAGGAAAGTAGCACTCTTTGGGGATAGATCACAGAGTCCCATATCAAAAGGAAGTAGTTATCTTGTCTTTTCAGTCAGCCTTCTAATTCCATCCATTAGGGGTGTGATTCAAAGGCTTCTGTGATGTGCTTGGAGAGGAAATGACCCACCTTCAGCTCAAGCTGCCTAATTTACGTCACAACTCAATCCATGTGCCCATGAGAGGAAAGTCTGAAGGATGGTTATTTGAAAGTCAGAGATGTAAAGTTCATAAATAAGGCAGTGTTCATTAATGGAGTATATACAGAACATAAGTCACAGCATCTACAACATCAGAAGATGCTGAATGTGGGCCCACCAAAGGGATCATATTTTGACTAAAAGAAATTTGTGTTAGCGTTGAATATCATATGCCCCTCTACTTGTTGCTACTGACTCAAAACAAAGGAACAAGCTGCATTAATAAAACTCATATATTCCAAGAACTTGTCTCAGAAGAAAAATCCCACCTCTACTGCTGTCCGTGTCAGTTTGTAGATTCCTGCTTGAGAGAGAACTCACACTCTTGATCATGAGCTGCTTACTAAAGATACAAAGGTAGGCAGGCAAATGCACCACTCATATAATGAATAATGAAATACAGTGTGTTTGGAAAGTCACTGTGCATTTATGAAAGGTGTTGGAAGTGATGTCCACGAGCGTTTACACAAGCCTGAGCCCGTTCAATTTTAACTTTATTCATTCTGGTCCTTCACACTAGGTAAATATTATAGAATGACTTGAAAACACCGTCCAGTGTGACTCAATGTATATTTATATGTTTCAGTCAGCTGTGACCATCTTCAGAAGACGGCAACATGTTAAGGAACTACCATTATGAAGATTATAGTACATCAAGTTTTGTATAAAAATTTTTAAAATTTAAAATCTTAAACCACTGAGGTTAGTGTCTTCATGCCTCTTCCGTCAACAGGAGGCTGGAGTGATGCTCCTGTCCTCAGAGGTCCGAGCAGTGTTGTTTTCCACCTTTTTTATATAATTGGTTAAGAATCTGTTTTGTTGTTGTTTCTTTCATTGTGTACTAAGGCATTGTAGAGATGACACATTCTCCACAAATCTCATTCAGAAGTTTCACAGAGTTGTTAGCTGTGCGCACAGCAGCACCATCTTGTTGAAACCAGAGTAGATGATTTCACCTTTCTCATGTAGGCAGACGAAATCATAGAGCACTGAACAGTAACGTTCACTGTTTCTTCAAGAGTTTTAATTGTTTTCGGACCACTTTATGTGCCGTTACAAGCTTCGTACCTTCCTCTTGTACCAACTTGTGCAATGATTTTGATGGACTCCACAGCAAAGAGTAAGAAATGTCCAACTTCTCATCGTTGAGTTTAGATGATCTCCCACTTCATTTGGCTTCTAACACTTCTCAAATCTACGAACTGCATGCGAAGAGGTAAAAGTGTTTCTGGGAATTTTTTTAGCAAATTGCTCCTGCACTAAATGAGTGTACCTATTGCGTTCTCTAAATAAGTTTTTAAAAAGAATAACATGTTCCTCAATTGAGGGGACCATAGTGAGTAAAAAATTAATTAAACAATTAAAACATTTCACCGATACAGCAACTTCAATACTGACAAACAACTGCATAACAACTGTGGTGCAGTGTACCATAGCCTAAGTGCACAGCGACTTTCCGAACGCACTGTACAAGACAGTCCAAATGGCATTATTGTTCTGAATTCATATAAATGGACATAATTTGTATGGTCAATTGATATTTTTTCAGATAAACCCCATGCAGTATAAACACACTGCAAATGAAAGTCAAATCATAGACAATTAACACTTTTTATTTTTGAATGAATATTATGAAGAAACCCGTGATAGGTACACTTGTCTCTGTTAGTGAGGCACATAACATAGGCCTCTGAGAACTTGCATCAAAGACTTCATATTTACAAGAAACCAATATAACATGAGCAATTTCTTTGGATGTCAGCACAAAATTAATACCAGTACAAACAATAAAAATTTCAAGGAGGTAGGACTCTCCATCTGCAAAAAAAAATGTGGAGCTTACCATCTGGCTGTTGCATGCCTGGAGTGATAGCTCGTAAAAAGTCATCTGGAGTCATGAAGATTAGTGTTGTATTCTCAGACATGATCTTAACTGTTGCAAAATACCGGAAAATTTTATCAGGAGTTGAATAGGAACGTATGCGGTTCTCATATTCTATAATCTGTAAACATTGACCATGGTGAAAGAAAGCTACAAAGACAAGATATTTAAACAGAGTTCAAGTGGCATGCTTACTGACAGGTTGGCTGTTGCTGTTCATCTGCTGTGACAGGATTCGTCAAAACTACTGCCAACTACCATAAAAGTGTTGATATCAGCAAGCTGTATCATACATGACTTATTGACTCTTGTTAAGTCTCTCTTCCTTACAACAAGAAAGTCAGTAAGCCTGTGTGAAACCCATGTTATATGTGGGCAATATTATTGTTACAGAACAGATACAAGAAGGTCCTCTATGTGCAAGAAGGGTTACTTCAAATCACTGCACTGATTTTATCTTAAAAAGAGACTTACACAAAAATCAATGAAAGTATAAACATTTATCAGGACACACTGACCAAATGTTATCTGTTTACCTTTCTATCCCTGAAGCCAACTTTCTCTTTCTTCTTTTTCTTTTTCCCATCATCTCCAACATCGTCCCCGGATGCACTCTCCTCAGCCGCTACTTCATGTCCTGTTTGCTGTGCATCTTTACCATTATCAGCCAACTGTGAGACAGCATCTACTTTTGGAAACAATTTCTTCCTCATACTGCAAACAGTCCAATTGCACACACATGCAATTTAACTACCATCCCTGAGTTGCAGTTTACACCAGTGAGATTAATTTCCAAATGAACTTAAATCTATGTACCAAGGAGAATTAATTAAAGCCCCATAGCCGATTTCAACTCTTTACAGAGAGAAAAAAGTTAAAAGAAAATTAATTAACCTTGAGTGTATCTTGAGTGCTTCTGTCGGGACTAGCAACAGTGGAAAGCTGGAGCTGGTCTGTGGGTTTGCTGACTGTAAATGGGCACTGCGAAGCCACTGCACTTCTTGTCATAAGAGAACAGTTGCTGCACTTGTAGTATACTGCTTACAACAAAAGGTTTTTTTTTTTAAATTCGCTTAGTGGGGGGTGGAGTCCAACTGGGTCCACTTGGCACGGCAACCACTGATTGGCCTATTGTAGCCTGCCCCATGTGATTATGATGATGGAGAATTTGGTGGAATGAAGGCTGGCAGGGGAAACCCAAGTACTTGGAGAAAACCCGCTCCAGCGCCCACTTTGTCCACCACAAATCCCACTTGACCAGACCTGGGATCGAACCCGGGCCGCCGCAGTGGGAACAACAAAACAATGACCAACTGACTGACTAACTTCATGGAGCCAAGACCTTATGAAGCCACAAGTCACTCAGATACGAAAGAATTTTCCAAAATTTTAAGGAACCTGAAGGTTCATTATCGTGTTCACAAAAGCATGCCACAGGTCCCTATTCTGACCCCAACGGATCCAGTCCATACCATCCCATCCTACTCTCGAAGAAGCATTTTAATATTATCCTCCCACCTACATCTAGTCTTCCAAATGATCTCTTGTCCCAAAACCATGTATGCATTCCTCTTATACATAATAACCTGTGTTTTTAAAAGATGGTGCTTCTGGAAGCATGCAACCAGAATATAGAAAACAATGCACAATCACCCTCACTGTGAAAACCTGGCTCTCTGACACCACACCTGTATGATATGAATATCTGATCTCTCGAGCATCATTTTGGGTGGTTCCTTCCATACACCAGTAACATTTAAAAGAAAACTAAGTTTGAAAAAAGCAGACTTCTGGGATGTGGCACCATGTAGATGTGGTGTTAACTGACGTTTCGGAGGAACCATTGGGGTCTCCCATAAATATCTATATCCAGGAAGGGGAGGTGGCCCTCAGTTTCAGTCTCCATTGTGAACTGAATGCACCTAAACAGTATCCACCAGTGCATTCAGTTCACAATGGAGACTGAAACTGAGGGCCACCTCCCCTTCCTGGATATAGATATTTACAGGATACCCAACGGTACCAATACAAACCTCTACCTTAATGCTGCGTCNTAAGTTTGAAAAAAGCAGACTTCTGGGATGTGGCACCATGTAGATGTGGTGTTAACTGACGTTTCGGAGGAACCATTGGGGTCTCCCANCCTTCCAACAAGCAAGCTGCACTTTCCACATTGGTGCACAGGGCTGCAGCTCTTTGTGATCAAGAAAGCCTACATGCGGAGTTGGTGGTCCTGGGGGATGTATTCAGGAAGAACGGATACAACAACCGGTAGGTCCACAGAGTTCTCAACCGTCGGCCCAACATCAGCTGGCCTGAAGATAAACCGGGCTCAGTTGCCTTCCTGCCCTATGTTGGGACTATATTCAACCATATCAGCAGAGTGCTGTCCCGGCACAACATAAAATCAGTGGGTCTGCCTCCAAACAAATTATCCAGTTTCCTCCGGCCGGTCAAAGATAGCCTGGGACTTAGGACACCGGGTGTATACAGTAACCCATGCGAGTGCGGCAAGGTCTATATTGGGCAGACGGACCCCTCCATGGACATGTGGTTGAAGGAGCATTAGCGGCACATCAGTCTCGAACATCTGGACAAGTCAGCTGTAGCTGAACACAGTATCGATTTGGGGTACCACATTCAGCTTCAGAATACCTCCATGCTCCCCACCATGACCCGATATATGGATCGCATCATTAGGGAAGCCATTGAGATTGAACTCCATCCTGATAATATGAACAGGGGGAGGGGGGGGTTGTCTCAGCAAGTCATGGAAGCCTCTCATCTGTTCCCTAACCCCCCCCCCCAGGACATGACACCAGATCCACAAGGCCACACACTCCATGACCGACTCACATGGCATCCCCCACCCCAGCTTAAGGGTTAATGCCCTCCCATTAACCTTGCCTGTCTCCCCTGACACAATATTCTATACCTGCTCTAACCTTCCTCCTGCTCCCAGACCTTTCCCCCCTCCCCCTCCACTGATTTCCCATGTAGACTTGTTCCCCCCCTTCCTTCCCTGCTTTCATATAGCTGAGTTTATTTCCAACATTAGTCTGCTTGCACCTGTTCTCACTGTCTCTTTGCTAGCAGACTTTATTTTTCCTTCTACCCTGAAGATGGAGGCGACATGTTCCTCGAAAACGTCGGTTAACACCACATCCCAGAAGACTGCTTTCTTCATAGTCACCACGGTGAAAACGTCAAATCTTACAAAAACTAAGTTTCTTTATATGGTGAGGAAGCATAGCTATCTGCAAACATACATGTACTTTTCCACATCTTTTCACAATGACATTTTCCCCATTTCAGATGCATAAGCAGGCAAAACCCTGTCTACAGAATAGAATATAGGTTATAGTTCATTTTTATGACCATTCTGGTACCCGTAGTCTTGCAATCTTCAGGTCACTTACTCGACAGTTTTCAAACAACCTCATTAGAACAGAATCTGACTGTACTCGTAGTGTACACAACCACTGTGTTCACAGATTTTTACCAGTACTTCTTAAAGCTTTGGAATCTTAAGTCACTGTACCCACCCTTTCCAATCCATTGCCAGTCCTATGAATCCAAGGAAAACAAAACTGTACCACAATTTTGTAAATAGGGGCATTGGCTCTGGCTTGTGGCCAAAATTCTTAAAATGCCTTCTCGTCTGCTTGTTGTAGGGTCGACACTGTTCATCATCATGTAAATAAGATGGCAGCTGGGGTACTGTTCTCCACGTTGTCAATGCCGCATTCCTAATTTGCACCACTTGTGATAAAGCACGTCTTCTGTACATTTCAGTGATTAATTAACCTGTAAATAACAGAAAGTCTGTGCACTTCTACTTATTACAAAATGTCTAGTCATTCAATACAGTTCCAACCTCACAAATCCAGCATGGCCTGGCACTAGCCACCATCCTGCAACAATATTAAACTCTTACTTAAAATAAAATTTGTCATACATATTTTTCTTCCCTTCGATTTCCTTATACAAACACCATAAAACAAGCATGTCCAACACGTCAATCGCGGGACAATTTTTGGTCGATCTCATAGGCCTATAGGGAAATTATACATGAAAAGCATGTAAATTCAATTGTAATATCATTTGATTACATTAAGATTTTGAAGGGAAAATACTGCTTTTACAACAAACATCATGTGTCGTGCTATTTTTACCAATATTTTTGCTTAAAGCGAGGTACGACAATAGGAGGGGGTGGTAGATCACTGGCAGTTTTGACACTAAAAAAGTCGATCACAACCTGTTTGAAGTTGAACATGCCTGCCATAAAACATTAAGTTATGAAGGTTAATTTAGGTGTTTTTGTACTGTAATATACTGCTCACCCGTGGTTCAAAAATTTCTGTTTGTAATAAATGATGCAAATCATGTACTAGTCTTTTGTCGAATCCATAAGCTAATGTAATTATTTAATATTCAGTGCTATAAATACTGAATACTTAAATAAGGTTAATGAAATCTCATATCAGAAAGATATTTTTGACTTCTACTTTACATTTCCGACGAAAAATTATACTGGCGGTTTTATTGTAAAACTGCTTTATAAGCCAACGAATCGTCCAGTGCAAAATCTTGAATTGGAAGTAAAAACATACAGCGTCGTGTTGGCTCACTTACCTCCTACAAAAAGATTCCTTCAACATTTCACAAGCTCTAAATCACACACCTTCTCAGACATCTTTTTACGTCCACACTTCCACACGTTCTTCACGCTGGACGCAATCGATCAATTGAGTAACACGAATTATGGATCGACTCGAATGTCCCTAACAATCGAATTATGAAAATTTTGCCGCCAATCTGCTACGGCTACCGTGTAATCCAGCAGACCCAAACGACGGCATGACATTAAGAACTTTTGAAATAGGTGGAGGTGATGGGTTCGCTACACGCCATAACTATATACCCTCACGTATTGAACCATTTGATGCTCTACGTGTACGCTAGCCACTAGAGCCAATAGATTCACTGTACCTGCTGACAGATAAGTCACCAGTGATCGTACTGAATATAACACCTCAGCACTTGGTCCACTACACTTTTCTAAGAGGGCTGTCACATTACTCATTAAAATAGGCACCTTAAAATTAATCCTGCTCTATAAGAGAAGTCTGTATATTGACTGGCTACGGGGTGGATGACCGAGGGGTTGGAGTTTGAGTACCAGTAGGGCCAAGAATTTTCTCCACATCATCCAGACCGTCTCTGGGGGTCCACCCAACCTCCTACCCAATGGGTATGGGGGGCTCCTTCCCAGAGAAGCTAGTGATGTGAATGAAATGTACCTGGAGAATCTAGACAAAATAGCTAAGAGGGTAGATGATGACAATGATCCAGACCTGATGTTTCTGCGAAGTTTACTACCTTTGATAAAGCAACTTTCACCACTTAAAAATTTAAAGAAGTTAGCAGTTTGCTAAAACAAAAATTACATTTCAATCAAAATTATCCGTATCACACTCGCATGTTGTCTGCCACCTCAAGTTTCCAATCCATATTCCCCTGGTACAAATTCTTATCAATCTGCCCTTACTCTGACTCCAACATTCAACCATGACCATAATCCTCCTATAAACGATGTTACTTTTCAGATGTGAAAATGCAAATGCAGAAAATATTGAGCAATTAATACAAATGATGGCTTGTTATGCTACATTACTCTTCAAATGTAAAAAATCTGACGAATTTAAAATGATAAAATTTCTGTTTTTCAATCTTATTTGTTCTCTTACCTTAAAAATATTGCCAGCCTGTTCTGAAGAAATGGCTTCCCTGTAATTTGTTCTTTGCTTACTCACTTCATCAACAATCATACTGTGCAACGTGAAAAAGATGTTAGAGCTCATTCTGAAGTAATTGTAGAATTTATTTTCGTTATTTAATAAGTCCAGAAATAGATGACTGAATGATCCGAGCATAGGTCGTTTCATATTTATAGGATGTACCCAAAATCTATATCGCTGAAGTCTTAGTCTTCTCAACCGTCAAATTATTATTGCACTTAATACGACATCCATCTTCAAAGATACTTTCTAAAAGACTGGCGATGATTTGACTTATTCAGTGTGAAAGCTATTGACTGGTTTGACTTGACTGATCTAGACATGACTGCACTGGATGTGATGGGACTGGCTTGGTGTCAAACGGGCCGTAGTCAGCGCAGCAAGCATAGAGACTGAAGAATCTCCACTGTTAGAAACCATCATCATGAAACAACCAGTGAAGACAGAGAATTTATGTGTTCTGTAGTTACAGTGGTTTGGAGTGTGTAATTTAGCGAGACTGCTACACTTGCAGCGTTAAAATCTATCAGGAAACGACTAGTGGAGATTGTAACAGAGAACACTAGTCTGTGTGTGGCAATGATTTGTGAAGTGTGTATAAGTGGTCAATAAATCGAATCATCAGTCAAACCACACCTATAGTCATTCCATCATTTGACAATAATTTCTGTACTGTCACAGTGAACCTAAACAATTTTCAGGGTAAAACTTAGCATATTTTTACTTTTTTTACATGTGTATTTCCATTATATTGACCAGACTGCATACAAACTGATTCAAATGTTGGCTAAACATGGTGATTAATTTTCTCAGTGGCATATATAAAGTTCTAAAATTTTCTTATGAAACCCACATTTGATAAGGGATACTTTTAGAGATCTTTTCAGCAGATCAGACTTTGGTTTTTAACTCTAGTCATCCCAGAAATGCTAGTTTATACATAAAACGGTTAATAAGTTGCTGTCATGTAATGCAACTGACACCTTGCCAATATTTTGTACAAGTTATTTTGAAGTCTACATCAATTTTTTATGAAGCAAGAAATATTTCTCTGGTTTGCTTCACCAGTATGAGTAACTAGCAAATCTCTTCTTGTCGTAATGTAAGAAGAAAAAAAGCAAGACAAATGCACTATAACCTGTCAGCCAATACTAACAGAGCACACTCTGCACATTACACATGCCACATTTTAAATTCATACACAAATAATTAAAATTTTATTCTTTAAAACAATAACGCTTTTCATGGTTATATGCTATTGCTGTGTCAAGAAGGGTGGTTGCCTACCAACGACCCTTGTTTGCTGAAGTGGGCAAGTTTACTGGCTGTTGTATAGCAACAGATGATACCTCTTCTTAAACTACTCTGTCAGGTCATGATGTGATCTTTGTTAAACACAAAAATTTCATTGGCAACATTTCTGCTGCAGGACTGAAAGACAGGCTAATGAAACTATGCAAAACATAAAATGTTGGCATACAGGGTGTAAATAAATATGTGACAATGCTCTGTGGTAGATATATGGCTTCGATCTGATGAAACTTATTAATACACCAATGTACAGAAATGCTTCCTTTTGGCACTAAGGGTCACAAAAGTTTCCGAGAGGATGCATAAGTTTTAGGGGATGTTATCACTGTTTTATATTATAGAAGTTGCTCAAAATGGTGGCTGCCAACTTCAGTGCACATTCTGAATGGCCTGGCTATGTTATGCAGAACTCTTTGAACAATTCCCTGCATTTCTCAGATGGTTCCAGCTGTTACTACAATTCTTGCCATAAGATTATATTGTGTCTCCACTGGAGTCTCGTACGCCAGGCTTTGCGTGTACCCCCAGAGAAAGAAATCCAGTGAAATGAAGTCAGCAGAGCGAGGGGGGCAGGTTACTGGGCCTCCACGTCCAATCCATCTGTTGCCAAAGGTTTCATCCAAATACTAACGAATGACATTAGTGCAGCGTGCCGGGGCTCCATCATGCTGGAACCACATTTCATGACAGACTTCCAAAGGCACCATTTCCAGCAGCTCAATTAAGGTCTCTTGGAGAAATGTTAGGTAAATGTCACCAGTAAACCGCAGAGAGCCAATTAGATGTCCATCAATAACTCCTGCCCACACACTGTCAGTGAAGCGATGTTGCTGGCTTTGGACATGCTTCGTGTTTGGATTTTCTTGAGTCCATACATGGCTGTTTCTGGAGTTGAAAATGCCATCCTTGGTAAAGGTATACTCATGAGAAAAGAAGATAAAGCAAAGGAAGTGAGGTACCTGCACAGTTTGTCCAAGCAAACATCGAAAAAGCTGACATGAGCGAAGTCATTCGGTCCCATCGCTTGCACCTTCTGGAGTTGGCAAGGGTGAAGATGCTCCTTGTGCACAACTTGCCCTACCGACATGTGGTTTACACCCAGGGTGGGTGCAACGCTTCGGGTACTAGTATCAGGCTGCTCTTCAAAAAGCGAGATTACCACTTCTTCAAAGTCTGGTGTACGGTCCCTCAGCGGATGTCCACAGGGGTGTCTGTTAGGACTCAAGCTGCCTGTTTCATGCTGTTTCTGCTATTTCAGAGTTCTACAGGTTGCTTCCCTACAGGCATCCTTCTTCACATTTCAGAGGCCCTAAAGTGTAAACAAACAATTTCTGGACATGGGTGTATTAATAAAATATGATCAAATGGAACCCATTTATCTAGAACAGAGTGATGTAATATATATTTCTTTACATCCTGTATAAGGATAGGATCATACTGGAACACATGTTTCGAAAGTATTTTTATTGATTTCAAACTGATAGCTTATAATAATAAACATGACATTACCAACAATACTCAAGTTAACATATTCATGAAGGAAACTTAATACAGTGTGCAGCCAAGAAGTTTAATCCTGGCCGCATCTTAACATTCCACAATCTTTCCTTAGTAATTTCTGATTGTAAGTATATTTCCCCTTCTAAGTAGGTCATTACATAAAGTAATTGACAATTTAAACAACAAGTATTGTTAATTCAAAGCACACTTCGCACAGAAAACGAAACATTTTTTAACTGGAAAAGCGAGGTTATAATGTTAACCATGTAACATTTCAACTGTACACAAATATACTGATGTGTCAAAAGAAAGCATTCTTTATATATACATGAATAACAAACCCAGCAAGTAGGTCCTTCTTCCACATGTAGATAGCTTTACAATTTTAAACTTGCAACTGTCACATTGAACAAACTGTTCCCATACACAAGATAACAACACTAAATATTAAAGATTCATTCTTGAAATAACTGTACTACAATTTCAAATCAATATCATCTTGAAAAGAAAATATAATCATAAGAAGGGAGGAAGAGGATAACCTTCAGTCCAGTACTTGGAATGTGACATACAGTATAAAGCAAGAAATAAATGAAGCACAGAAAGAATGTGCACCCTGTTTTCTTACATCACATTTTACCCTTATACAGGACAAAGAAAAACAAAGCACGCACCAATATACGCTTGTAAGCTCTTTCAATAATCACAAACCTTCATTCCCTTTCTTTGAAAACAGATGTAATACAGAAATTTTAACTGTTTATATTAAGTAATACTTCAATTCACAATAATGCCCAACAGATCATTTAAATGTGTTTATCTTTAAAGAAAATAAACACACACTTGCACAAATATAGATACAACAAGAGGCAATGTGAGGAAGGTAGTTTTCTTGCAGCTACACTAGGTAATATTACCAGCTTCTGGATGAAGCCACTGCAGCTAGTTTACTATGAGCCTAGCATTCCATTTCCATAATGTTGTGCAAAGCACCATAAGCCAGACATTTTGAGGTCTGTACTTGAGACTGAAGTGACTCACATAGCATCAACAACCACAGCAATGCTGTTGTCAGTAGCTCACACTGTTCTGTCTAATGATACTATGATGGGTGTCAAAGGAAGTTGTAATAGCCCAAGCTGAGATTTGACATGGGACTACAAATATAGTTTCTATCCAGAGGTGTAACAGTGCCTTCAATGACAGTTTAACCAATAAGAATCTCTTCATTGATGGATCAAACAGTGGTGCGAAGAAAGCTCTGTAGGAAGTGATGTGGCCAACATAATTCTGTCTGCTATGTCCTGGTGCCTGTTCAGTGCAGCCCAATGAGACTGCCACTTAGGTACTGCACTTTCATGCATGTCTGACAGCAGTGTACACCCTGTACAATTCCAGCTGCGCTTGCAAGTGTGTTCCATGTCCATGCGCTTACTGCCTGGCAACCCAGGCTCACTATCTGTTCTAAAAAACATCTGAAACCAGGCCTACAAGATGTCCAACCATTTAGTTTCAGGAAGGGGAGAACATCATTTCAATTGTGTTAATTTCACACCACAGTGCAATGGTTAGCAGTGCTGCTTAATATTTTGGAGGTCCCAAATTCAAATCTCAGCCAAGTGACTGGACATCTTTAGATTTCTTGTGATATTCCACAGCAATGCCAGGTAAATGATAGGACAGCACCATAAAACATCCTCCCTAATTGTTTTGCTATTTCAGCTGATGGCATCATTCAATAAGCAAAGAGTATTAATAAACAGGATTTTTCTGTAAATAATGAATTTGTCACCAATCATGTCACCATTCAAGAAAACACTTAACATAGTCATCTCTAAGAGTGAAAGCTCAACATTTTCATTGTACAGATACAAAGCAAAGTCTCTCAATTTCTGATAAGTGTGAATGAAAATATCTGTTTTAATTCTTTGAGGTCATAACTTGGATTCAATCTGGCTTTTTAACTTTTCCTTTGTGGTGATACACTGGAGTAGATTTGTTCAATCTTTTTTCACTAGTTTAGAAATCAAATGGCACCATACTTTTTCTGCAAAAATAAGTGGATTTCGGGAGACCACAAGGGGTAAAAAAACGGAACCTCAAAGAGTTATATTATCACATATGACATTTATAAAACTGAAAATAGAAACTTCTATTCTCACATGTGCAAGCATACATGTGAATTTTCATAGAGTGATACAGTAGCAGTTAATGAAAATTATCGATGCATACTTCTTATGCTACTTCACCTGAGAACTGTGTCCAACACCCATATCAACACTCCAACATAATTATAATAGCAACACTGTTCATTTGAAGGAGCAAGAGCTAAAACTCTTGCATCACAATTTTCAGAAGCTAACAACACTGTTATACAAAACTGACTGAAAAGACAAGACAACATAAAATTACAGTGTCAATGTGAACTAACCAAAATTATTCACCAAGCATTTTATAACAGATCACTGTTGTGGAGAGAGCAAACAGCATCTTAATCCTTGCCTACACATTAACAAATTCCCATAACCTACATCCATAAAGCACTCAATATCATGTATTACTTCATAAAATTAGAGTTTTTCCTTTTAAACTGACAATTACAGGATTTTCCATTGTGTCTTCATAATTCATACTTCCACTCAACTGCACCATTGGATTCAGAGTAGCTGTGAAGCAAACACTGTCGAGTGGCATGAAGCATATGTAATTCCACAGTCATATGACTGGTACAAGACCAAACATCTGTGCAGAAAGCAAGTGGCCATAGATCTCTACTGCATACCAACCATCATCAATTCATTATTCTTGGCAAGAGAATCATAACAAGGCCCAGGAACTGGAAGAACTGGATAAATACTTATATATTTTTAAGAGATTCCATGGCATTAACTTACAATGCTTTCCATGCACATACATTTTATAACCATATGTACTATAATGAGCAAATGCACTATGAGATTATTACAATAGAACAGAAATATGTTGTTAACGAGCACAAAGTTTTTAAATGTAGTACAGCCAGTTTCTTAATTTTATTTAAATCAGTGATAGAACTCCGAGCTATATTTAACTAGCATTATTTTTACGTCTCTCCATTTATGTGAACATATCACACTCGGTATTCAAGAGCCAGAAAAGTGTTTTATTCCATCCATACTTTAAAAAAAAATTGAAAAGTGATCATATTTTGACTTGGGGAATTTTGTGAATGTCACTATGTACTGGGGTAAAAATAAAATATTTAAAATGCTAGAAAAGAAAACCCAACCAGAAAGTTTTGTCAACACAGCCAATGTTGATAAAGCTAAACACAGCAATGATACAAAGATGTCCTTCCCAAAAGACACATTATTAGCATTCAAACAGAATGGCACTTCTAGTAGACTGCTATTCTGTTTACCTTGGGTCTTATATATCATGCTGAAGCAAGCAGTACAGAAATGACTAACTCTTAGCAACATCCATAGGCGAAGGAGATGCAGCATTGGGCGGTGGAGTCACGTGGCTTCCAATCAGAGAACTATTACTAACTGGTGCCATTGCAGTGGCTGGAGGGATTGCTGGCTTGATAAAGCGTTCAGATGTTCGGCGACCACCCTGTCAAGTCAAAGTATCATTTATAAATATATACATAAAAGCAGCTCATTTTCATAACAAATTATAGACAAGGCCATACTACAGTAACAGTTAGTAAATATTTTCAACTCCAGCCTGGGGTTGGAGAAACTATCACTGCAAAAACCAGGCAGGTTCAAACCTATTACATAGGCCTCAGGCTTGGATGAATTCTTTCAAAAATCCAAATGGAAAAATGACATGAAAATTGGAATATCAGACACTAACAGACCCTACAAAGGCAGGTTCATTGAAACCTGAAACATGGAAGTCTTCATAAGATAAGTTAGACTTGAACAAAGTGCACAGTCACATGGGACACGAATGGTATCAAACCAGGAGCCAATTATGCACTTCTCTATAGAAAAGGGAATGAGACAAGCCTTCTGAAAGTAAGGAAATCAAATCAGCACTGAAATTTGATAAGTCACTCTCATAATTTCCATGTCAGGTCATAAAAGCGTCAATTCAAAGTAGTGGAGAGCATGGAACAGCTACTGACTGCAGGAAGGATGAAGAAATAAATTTAATCTGAAAACTTCCTGATCACACTTTGTACAGGAGCACCTATGTGACCTACTGAATGTGAGCCCCCCACCTTTTAGTGAAAATTCGTCTCATTTTAGGAACCAACTTGTCTCTACGTACCCCTATTGGTGGTGCTGGAGGGGAGGATGACACAGGCAGGAACCCTCCAACTGTTGGACATGGAACAAGAGGTGTTGGGGCCACTGCGGCTCCACTAGGGCCCAATGGCAATGTGGGGTAAGTAGCCTGACCACAAGCATAGCAACGACCCATGGCAACACCTGAAGCTGAGAAGCTATCACGTGCTGAACCAACCAAGTTTATGCCTGAAATAATGGTAGACAAATATAATAAAGTAACAACCTTGCCTTCTAATTTCAAAACAAACACAGTCATTTTGAACTACTGCATACCTCACTCTTATATCCTCCCACACACCGATTTTCTGCTGAATTATTAAACTCCACTTTTACATTAAATTACCTAAATATGAAGCAATTAGCACAATGTACACAGAAAGAAGTAAAGTGAAACACAACTGTGAGCTATACAAGAGCTATAGCACTAGTAAGAGGTAGCAAAATGCTTCCTACCACTTGCCTCACTTCCTCTTCCTTGATAATGTCACAGTTACAGACAACAGCAGTATATCATTCACTTCATTTATTAAATTCCTGCATCTTATGAACTTTCTTTCAGTCCAACCCATATAAGTAAATGTTTGCTGTAATGTTGGTACTCTACAAGAAATCAGAAAAGGTTACATGCCTAATGGCCACTAAGAAAAATGGTCAATGTTTGCCCACTTTACAGAACTCACCAGGGCTGAGTGGTCTGGATGAACTTGGCGATGGATTATAGGGGATGGGACTTGAAACAGTACGTGACCTCATGTTACCCCCAGACATTGCAATTTCATTGTAGTGGCGCTCTTCTTCCATTTCCAAACTGTACACACACACACAAACAAAAAAAAAAAAAAAAAAAAAAAAAAAAAAAAAAAAAAAAAAGTGAATTATTATTAATTAAAACATGTAAATATCACCAACTGGAAAATATTACATTGCCCACAATGACATCTAGTGCTAATACAACTACAACCAGATTAAAAAACCAAACTGTCATGGAAGGTACATCCACCTTCTGTGATAAAATGCATATATCGACTTTCTTTCATACAAATTGCTCACAATTTCAAGCAGTAACACTGGTAAATTTTAACAGAGTACTAACTTGACCTTTTTTTACAGTGAGAAAATACTTCATATAATTAATGCTAAGTAAACATTCAGTAAATTAAAGTTGGACTGATCCCTGAATGCCACAGCACATTTAAATCTAAACAATACTCACTTCCAGAGATTAGGTGTGCCATCTAAGTCTAATGGCAGCAAGTGAAAAAGAGGGGAGGGGGCACATTTGCTAAATATATCAGGTCACACTCATAATTATTATTTTCTTTATTTGCATGCAGCAGTGATATATAATGGTAACTCTGGCCATGTATTCAGAAACAGTATGGACCACTTATCTTTTTCCACTGATGTTAATGTCACTGCTAAGTTATACTGCCGTATACGTTCCCCAAAGTTATTCGCTTTGTGTGCATCCCACGAGCAGCTCTCATAAACAGTTAATGCCTCAGTGGGTTAAGTGACACCTTTCTATATCATGAAAGCATTCAGTGTTTCATTCACATCCCCAGTATCTTGCATACTCAAAGCTCTAATGCATATTTCCTATGTCATGTTTCTCATGTTGATTATTCACATTCAGCAGTTCTATCAGACAACTCATGCGTCATTTCATTTTCCTCTCTTCTTCCATGTCCTCTGTTCATTTTTGCCATTGCAGAGTTTCACTCCAGTCTCTTAGTCTGAGTTCTCCAATGATGATTCATTAGCATTTCCTCTATGGTTCCTCGCAACTTTCTCAAACAGTTCAGCCATTTTACACCTCTTAAAACTTTCACATGCTATATTACACACTTATATTTTTAGTGCTTTCACACACAGTACTAAGTTCACAAAAGGTTACAAATCATTCCTGTTGCGTAGCAATCCTGAGGATAATGATACCTAAGCATTATATATTGTGGCATGTGGACCCACTGCTAGGCCATGACCATGAAATGAGGCAATATGAGAATACAGCAATAATGGAAGAGATGTATGTTTTCTACAAGGTCTGTGCCGAGATTTTATAACCAGGACCAGTTAGCAGCTGCTGTCATAGAACTGCTGCGGTTCAATTGTTGTGAGGTGTTGCTGGTAGCTGAGGTTGGGGACAATTTGGGAACCCAGAGAAAGGGAAACGTCTGCCACTGGAAGTTGCTACCAAGCAACGGCAGTGAAGATGTGCTGTGGACATTAATTTAATGTGTGTGTAATAGTGAACTGTAAAGTGCACTCATGCACTGTACCAAGGAGGCAATAAATTGAGTCATCAATCCAAAACTCATTTACAGTCACACTCCATCATGTGAAAATGTAGATTCAGCCTACCTTCTGTCCAAAGAGTAAGACAGCAGCATTAAAAGAACCTTCCAACCTGTCAGCTGCAACCCAGTTAAGAGGATTATTTATTTACACACATGGCAAGGCACAGTAATTCCAAAATCCAATGCATATTATGGTCCTGCATCAGTTAGTCTGTATCTGTGGCCACATCTGAGAGGTCCAGATATCATGCAGGGTAAAGGGTAGGTACGAAAGTTCTGTGATTCATCTGAAGGCCAAGATAAGTATGTGCACTTGCCATATTTGACTAATACAACCGCAGTCACAGTTATGAGCCCCCAGCTGCTGTCACTTCTTCACTTACATGCTTCCAGATTAGAGGAGCACTTTCCACATAATCAGCAACATCCAAGATGATAGCTGACAGTGAGGAAATGCTTCATCTCAGGCCTACAACTTAAACTCTGCGCTTCACTGTAAGCACATTCTTTTTATAATCCTATAATACTTACTGCATTTTCTTGAATACTCTGCACATGCATGCATGCACATGTTAAAGCAACCAAAACTGGAGTGTGTAGCAAAACTGTGACAAGATGGCAACAGTTTACACTTTATTACTAATGAGGCTGGCAATGGTAGGCAGTTTATGTGACGTAGTTAACAATGATGTACCCTATTCATCAAGAATTTGGCAACACTAATCATGCCAAGAACCATCTAACTTTCCCAAATTCTTCCTCTGGTGAACCTACACATACTCGCAACTGATGTGAGTGCACATGTTCTGTTAAACATGAATACCAAGGTATGTATCTATTACCTTTCCTGGAGAGTAAAAAAGTGAACATAATGCTCAGCAGAATAAATTGAAAAACCATGCTGGCAGAAAATGCTGCATTACTTATGAAACAGAAGAAAGACATGAACATGTAAATGGAAAGCAGGAGTTTGATGCAAATTTCAACTGGCACTGTTTTTATTTTCATGTCTGAATTTCAAGACACTATGTATTATATACACTTACACTCAACAAGTATGCTCTAATACTCCAATAATATTCATACACATTTTTTTGTAAATTTTGTTTCCTAAAAAAAGGAGCATTGGAAATGTGAGAAAAGACTGTAATACATTAAACCAAAATCTTAGAATTATATTCTCTTACAGTTAATGCAACATCACCAAACCCTCAGCTTCAGCCCATTCGGAATTCATTCACCTTCATCACAGCTTCAGTGTGTCATCATTTTTTTCCATCAAATGAATTAAATCAAGTGCCAGAAACCCATCTTCATTAGAAAAAAATTTTCTCTTATGTCATAAACTGTCAACTTATTGTTAGAAAAACCTACATAAACACTTTGCACCAATACATGTCCACTTTGGGATCACATGACTCTTGAATCCTTCCTCTAAACATATTCCTTTTGAAAATTAGTTCTTTGTTTATGTCGTGTTCTTCAGAGATGCAAAAGTATAATGTAAATGGAGAAACGACCATATGAACTCCTATGTTCAGCAGAGAAAGACTGCATACTGCAGAATTTGAAGTTTCTATTTTCCAGTTCCTAGCACTTCAAGTTAACAAAATTTGACTCTATCTCCATTTATTTGTTTATACACCTGATTTAGGGCACCACAAAACCATAGTTTCATGGGAAAAATGGTTATTACATTACTTAAACTTGGCTCTTCCAAATTTTTCAAAATTGCAAATTTGAAATTTCAATTTGGTACTGTTTAACTCCTATTTCTTTCCACACTATGAACATTAATCAACTGAACAGGTTACATCATCCCCCCTGTGTAACATAAACAAGTCATGCAAATTGACCATGCTTATCATGAAGCCCACACAAAAAGACATGAAGCACAAAGTGTTACCTGCTCTCAGACTCAGATAAGTGACGACACAGGGCCTCTCGCCTTTCCACTTCCAGCTGGAGTTTACGCTGCAGTCGCAGATTTTCTTCACGTATGTTCTTCTCCTCATTAACGTATCGCTGCATTTTTTCAGTATCTGATAGACCAGAATACAATTTGCTCAAGTTCTGCCAGATCAAATTTACCACTTAACCCTGAAGTGCAGATTCAAAATATCACTGACCACAACAGAATTGCAATGTACAGACAGGTGAGTCTCCACTTTACTACATGGAGATTATAACACTGGAATGTAACATGTAAGAGGCAAATCAGACGGCAACTGTGCAAAACAGCAAAGTGAACAAAAGTAATCACTCGGACTACACGTATGCATTCAACAAGTTTCTCATTAAGTGTTACACAGACTTCAAAGGTGGTAAGTGAAACTTCTTCTCACGCTGTAGTCTTCTGGGTTATGGCATTATGTAGTCTAGTTGGAGGGTACCAGGGTTTCAGGAGAATGTACTCAGGCTAGAATATTCCTCCAAAATGTTGGTACCCACCTATCAGACAATCGAGAGACCTCCATATACATTTTCACTACCTATAAAACCTCAAATCTCACACAGAATCTTCTTTCTATATTCTTGGAAGACCAGTGATTTCACTTTTAAATTCCTTGTAAAAGAGTATGAAAGCTATCAACTTCCCCCTGCCAGTGAGGCTCTAAAAATGTAACTGAACTCTATTAATCCCTTGCTCTTTTGCTATACGTTGTGAGCTTGGATTACTGAACTCAGCACTTCGATACAGAATTCTTGCAAACACAGGCTTTCAATGTTATACTTACGCTCTTGTTGCGATATAGCAAGCTGATTGCGCAATCTTGCCACCTCACTGCGCAATGTTTGAATGTGTGTACTTAAATTGGCAGCAGTGTCACCATTGCTAATTTCTCGTGGCGACGCTGGATCAGATACTGGTTGATCCAATTTAATCTGAAGCATCCTGTAAATATTAAGCAAATGAAATGTTAAACAACATGGAACAAACTGTCACTTATGAGATGGCTTTTCAATTGGATGATCAGATTTACTGCACCTTTTACATTCACACAGTTCGGGAACTACAGGCATTACAGTGCTATCGCTATTCTACACGCTCTGCAGTTCACCATTCCACACACACTAGGATTCTCAGTCTTCACTAGTCTTCAGAATGGTCTAAAAACAAGGAGATGCTTTATTGCCACTCTTTTTCAACTCTGCTTTAGAATATGCCATTAGGAAGGTCCGGGAAAACCAGGTGGGATTGAAATTAAACGGGACACATCAGCTGTTGTCCTGTGCCGATGATGTGAATCTACTGGGTGATAATATACATACCATAAAGAAAAATACAGTCTTTAACCTTTAGCGTACGGACTTCTAAATTGCCAGGAGCCCTCTGCAGCCAGAATTTAAATCGCCCTAATTAATTAACATTGCAAACTTTCGGAAAAAAATACATATTTTCCGTCCTATGCAACATAGAAATTCGAACTAAAAATAACTCGAAAGACAATAAAATTTTCTACACATACTCAAAAGAGCAATTTTTACAAACGAAAATTAACTGTGATTATTTTGTCATGAAATTCAAAATATAATCTTTATTATATATGTTATGAAATTCCAGAGGACTTACCTATAGTTATTTTTTTTCAACTTTGAGACTTGGTGATACTGTAAACATAATCACACTATATACAATAATATTTTGTTCAGACTGCACGCGAGTCTGAACTGCATAACTTCACAGTTTACGATACCTCACACTCTGTCACCTGTGCCACTTCTCGAAGCAGTCCGCAACATACAGTGCAACTTCACACTTTTTGCAATAGAAAATGGTGCTCCTGCTTCTCTTATTTAGCGAAACACACGACGTCTTTGTTTCCCTTTGGTTGGCCAGTGTTGTGAATGTTTCACCTCCAGCTGAGTCAGTTGGGCCCCAGATAACCTTGGCCTCCCCTTAGAAACGCCACTGACCATGGTATTCACCTTGTGCAATTGAAGAATCATCTTGGGGGAGGGGGGTTTCCAGCAAAATCAAATAAATTATGTTGATTGACAAAGCAACACCCTCACCTGTTAGTAATACTCGCAAAATAGTGATGCAAAGTAATTATAATACTAGTCGGAAAGAGTGCCAGTCCAACACTGACATCGAAAGTCACAGTGGCAAAGATGCCTTTTACTCACAAAGTAATACTGGCTCGGTAGGTTTATACCACTTCCAAGACACAAAATAAAAATGATACACAAAGAAAAATATGAGAGTATGACACTGACTTTTTAACCGATAAAGAAATATTAGACAATCCGACACTGACTTCCTAACTGATAATTGGCCACTGAAAACCAATCCTTGAATACGTCACACTTCCTTGAAAGCTCTGGAAGCACTCACATGCAAGTACTGATGAATATTTCCCCATCAGTTCTCAAAACAAAGCTGGGCTATATTTGGCTAACCAGGTCATAAACAGTCATATCAACACGTAAATAGAAACCAGTACCTAACAAACGATTTCATTGTTCAGAGCTAAGGAATGAACCACTGACATGATCTTACATGTTTTTTTATTTTTTTTTTTTTTTTTTTTTTTTTTTTTGGTTTCAAACCCAAGATCAAACTGTCAGCGTTCCCAAAGAGAGCATGTGTCCTGCCTCATATAACTATGACATTCGGCCATTAAAGGTTAATTGACTGCAGGACAGTCGCAGGAGCACGACACAACAAAAGCACAACACACAAGATAGTGAAGGAGTGCTCCAACAAAGGAGAATGGGCGTGACTGACGTAGTGAGGGGCGACGTAGCGATGTGGTATCCTGAACAATTTTAATATTTTTAACGTTTGACAATGTATATGATAGATACATATTTTAGTTATTTTAATGTGTGAACATGGCATGCAATGAACTGGTTTGACGTGGATAAGTAAGCACCTGAAGATGGCATTATTATGCCGAAACATGTAGTGCGAGGGAGAGAAGGAAATAAATGAGTGTATGCACTGCAAGACGGATTAAATAAATCATAGAATGATCCAAGTCATGGAGATTGAGGTGGGCAGGGCATGTAGCATGAATGGGGAAGACGAGGAATGCATATAGGATATGGGTGGAAAAGCCAGATGGAAAGAGACCACTGGGAAGACCAAGACATAGGTCGGTGGACAATATTAAAATGGATCTTAGAGAGACAGGAAGGTATGGTATGGATTGGATTGATCTGGCTCAGGATAGGGACCAGTGGAGGACTCTTGTGAACACGGTAATATACCTTCAGGTTCCATAAAATGCTGGGAAATTCTTGTGTAGCTGCAGAATAGGCGGCTCCTCAAGAAGTGCTCAGCTCCGTGAGTGAGTCAGTAAGTAAGTAAGTAAGCTGCAGTTCTTAGGAGACATTTAATTTTGCTGCAAGTTTATAATTTCTCCCTTCCTTAATAAAATATGAACGTGTAACCTGCCAAGCACAGCGAATTATGTCAGAAGTACCTTTTTTCTGCCTCCAGTTTGTCCATTCGTTTCCACAACTTGTTCACCAATGCCTCTTGTTCCTGCTCCAATGTGTTTTCCAGCTCTACTTTTTCGCGGCGCAACTGTTCCAAATTGCTTTGTTTTGCTAGGGTCTCTGCTTCCAGCTTCTCAATTTTGCGCATAAGTTTATTCACCAAGCATTCTTGTTCTTGTTCCAAAGTCTGCTCCAAACGACATTTCTCCTGGCGAAGCTGCAAGAAAGAAAGATCAGCTTCAGTGCTGCTTAGAGCAAGCATGAATTCAGTCTCCCTCAGAAACACATTTTACAAGAAACCAAAGAGACATCGCCATCTTCTGCTCTGTTATCCCACCATTGACTCATGTCTGTGTTTGAAGTTGGCATCACTGGGAGGAATTGGCTGGGTTGAAATTTCAAATAAAGCTCACAGCATCATGAGGAATCTGTGCAAGAATCAGTCTTAGAATAAAGAGGGTTATGAATGATTTGCACTCACAGGCTATGCTAACATCCTCATAATAAATACCAAGGGAAAAAAAAAGATTCAGGAAAACCTCGTCACATTTGACAATATGCATATTTCTCGCAAGCCAGAAACAATTTTTAGGCATATATACAAGGTGTCCCAGGAGTATTGTGTAATACTTCAGGAGTGTACTGAGGGTTCCCTAGAGAATAACTTTGAAATAGGAACCCATGTCCACAAACGTATAATAGCAGTGCTAACCCCCTCCAAACTGTGCTCACTACGGCTGATGGTTTTCCCAAGCTAACTAGTGTTGTTTTGGTAAATGAAAGGAACGTGTGTCTGTTAGACTGTTCTTTGTTTACATTCACTCACTTCTGCAATGGTGGAAGGCTATACGTTCGCAGAGCTCAGAGACACGCATTATCTCCATGGTGTGGTTGAAGGAAATGCATGAAAAGTTGAGAGACGGTACAGGGAAAGATTTCCCAACAGAAGACATCCCTCTCACAAAATGTTTGTGAGCATTCACCAGTGACTAGGTGAAATTGGGTCTCTGCGTCCACAAATTCATGCGGGATGTTCAAGATATGCTTGAACCGTTGATGCAGAAGAGGCACTACTGCATTGCACAGAGGAACAACCATTCACCAGCACTCGTACCATTGCCTATATTGTGGGGACATCAAAATCAAGTGTTTGGAGGATCCTGCATGACCAACAACTTTATCCGTATCATCCAACACAAGTAAAAGACATAGGTCCAGCTGACTTTGTACCATGAGTTCAATTTTGTCAGTGGATACTGAACCAGTGTTTACATCAGCCCAACTTCCTGAATCACGTGTTATTCACAGACGAAGCGCAGTTTACAAGGGATCGCTGGTTCAACTGTTGAAAGAGCCAAGTTTGGGCTGACGAAAACTGCAATGTTACTATAGCTGGTTACCATCAGGCACAATTTTCTGTCAATGTCTGGATGGGCATCATTGACAATCACTTGATTGGGCCTTTCCTCCTACCACCGCGACTCAATGGGCCTTTATAAACCATGTTCCTGGAACATAACCTTCTGACTCTGCTAGAAGACATGTCACTGATTGCGCGGAGGCAAATGTGGATACAGCATGACGGAGTGCCAGCACACTTTAGCGTTGTATCACGAGACTACCTGGATGCTGCTTTTCATGGTTGTTGGGTAGGAAGAGGAGGCCCAGTGACTTGGCCACCCCGATCCCCAGACTTGACACCTCTGGACTATTTCATCTGGGGCCATGCAAAAAGCCTGATCTACGACACGCCTGTGGATAACAAATTTGAGCTGCTGGCCAGAATACTTGTTGCATGTGATGTGATCCATGAGACACCTGGAATATTTGAAAGGGTGCGCCAAAGTTCCTTTCGTCGATGGAACACAGGCATTGAAAATGGAGGTGCCAATTCCAACATCTACTCTAGCAGGTGAGTCTTAAGAATTTGGAGGGGGTAATACACCTTTGCATGCTCTTTGACATTGAGGCACAAAGTTTAAACAAAATGATATTAAGTGCCACCCTAGTACTGCTATTTTACATCTGCGGAAATGGATTCCTATTTCAAAGTTGTTCTATAGGGAACCCTCAGTACGCTCCTGAAGTATGGCACCAAACACCCTGTACAAGTAAAAACATGAAATGGGATGGAAATGCAATGCCTCCAAATACCAAACTCAGTATTATCTTTCTACAAGATACAATTTCTTAAGTAAGTAACAGGCTCATGCTACAAGTACTTATTTTGTATATCTGGCTGAACTGTGGTATGGTTAATTTTCTAGGTTGGTGCTATTGGAAGAAAAGTATTTATTTTTATAGCGCAAAAGTTGATTACATTAATAATCAGTGGTGTACGGAGTTAGACATCCTACACACAACATTTTAAGGGTCTAAATACAGTTCCAATAGCCTGCATATGGTCACACAGACTTAAACATGAAGAAGTTGGAACAAAACAGTGAATGAAATCCATAATCACACAATACATATCAAAAGTCAAATCTCTATGTTTAAAAAGAAGCCAAGATCCTATCTATGAAAACATACATATATTCTACTCTGTACATGAATATGCAGTAAACCCTCACTAACCAGGTTACAGTTAATCTGGATTAAAATGTGAAAAATGCTGTTCACAGTTGAGCACATACATACTTTAAAAGGCACATGGCATTTAGGATGGCAGATGAATCACCTGTCTGTTCAGTCAAAAAATTTGACAGTTTCCTCAAACCTGCACTAATTATTAGATTCAAAAACAAGTACAACTTCTGAGTCTTCTATCTGTGAACAAATGTATTTGTCTTTTTTACAGTTTTTAAATAAAGACTATAGATTGATAATTTTGTTACTCTTTTTTCATCGACACTACTCATATCACTAAATTTTCCATTTATTTGTGTTCTAAATTTTATGGCTCTTAGGGCTACCTTTTGCTTCACTAATCCAGATTATTGCTTAATGTGAGTGAGCTCTCCCCTAAATTACTCTGGATTAGCAAGGGTTTACTGTATATCACATTAATTAACATATGATAATTGTCCACCAAGTTGGGTCCATGAACTGTACTTGGGGTGCTGGGTCTATGAATTGTACATGTGTTGTATTGTGTTGCAGTATTATACAACTAAAACTTAGTTCGGTTCTTGAATTTCTGTAATTTTTGGACCATGCATCATACTGATGTGTCACACACCAAAAGTTAGACTGAGTTCTCAGAATAAATTTAACAAGTCACAACATGCCTCAAAATTATCTGCTAGCATGTCAGTGTATATTTTGACATCTGCAACATTCTCTCCCTCTCTTCAAACTCAGTTCCTCACCCCTACCACTGACAACAAGTAACTGGTTTTGAGTATAAATTCACATTAAGTGTAACATGTCTTATACTTATGTATGTAAATGCAATTTCACCAATGTCTGGTATTACATTTTGTCTTCCTTTGACATGAGGGTCCTCTTTCATACAGGCTATGTAATGTGTTAATTTTTTCGTGGTACAGTCATTAAGTTCGTGGACTGTGGTTTTATAGCATCATATTACAAGGTATTCACATACGCTAACTTTGACCCACATGGGCCCTAAAAATAGTTGCCATCAGCCCCTATGCAAGTCTGCCAACGTTGATATAGCTGCCAAAAACAATGCTGAAACACACTGGCAGGAAATTCCCATACAGTGTTTCTTGTGGCATTGACGGCCTCATCGGATGACTGAAATCTACAACCACGTAGCTTTGCTCTCAAGCGGTGAAAGAGAAAGAAATTGCATTGTACGAGATCAGGTGAGTACAGAGCGTGTGGCAACACGGTTACCTGTTGCCTTGCCAGTTCATCTTGGACAAGAACAGAGCAATGTGTGGGGGCGTTGTCATGTAGCAACAGTCAATACTTCACATGCCAAACGTTTCATTAGGGGATCTGCCTAGTTTTTGGCAGAACTTGATGTTTGCCCTTTGTTCAAACTGCCACATTTTCGATTTCGCCACTTGCATTTAACTGCAGTTCACAATAGAAGCAGTAGTTCTGCTTACACTATTTGCACACAACTGTCTCTTGCTGTGACGAGAGATGAACTGACAGGACATCATATAGTGCCTCAACCTGTACGCTGTAGTGCCCTGCAACGACACTTTGCAGCCAGTCCACGAACTTAATTGACTATGGTAGTATACATATTACTTACACCCACTTTCACAAAGTAAAGACTAGAATATCGAAGTGCTTCTTCCAATTCTGATTCAACTCCACAAAACAGGGTTAATATGTGTTAACAGAAAATGTCAAATAATTAAAACTAACCTGATTCAACTTCCTTGACAGATCATTGGTCAGACATTCCTCCTCTTGTTCATAATGATGGGCTAATGTTTCTTTTTCCTTTTTCAAAGCCTGTATCTTTTTGAGCAAGGTGTTGCTAATAAATTCTTCCTCCTGTTCAGCCTTTGCTTGCTGAAATGAAATTCAAAATGGCAGAAACAAGAATCCTACATTTTCGGATACATGAACTTCTAATTGGTATGAATTCCGGTTTTATTCACCTACAAGGAGCAAATTTGTTTCTTCTTCCATTACAACCAACATTAACTGTTGTTAATTCTCTAATTAATGCTAGACTTTTGGAACTTACGATAATGACTGATGCTTGCCGCAGTCCTCTATTTTCTTCTTGTAAGGCTTTCACGCGCAATTTATAAGTTTCCAGTTCAACTTTTAATACCCTGTTCTGCTGCTGCAATGATTCAATTCGTTTTTGAAGCTGTTCTCGTGTTACTGGAGATGGAGGCATCATTATTGGTCCCCCGTCAATGGAGCTAGAATCACTCTCACTCGCACTATCCGCCATGTTTCTCCGGGGTTACAACGTGGGGCCTGGCCAAATCATTTTTGAATTGCTGGTATTAGTAAAACTGTGGTCCTAATTGTAAAAAACAATTTTTATATATATATCACACACAAAATACAGCCATACACTACCTCTATTCAACAGCCGCAATTCCTTTCTTCAACAGACAGATGTTCAATTGTCGGCACTTTAAGAATTACTTGCTACCGTTCGTCAACTATTTCGGTGGTTCCACTGCACCACGGCATCACGGACCACGGATAACTATGTGCACAACATCCAACGCACTCTGACCATAGTCGAAAACTGCAGGAATAATAGATATAAAGCATATCCTACAACTAAGCTTCATATGCTTCTCATTGTAAATGACAAAACTCATTGTAATTTTTATAGGTAACAGAAAATTATGACACAGTTGCACTGTATTAGCAAACAATATAACTAGTTTAACTGTTTACATCTTTGAGACACAGCGGACTGGTCAACCAGGAAATCGGGGTTCGATTCCTGACAGGGCAGTTTTAAAACTTCCGCTTTAAGCACTGTAATTCAGACTGTAGGAGCCACCAAGCCACAGATTGCAAATGATGGACCAGAATGATTTACTATAAAATCCAAAGAAAATAAATGCACACATTTTGCTCAAATCAGCATGTTATTATTATAACCTCCAAATGTGGAGGGTAGCCGCGAATACTCGTATACTGAATAAGCTATCGCAGATTCGGAAAACTTAGACGCTGAGATCGACAGGGCATTAGCACGAATGAGGCGATCAAGAAAGCATATAAGACATTCGTGGGAAACCCAGAAGGAAAGAGCTCACTAGAAAATCCAAGACATTGGTGAAAAATATTAAAATGGATCTTGGAGAGATAGGGTGGCTGTTATGGACTGGATCGATCTACCTCAGGATAGAGACCAGTGGAGGGCTCATGTAAACATACTGACATAGTGTTCCTCTATGAGGAGGCTACTCATTGACGCATTCGACGACTCAAGATGCTACAAACCAAGAAGACCAAGCTACTCTGTACCCTTCCCTTCCTTCTTAGATGCAGAGACTATAACACCATCCCTCGTTTCCTTCAGTTCAAGCACCATATAAATTCTGACGCTGCCAACAGGATCTATTGATGCACTAGCTTCTGTTTGCTCCGTGAACGCACCCACCACACCAGGTGGGAGCTGGACGTTGTATCCAGAGAACTGTTTAAATTACACCTGCACTTGACCCAGGACTTGTCCGCTGATGACTGCAAGAAGTTTCAACGTTTGCATGAGGCCCAACACCCACCCGACCCCCTTGACAACAAGAAGACTTTGGTCCATGACCGACTCGCATAGCAACCCCCCCCCTTAAGGGTTAATGCCCTCCAATTAACCTTGCCTTTCTCCCCTCACACAATATCCTATACCTGCTCTAACCTTGCTACTGCTCCTCAGACCCTTCCCCTCTCCTTCTGCACCGATTTCCCATGTAGACCTGTCCTTTCCTTCCCTGCTCTCATATAGCTGAGTTTATTTCCAACATTAGCCTGCTTGCACATGCGCTGTTTCTTCGTTTGCGGATCTTCTTATTTTTTTCTTCTACCCTGGAGATGGAGGCAATACGTTCCTCCGAAACGTTGGTTAACACCACATCTACACGGCGCCACATCCCAGAAGACTGTTTTCTTCATGCTACTGAACCTTCGAGTTCCATAAGATGCTGCGAAGTTCTTGAGTAGCTGCACGACTGATGGCTTCTCCAGAAGGGTTCAGCTCCATTAAATCAGTCAGTTAGTTAGATGGTGAGGTGGCTATTAATAGCTTGGGAAGTTATTAGAGAATATAAAAAATTTTGGCTGAAGAAAAACCACATTATCACGAATTGAAGCATAAGCCATGGTTTTACAAAGGATGCTCAAAATTATTAGATCAAAGGAAACAAGCCACATTGCAGTTGTTACAGGATCCAAGCAAAATAAATGCAAATAATCTGAACAATATAAGACATGAAGAAGCAGGCATTTCAGGAACAAAAAGAAGGAATACCTGACTAATTAGGCATAATGTACAGACCAGACATTGTGAAAATTTAAATTTTCCTACTTCCTCTATCATTGTATCAAAATGGTGTTTACTACACTGGTATTAAAAATTTTAATAAATTACCACTTGAATTATAAAAGCTTGTACAGATGCCTAAAATTTTTAAGAGTTCCTTAAGAAGATATCTGATGTTGCACTGTCTTTACAAACTGGAGGAATTTTATTATATAAATGGTTAATACTTTCTTCATTTGCATTAAATTTTTTGTAATAATATTTATTTATGTTCTATGTCTATGTTATGTATATTTTACATTATGTTGCCTAGACTTGTTCTAGTAATTAATTGGAACATTTGTTCTGGTATGTGACTCATTCTATATCCAATGGCTTGTGAATATACTTTTCTCAACCTGTATCTGGATCTGCTTGAATTTGAAATGAACAATGAACAACGAACAAAATTAATAAGCTGGCAACAAACAGTAAGAACATGAATATTAGAGACCTGTATAGAGAATAAGGGAATTTAAGAGGGGTTACCAGCCTAGCAGTAACTTAGTGAAGGATGAGAATGGTGATCTGCTTGCAGATTCCTAGAACATTTTGAAGAGTTGGAAAAACAACTTCTTTGTTTTTGACTGTGCATACGGTCAATGACGTTAGGCAGATAGACATACAGCTGAGCTGTTAATACCAGATCCTAGTCCTTTTGATGCTGAAATTGTTACTGAAAAGTTGAAAAGATATAAATTGCCAGGTTCTGATGGAACTGATTCGAGCAGGTGAAACATAAGGTCTCAGAAAAATAAAAAAGTTAAAAAATTTAAATCTATTCCTGTAACAGACCATGGATGTCTGGTATTTCCCGTCATTTAGATTTGCTAAAATGCTTATGACATCCTAAGTAAGATATATGGCTCATTCTAGTACCAACTGAGAGCTCATAAGTAAGGCCCTCATTTGGTATCTGACTCACAATATCTTAGGGCAGATCAACATTTTACCCTGACCTTTGACTTTAGTTTAGGAAAACTTATGGTGAAATTTATGCAGCAATTCCCACAGCACACAGCGATTATTTCAATACATCTTTGGAATTAAGCTGGCACATGAAAGTAATGAAAAGATGTATCTTCTGCCTGTTATGAGCTGTCTTGTGACCTGTATAGACATGCTGCAGGGCATCATGACTCATCTAAAGTTTCAGTTCGTACCTGATTCCAATAGAGTTAAGTTGTATTATCTGTTCTAGCTATTCCTTAGTGGTGTGGTCATGTGTGGTGTTAGTTTTCATTTTTGCAAAGTTACAATGGCTGCAAGTGCCACAACTGTCAAATGACTTAATGTTTTAAAACACTGTTGTAATTCCTTGAAGGTCAGTCACAGCACAAGTTCCAAGATAAACTCCAACCTGTGTTGGAGTGGATAAAAATGTGCCTGGTATTCAGAGAGGACAATGAGTCTGTGATAAGAAAACTACTTAATATTTGCCAGAAGTTCTGGAATGGAAGCACCTGTCTCTTCAAGCTCAGAATATGACAAAGTCTGACTTGAGTAATTTTCAAATTGAGAACACCCATGCCATGTTTTCCATGAACACAGCTATGGGACCATTAGAGGACTCACCACTTTTCACAAAATTTGTCACAAGTGAAGCAGCCAAAGGAAAAATTCGAGAAAGACAAAGGAATGATGAAAAGAGAAATAAAATATTCAGTTTAACAGACTCTAGTGGCTGAGACAGCTCAGATGAAGGCAAAGTGAAGGAAAAATGAGCAAAAAGGTCAATTTTTTTATGGATTATCCTAAGAGCTGTTGAATCAGGGGAATACAGCAATAACTCAAAGCCTCAAATTGCATGGTTGGGGCTGCCAAGGAATTAAGTAGCTGAGAAAGGAATGCTGTCAAGCCAGACAAAATGCTACTTTCTGCAACAGTTAAAAGGCAAAGAAATTTTATGAATCTAAACAGATCAGTAAGATTATGCTAGGGCAAAGAGATGATGTTCTTGTTATCTCAGTTCGTCTTCAGAAATTACCGGTATTGTGTAACCTAAAAGAAGCCTACTTAAAGACTACCATATTCTGGGATATAACACTCTGATGTCTGTTGAAAGCCAAACAAAGTTTCAGAAGAACACATCCCCCTCCATCTTCAGGATTGAATAAGGGTTGCCCAGTCCGATGAAGAGCTAGATTCAGTCACTTTCCTGCCTTACAGTCAGGTAAAGGTTCGACCACATCAGCAGGGGGCTGTCTCAGCACATCAACTTCATTGACACCCTACACCTTGCTCATCATGTCACAATTCTTTGTTCATAATCAGTGTTTACACTGTCACTGTCAGTCACAAATTGTGTGTGATCAAGCATCACTGATTGTAATCATCAACAAAGTCCTTATTATCATGTGACATTCATTGTCTCATAAAATCATTGGCTGAAACTTCACTTCCAATTTCACTAATTTTGAACTCTTAAGTGCAGAGTTGGTTGAAGGTCTGGACAAGGTGAGTCTCAGTCACATGCTGCACAATAACTAAGTTCGTTGATACATAAAGAATCCATTTATATCATTATAGCTTGATACAAATCCAATCTTGGTGTACACAGTGTGTCCAGGATCCGTTAGGACTCAATTTTTCAAATCTTGCCATGCAATGCCATCTGTTGGCAAGTTGTGGTGTTAAGATTCTTGAAGTTTCAGCTGTGGCTGTCTGTAATTTCAAAGCGCAAGCATCACTGTATCATGTGTTCTGACTTTGAATGTATGTGGGGCAATCCAAAAGTTTCCAAAATTTGAATTTTGCGCGCAAATGGTTATGAGTACATCGAAATACCGCTAGGTGTCTCCTCACACATCCTTCTTGAATCAGTGTGGCAAGCAGCACTGAGTTGAGTGGTTGGGTTTATTGTTGGTGAACGTATTTCCGTTGTTGTGTTTCCGTGAGTTTGCGGTTTTGCGATGGCTGACCTGAGAGAGCAGAATGTCTGTATAAAGTTTTGTTTCAAACTTGGGAAAACCGCTGCAGAAACGCACCAAATGTTGAGGCAAGCTTTTGGTGAAAACAGTTTAGGCCAGACACGAACTTACAACTGGTATAAGCGTTTTAAAAATGGCCGAACATTGACTGATGATGACGATCATTCGGGACGGCCGTCAACGGGCAAAACACCAGAAAATGTCGCGAAAGTTATGGATCTGATTCTGCAAGATCGTAGACTGACCATCCAAGACCTATGTAACACCTTGGGACTAAGTTATGGTATATGTCAACGAATTTTGTCAGAGGAACTGAACATGAGGAGGATTGCGGCGAAGTTTGTGGCACGACTGCTGCAAAATGAACAGAAGCAGCATCGCTTGGAAGTCTGCAGGGAACTTCAGCAACAGCTTCAAGAGGATCCAAACTTTCTTTCGAAGGTTGTCACTGGTAACGAAAGTTGGGTTTATGGCTAAGACCCTGAAAGCAAGCAGCAACTGTCGCAATGGAAGAGCCCTTCTTCACCTCGGCCAAAAAAGCTCGACAAGTCAAGAGCAACATTAAGTCCATGTTGATCTGTTTTTTGATACTGACAGGACTGTTCATAAGGAGTTCGTCCCTTCTGGTCAGACAGTCAATAAGGAGTTCTATCACAATGTTCTAAGGCGTTTGATGGAGAACATGTGGAGAAAATGTCCACAGAAGTGGTGCACGAACGACTGGGTACTCCACCATGACAACGCACGACCGCATACGGCTTACATTGTGCAGGAATTTTTGGCTAAAAACAAGATGGCAGTTGTTCCCCACCCACCATACTTGCCAAACTTAGCTCCATGCGACTTTTTTCTCTTCCCAAAGATGAAAATCGACATTTTTCTCTTCCCCAAGATGAAAATCAAGTTGAAGGGATGAAAATTTGATACAGTTGAGGAAATTCAAGCGGAAACGCAGACGGTACTAAACACCCTAACAAAGAAAGACTTCCAGGATGCATTTGAAAAGTGGCAGAAACGCTGGAATCGGTGTATGTGCTCCCAAGGGGACTACTTTGAAGGTGATGGTGCAGAATAAGATCTAGGTAAGATGTAATAGTTTTCATTAATATATTTTGGGAACTTTTGAATTGCACCACGTAACAGTACTGTTCTGATGCTCATCGGAAAATGACGGTTGAACAGAGAGCCAATATCAAATTTTGTTTTGAAGTTAGGCAAAACAGTTGGAGAAGTGTACAAAATGATGAAAAGTGTGTATGGTAGTGATTGTTTGAGTCCCTCGAACATTTTTTGATGGTATGCTGTACATCCAAAGGGAATGTACCACAGTTTTAAATGTGATTCCACAAAAGGAGTACAGCAACTGTTTTCAAAAACTTTTCAATTGATTCCAGCTATGTATTGATTCAGAAGGAGACTATTTTGAATAAAAAGAGTGAAATTTTGAAAATAATTCACGTCTTGTATTTTTAATGAACACAGTCCTAACAGAACCTGAACACACTGTGTATGTGAAACTACAAATAGTATGTTTAAATAACACTGTCAACATACTCCACACATAGTATGTGCCAAAGTATACAGTACTGAAGTGAAAAGATGAACAATATTACCTTGTTGTCATCTGTGAGTTTATTTCTCCTGACAGAAACTATTTTAATGAACACAGTCCTAACAGAACCTGAACACACTGTGTATGTGAAACTACAAATAGTATGTTTAAATAACACTGTCAACATACTCCACACATAGTATGTGCCAAAGTATACAGTACTGAAGTGAAAAGATGAACAATATTACCTTGTTGTCATCTGTGAGTTTATTTCTCCTGACAGAAACTAACATACACACCATTGGCATGTTGATTTACCACAGTATGGGTAACGTAAGTTTTCGAAGTGTGCACCGCTTTGCTGTAGACAGTGTTCATATCGTTCATGCAGATTCTCAATCATATCCCAGAACAAAGGTTGCTGCAGACTCCTGCAAAAGGAGACAATTTGCTCATGTAATGCAGACACAGTTCTTGATGGATCTTCACAGTTGAACACACTCTCCTTTAACATTCCCCACAAGTAGGCATCAGGTGGTGTACTCGTAAGATCGGGGGAATGGGAAGTGAGTACCACATGAAACGATTGGTCCTGGAAAGTTTTCCTGCAACATGGCTAGAGATTCTCGAGCGGTATGGCTGGTCGCCCCGTCCTGTTGATACCACTGTCTATTCATGTGAAGGCCACTTGCATGACAGATCCTTCTCAAATTCTGAAGAAATGGTCCAATCACCATGTACCTGTAGCATTCTTGGGTAACGGTAAGAGCATGCCTTCCTCATCCTCAATTGTCGACCAGACTTCCCTTTCTGTTGACATAGTACACTACCAGAACGGCGAAATTTAGTAACAATAGACAGCATAACTGTGTTACTTGGTGCCATCTTATTAAATCTCTTTTAGAATTGTTCTGTCACATTTTCCAAACTCAGTCCCCATTCACGACCACTTCTGTATGAGCAGAAATAATACTCAACTATGAATACTTTTTCCATCGAGAGACCCATTTCCAACAACAACTGCACAACACAACTGGGAACATGTGCGGCTGGAGCTATGCCCCATGGACAAACACACGTGTGAGTTTCAGTACTGTATATTTTGGCGCATACTGTATTAAAGACTTACAGAAATTCTGATACATTGTTATTGATATGATCTGCATGTAGGTGTGTAGATTATTTAAGGCATAATAACTTGGGACAAAACTATTTTTTTCACCAAGGTACTGTGCTATTTCTTCACACAATATGATATTGTAACGTGTTTGGAGTAGATACTTCCAAGGCAACGCAATAACAGTGGGCCGCTGCGTAGACAATGCCAAAACAACGAACGTGTTTCCCCGGAGATGAACAACAGAAGGCCGTTGAGTACCAACGGATGAGACAAAACACACTACCGCCGTAATCTATAGAGATCGTTCCCAAAGCAATGGATTGCCGAAGAAGTGAGATCGAACCTTGGCGAATGGTGTCTTGTATCCAGTCCGCAGAACACCTACATAAGTCGAGAGCGACAGAGCTACGGGACGACAGTTGAGATCTAGCCCTTCAAACAACCTAGTTGGAACCTAGTCAAGATGTCGCAGAAGTCACGTGGTACCACAAGCGATAATAACTGCATGGTGTATAAGTGTGAGTGTCAAATAAAGAGTCACTAAATCCGAGACCCACGTGAAGTTATTTGTTGCATGACATACCCAACACGTGACAATATTTTTGTAACATGCTGTAAAAGTTTCACGCTGAAATAATTTGAAACATTCAACATACTGCATTTTTTAAACCAGTGTGCACATTACCTGTACATGTGGTTTAAAACTTTAATTCCCAAAAATAACTAGCCTGAGAGCTTCACACACTAGTGTTTTAAATGGAACTGGCAAAGGGTGAAAATGGAACCAGGGCTTGAAATTGGAATGCCCTTAATATAGGTAAAATTATTGCATTTAATCACTCCTTATATATACATACATAATACACACAATACTTTCAATTATTAAAACACATCAGTGAAAAACGTGGTTGAGAGGATCAGCTCTGATGCTTGATAGGTCTAGTCTTGAATCCAAATTCTCATCAAGTTCACCAACAATGGCACTGCAAATGAGGCATATAACTTCATAAATTTTTATTAATTGGAATTAAAATCATGGATTCTGTTTATGTATGACTACTGTGGCACTTCTATCAGACAACATTCAAAACCTTCCGACAAGGTATATAATTTAATGAATATTATATCACTATGAGGTCACTACAGATTTGCTGGCAAACTCCAACTGTGCACTTCTGCTTCATCATTAACTAACAATTTTCATGTTTCCTAGTGTAAGGAGTTCTGACTGCAAGTATATCTAGTCTGTAATAACTAGATTCTTTATACTCTATCGAAATTCAGGCAAGGAGTGGATTAATGCATCATACATATCATACAAACAGCAGAGTTCCATGACATTAAACTATGAAATGGCATTTTCCTTTGTTTCCTGTGAACTTACACATTATCTCCTCTAATAATATGCAGCCCCAGCACAACTTGCTCCACACCTTGGTTTGTGCTGTATACGCGCTCATGGCTTTCATCCAGTATTAGGTTGATTGTCTGGTCAAAACCCTTCAGTGTCCCCTGAAAAAAATCATTCAACATACGCCAATGTGTATACACACAAAATGTACATTTTTGTGCTACACTATACATTTTCACAAGATTGAAAACATTTCTCTATAGAAGAAAAAGACGCTGTGTTGCTATGGTGTACAATACTCACAACAAAATTTCTTCCATCTGATGTTATGATAGAAACAGTATCTGTAACACAATTAAGGTTTAATATAAAATACACATTACTTATTTCTATTGATTAATTTTCTGCTATTTATCCCGTAAATGTTCACTGTTGATTGGATTATTCTCCACTCTGAACATGCCCTAGCCAGTTGCTAGCCATATTTCTGACAGGGATCTGTAAGAATATTCCCAGATATCCCATAGCTTAGAATTCAGGACTTTATCAACAATTTACAAAAAATTTCTAATATGCGAACATAAAGAAATATTTAACATACTGACTACAAAAATACACATTCAGGTAACTGTTATGCAGCTTCCTTTTCAATACTTCTATTATGTCATTCATTTACAAGTGATATATCTATATAAATAAAAAATGTAAATGTTCGTTTGTTCAGGATCTTAAATCTCCGAAAGTTCTTCACCGATTGCTTCGAAATTTTGACACAACGTTGCATTCGAATGCGTGCGTTTTTATATACCTATTATATAGATGTCACACCTGTGACAGGTAAAAACATGCTTCTTTTGAAAAACAGAATTGGAATTTGGAATTCAGAAGAGTCACCCCTATGGAAACGCTAGAACAGACCGTTGCATAGGAAGTAACAATAGCGATACTGTATTGAATCTCCACGGTTACGATGAATACATGGAGTGTTCCCACAGAGACAACGCAATAACAATGGGTCGTTGCGTAGGAATCGCGGAATCAACAAAGCAGCGTTTCCGCGGTTATGACAAAGGCTCATTTGCATAGCAGCGGCCGAGGGTATAAAAGGGGGTTGAATTCATTCACCCAGTCACTTTTGGAATAGCTGCCGCTGAAGAAGGTTGGAACCTAGACACCAAGAGATACAGAAGTATTGGCCGAGAGATTGTGTAACCAGTAACTCTAATACTGCAAGTGGCAATAATTGTAAAGTGTGCAAGTGAATTACAATAAAGATTTGCTATGATTAATACGGCGTAAAGTTATTTGTAGCGTGACATACCCAAACACGCTACATGCATTACTGACGCGTGCAACATGTCACATCCACATCAAATTCATGCATTGTTTGCAATCATATTGACCGCCTTCTCTCCCTCATCTCCAACAGAGTTATGTGAGAAATATAAATCGCACATGGCTGAAGATATTTTCCGTCGAATATGCAAGCAAAATTCCAATATGAACATGGATTTCACAGCAGAAATCTGCAACGAAGCGTTGATAATGATTGAAGATTTGTGCTTAGAAATTGCGAACAAAGTTCTCAATCAATTGGGAATGCCATCACCGAATCCATCTGCTGCTGCTTCGTTCAATGTAGAATTGCGTCGTGAACAAAATTACAACACGGGTGATCTTTTGTCGTATGTGTAATCAATTATTCCTAAGCTAACGCTTGAGCAAAAAGGCATTTATGATCAAATAATGCAAACTGTCAATAATGGGGTTGCAGAATTCTTCTTCTTAGATACACCAGGAGGAACTGGTAAAACGTTCCTAATTAGATTGATTCTGGCAGAAATTCGATCCCAAAATGACATAGCCTTAGCTCTTGCGTCGCCCGGAACAGCTGCGACACTGCTACCAGGTGGAAGAACTGCTCATTCCGCTTTTGATATTGCCATTGAACATGCAATTCATTGAAACTCTCACATGCAACATTTCCAAAGGATCAGGCATGGGAAGGGTATTGCAGAAATGCAAACTTATTGTTTGGGATGAATGCACAATGGCGCACAAAAAATCGCTCGAGGCTCTTCATCCATCATTGCAAGATTTGCATGGAAACATCAGACCATTTGGGAACGCATTAATATTGCTTGCAGGAGATTTCAGGCAAACATTACCTGTAATTCCTTGATTGACACCAGCGGACGAAATAAATGCTTGCTACTTTGTGGCAACATGTAAAGACGTTAAAATTAACTACAAATATGCATGTCCAGCTGCAACACAATCAATCAGCTGAGATATTCTCACATCAATTGCTGGAAATTGGGAACGGAAAGGTGCCGGTTGATCTGACCTCAGGACGAATTTTGTTGCCTCATAACTTCTGCAATTTAGTGACGTCAAAAGAACTGGTTGAAAAAGTATTTCCCAATATTCAAACCAATAATAAGAATCATGATAGGCTGAGTGAACGAGCTATTCTTGCGGCCAAGAACAAAGACGTCTATGAACTTAACAATATCATTCAGTCTAACATTCACTGTGCGGCAGTCACATACAAGTCCGTCAACACTGTTGTGGAAGTAGATGAAGCGGTTAATTATCCAACAGAATTTTTGAATTCACTCGATCCGCCACAGCAAAGCGTGGCCGGGTACAGCTAGTAGAGATAATAAACTGCATTCTAAAAGCAGTGTGACTCCAAAATACCTGTAAGTGGTCCCTTACAACTTTGAAAGCAATCATCCACTACAGTCTTGTTTTAAGAGTTAAGATACAGCATGCAAATGTACTTTCAAGAGCAAGAACTTCAATAAATTTATGGAATAACATACAAGGTCATGATACATACATACTTTTATATTCAGTGCCAGTTGCACACTTACGAATACTCTGAAACGCTGATGTATGTACGAGGAAAAATCAAAAAGTCTTCGCCAATATTTTTTTTAGCCACAATAATATACATACAGGGAAATCAAAATACAGGCAGTGTTCTAAGTACCTTTGACTATTTTTCCCCATATTTGCCACCCCGGTTCAGGCATCTGTCTCATCGCACCACCAGTTTGGAGATGCTGCTGTTGTAGAATTCGGCCGCTTAAGCGCGGAACCACTGCAGGACAGTGGTTATCGCATCGTCATCGGAACTGAACCTCTGGCCTGCCAGGAACTTCTTCAGTGGACCAAACATGTGGTAATCACTGGGGGTGAGGTCTGGACTAATCTCCCATCCGAATGACTGCAGTCAGGCGGCGGTCCTATTTGCCATGTGAGGCCTGGTGTTCTCATGGAGGAGAACCACATCGTTCATGAGAATCCCTGAGCACTTTTTCCTGATGAGAGCTTGCAGACGTGCAAGTGCTCCACAATTGCTGTCCGTGTTGATGGTGGCACCTCGTGGCATGAAATCCAGTAGGAGTGGTCCTCGGCAACCCCAGAAGGCCATGACCATCAACTTCCCGACGGATGGCGTTCTGCGGAATTTCTGCGTGACAGGCGAACCGGGATGTTTCCGCACCATGCTCTGCTGCTTGGATTCTTGAGTGAAATGCAATACCCACGTTTCATCTCCGGTGACTATGAGATCCAGGAACCTTTCAACCTCCTCAGAGTAACAATGCAAATATTGCAGTGATATCATTCTCTTGGCCTTGTTCAGAGCATCCAAAAGCTTAGGCACCCACCGACATGAAACCTTGCGATGCCCCAAGGAATCGTGAATGATATCGTAAACACTTCCATACGAAACGCCAAGCTCCTTGGAAATGACCTTCAGGTGCACATGCTGATCCGCTTCCACCATTGCATCCACATGGTCAATGTTGTCCGGTGTGAGCAAGGCTTCAGGTCAACCCGACCGCTCATTGTCATTAAGGTCTTCCTGGCCATTAGTGAACTCACAACACCACCAGCGCACTTCTCAAAGTGAGACATTTGTCCCCATATGTCGGCAGCATTTCCCTATGGATCTCGATGGGCGTTCGTCCCTTGCTCCATAGAAAACGAATAACACTTCGCTGCTCATACAATGTGGACATGTTGAACACACCAGCCACTGACAGTGGTGCAGTGCTGCAGAGCAGCCGAAAGTTAATGCTGGGCCAGTCCAAGCATACCGTTGCATTGAATGTATAACCCGGTTACTCAATCACACTAATATTTTGGCTGAAAAAAAAACAGGGGTAAAGACTTTTCGATTTGCCTTCGTATGTATGTAAAGATACATAAAACACATGAATACGAACGTTATTACATCATACTATTTTGAAATTGCACGATATTCCGAATTACAATGCACATTAGATCTTGGGTGTTTATTACTGCTTATTTCACCATTAAGGCAAAAACATTAGCCCTTAAAATATTCGGTGTGATCAGAAATGGTATACAGACCAATTTTTTATTCTGTATTACAAAAAATGACCCTTAAATTCTGGAAGCTGGGTTGTTGCAAGCTATAACGAATTAAATCATAATAAATAAGCCTTCAATCATAACAACCACATATAACATGGGGTGCGTTAACAGCGAACTGCACTTTATTATATTACGATCTGCGAAACATATTTCTGCCACAAAATTACATGAACATAAAAATGTAAAATATCAGTATGTTAAGAATGGACTCGTGTTTTAATTTTATATCTAGAAACATCTCCATGATTATAGCCGTATACTCGTAAATTCCTGTATATCCTAATTTCATAAGTGCAATACATTGTTTTCAGTGGCTGCATTGCGCTTTCTTCGTACATTCCTGTTAGTTTCAATTCGTCATATAGTTCCTCTCCCTTCATAACATTGTTATTCACACTGCCTTATTTACAACTAAATTCGCTTGTTCCTATTGTGTATTGTGTATTTGTGTTGTATCAACAACATATATAAGTGCATATCACCATGAGTATTTACTAATACTACAAAAATATACACTTCCACAGTCATCATACATGGGGTAGTATGCAGTGCAGTAACACGTTTAAAGGATACGATTTACGTAACTTTCAAGGCCTGATGCCATACTGCAGTTTCAAAAACAGTTCTGGTAAACAGGCCAGAAATGAAAATCAGTGTGCAAGGAAAACTGCCCTGCAAATTGATGTGAAACTAAGAATCTAACATCACCAACATTTTCAAACAAGGAGGCCCACTCCAGCACTAACGTACCTGCACAATACAAAGCGTACAAAAAAAAGTGTGACCACGGATTACTAGGTTATAGACGTAGATTTCCTTGATTGAGATCGACTGAATGTTATATCATGGATGAATGTTCGTGTGTTATAGATTAAACGCAAGAGTACAATTTGGCGTTGTCTTGACAGTGTATATAGAACTCATATATGTGCATTCAAATGTTCTTTTATTATTATTGTTTTGAAAGAAATCATGTATATACAAAAATGGCCTAGACAATGCCCATCCCGCCCCCTGTAGAGGGCTGCCGGCAAACAAATATTCCTGCCCTCTGTACAACACAAACTCGTAAATACAGTACGTATGAGATGATTAACTCTCATTCTGTATTGGCCGCGCCATAGCCACTGGTCAGCTGTACCATAAGGATCAACGGATTGTATAAATGTAAATAAATAAATAAGCGGTTAGTCACTGGCTTCCCACGGCGGCGGCCCTGGTTCGGTCAAGTGGGATTTGTGGTGGACAAAGTGGCTCTGGGGCAGGGTTTCTCAGAGTACTTCGGTTTCCCCTGCCAATCTTCATTCCACCAAGTGCTCCACAATCACCCCCTCACCAATCATCTGGGGCTGGTGCAATAGGCCAGAAGTGGCTGCACTATAAGGGACTTAGTCTCACCCCACTAGCAATAAAAAAAATCATTCTGTATTCACACCCTTGTAAAACTAGTCTTTCAGGTCAACAATTTTGAAGCCCAATTGTCAGAGGAACCTATTCCCAACTTTATAATTAACGGGACTGTATGTTATTAGACCGATCACAGTGGCTCTACGACCTATGGCATGAAATGTCTGCGTCCACTCAATGACTGGGATCATTGATTCAAATTCCACTTAAGGCATTGATTTCACCATTTATTGTGTTGGTAGTGGCCTTGTGATGGGCTGACACCCCATCCAAGGAATCCTACAGTGTACAAGAAACTGAAAAAGCAGCCAGGGCCCAATGAAGAACTATAAAGCTATTAGTGGTGGTAGTAGTAGCAATATGCTAACTGGTTGAACCAGTCTTGCTTCACTCCTTAACATTGAACAGAGAAAATAAGATCCTTCAAAAATTGTGCAGGCATGAACATCTTACCTACACAATAAAGTTGTCCTTATGCTTAATTATGCACATCATAAAGACAGGTAGGTGAATGGCGGTACAACTTCACACTTTGTAACCTCAGCACTAAATGGTGGCAAGGGTTCTGCTTCACACCCTGGGGAAATAACCACCAGTGCCTATTGGTTAGGAAGCTATGCTGGACCTAGAGCCAGGATGGATGCAATGGAAATGAGCAAAATTTCTCACCCCTGTACAAGCCTAAAATCCCATTACTGAAATATATTGGACTATTGTAAATTATAACATGGGTGTTAAGCAGAATAAACAACAATATAAATAAGATCTAAAAAGTTTGTGACAATGGTATATTAATACAATTACTGACTTTTTGAACATTATCTATCGCCCTGTTCCAATGGATGATGTCCAAAAATTCAATAACCGTATAAACTGGAATATGATCACTGTGGTTCAAACATCTCACAGTAATCTGCAATAGCCCGAGAATGCAACTATCTCAGCTGATTGCTCTGTACAGTTCAATACAAGTACATCCTACAAAAGTGTATAGTGTAAACCCCTCACAAGAACAATTTAACATAATACATTACAGTAACTGCATAAAATCTGTTAATGGATTATGGCTTGTGGATTGTTACATCTTTAAGAGACTGTTTCTTACCATCTGGTAGGATTTGAGGGTTTCATGGCAGTGTTTATGAAGAGTTTTATTTTCTGGAATGTAATGCTGTGTAGTTTGTCAAAAGCCAACCAACGTTTGGCTGAACATGTTGCCTCCATCTTCAGGGCTGTAAAGTAAGCAAGAAACCAGCAAGAACCCAAGAACCAGGTCGCTAGTAGAACACTGTCCAGTTAATTCCAGTTCAGTGAACTGACAAAATACAAAAACTAAATGCTTACCATGTTGCAATACTCTTTTAGAAAGTCTGTCATAATGCCTGATTGCAGATTTCTTTCAGTCAAACCAACATAGTACACAAAAAAAATTGTAATTACCATTCCTCTGATCTCATATAACTTAACTCCTCCCTTTAGATTTATTTCTTGTATTCAATGCCAGTAATGATGCATCAATTGTAATTATTTGTAATTGTAATTGGTAATTATACTTTGATATTTCAGTCCCTTGTGATGCAATTGGTTATATTACACAATCATCTTTCATTCTTTTGGCAATTACTCAGTACTGAATTACAGTACCTTTAATAATGTGTCAAAACTGAACCCCTATTATTATGCACATTCTGAATTTTATCACATTTCTACAAATTGTGCAAAAAATGAAATTTAAAAAATTCTTGCATGAAAACAATCCTAACATAATTGGACAGCTAGAGAACTGAACTATCGAAGAAGCAACAAATGATGGTGATTGATAAAGAATTCCAGGGAAAGGGAAAGTAAATGTTTAAACTGTGGTGGTAGGTACTGAGGATGACTGCAGTAGTTTGTTTTTTTAAAAAGAGTGCTTAAATTTTGCACATTTGCTTTGGTTAGCGATCACATTCTTGTGTTACTTCAGCAGTTGATGTTTTCACTGACTTCCTTTATACAGTTCATTAGAACACAACCTGTCATGATTGTTGCCTAATTTCAAAGCAGGAGTGTGTTTTAGGCCAAAGTTATCAAAACTATCATTTATAATTCTGGCAGATTCATCAGTACCCACTATTTGGTCACCAATTTTAAACTAACAGCCACAACAGGAGGAGGAATTTTTTAAATTTGAATCTGTAGTCATTTAAATATAGTGCGGTCAATTTTGACCCTGTATTTAAGCATCCTGTTGCATTACTACATCTAATACTGTTTACTGTTCTACACAGTCTGTCAACAATGCAAGAAATTGCTGCATGCAGTTGTACATGCGAGGAATGGAAAATATTACTGCAGCGTAGCACTTTTAGCATAGTAAGACACCCGAAGATGACCATTTCGGGCTGAAACATGTTGGGTCGAAAGTAAAAGTGTAAGAAAGAAGGAACAACTTGTTGCATTGTTGATGGACTGTGTAGTACAATAAACAGCATTAGATTAATTTTGATGTTAAACTTTACAGAAAGCTTCTACAGACATCAAAGGAAATAAAGTAAACAAATGTTGCTAGTACACCGAGAATCACTGGTGTCTATCTTCTATGACATGACCCTGCAGAGTCTAAGCTCACCAACATCTTGGGGGAACATACACCACCATCTTCAGTTCTGCTTCCTTGGCTTCCTATTTGACCCTCAAGATGGGGTAGAATGTTTCTCCAAATTGTCAGTGAACTACTGCACCACAATTCTAGAAGACAGTGCTCTTTAAATCAACAATACTTACCAGCATATGTGCGTGTTTCCTCTTATTTTAAGTAGTTTTCTAACTATCAAATCTTCTTTGCAGCGACCTGTCTAAAAATTCAGAACTGTATGCAGCCAGATTTCATCCACTATACACAGGTCTTTGAAAAGACAAAGTTACTTTCTGACTGGTGGTTTACCACCAATCAGTTCTTCTTGGTGCCAAGTCCCTTGAGGATCATGACCTGAGATTATTTCTTTCCAACTGAACCCTTGCAGTCAGAGTCCTTACGTAACATACCCTATGACGAGAGGATGGTAGAGCTGTTAAAATAAGTGTTTCACCACACACACATGCACGCGCGCGCGCGCGCACACACACACACACACACACACACATGTATACATATGGTGGCATGTATGCTGAAAGCCAGGATTGTGAAGTAAGCAAAGAGACAACTGTTGCTAGGGAATGACTACATAAACACATCCATCACTAGGAAACAGCCAGTATATCATATGACAGCTTGCTGCAGTAACAGAGGCCCCATTGAAAATTTAGTTGTTTTGTAATGCAATATTGGTTTTATATTGTGGCACATTTGCTCAAAGCAAGAACTATGGAGCCAGAGGAACAGCTCTGCAAACATGCAGTGCTACAAAATGATTTAGTAGCTGTCACATGATTACTGCAAGACACATGTACGCAACAATAAAAGAGTGGTTGGAAGCGGTGTTTTCTGTGCAGTCCATACCAAGGCTATACAGCAAGGACCAGCTGCCATTATGAGCAAGTCTTTAGATGGCAGTTAGAAGAGGTGGATGTCAGATAGCTGCCAGCCTGCAAGAATGTGAGCCCCGGAGCAGAGGAACGTCCACTGTTGGAAGCCACTACAAAGCAGTGCAGTGTAATCATGACTGAGAACACTAGTCTTTGTGTGATAGTGATTTATAGTGTTGTCACAAACTGCATGTTTAAGAGTTCAATAAATCTGATTACCTATCCTAACACTGTCTATAGTCACTCACTCATGTGACAAAATGCACGTTTGTTTTGTCAAGATTCTTTTTGGAATTGAACATTTCCTGCACCAAACGTGTACTTCCAACCATTAATCTTAGAATTAGCTATAGAGCTCATGCATGTATGACTATCACACCTTTCCACCAGCATGGGCATATAGACTTTTCTGTAATAGTGGTTTAGAATGATATAATAATCATCATCATATAGTTTACAACAAAAACGTCAGCAGTTATACCAAATAGTCTCAAATAATGCTTACAAGACAATTTTGTACCTCATTTGATGCAATTACAATGGTTTTAAATCATGAAGTTAAAATTTTGATTGGTCAGATGTGTGATTGAGTAGTGTAACTATAGTTCACAAACTTTTATAGAAATTAAACTTATTCACATTCTTGCAAACAAGGTGCATCAAAATAATGACACTTCTAATGGCGAGTCCTCTTGTGCCCTTCAACAGCCACAGCACATGCAGCTTCTGTATCTTTCAGTTCACTAGTAGAAGCATTTCGCTTTCGTACTGGAGTTGCATTTGGAGATCGCTGCTTCAGTGTTTCCACATCATTGAAGACAACCTGTGCACCTCCCCCAGAAGTTGGAAGCACATCAGCCTGAAAGATCAACAAATTATAATGAAATAAGCAAACAAACAAAATGGATATGGTTCAAGATCCACACAAGTAAACAGGTTGATGATTCCCAAGCAGCTTTGCAATCCTTGTCTCTCAGAGCTTCTCTGTGCTGCAGTGCAGCAACTAACTCTATGGAGCTGAATTGTTGGGAAGTGTATTATGAAACCTGAAAGTTCACTGTCATCTTCACAACAGCCCACCACTGGTCTCTACCTTCAGCCAGACAATTTACTACATATAACCCCCATCTTATTTTTTTAGGACTACTTTAATATTATCCTCCCATCTACATCTAGGTCTTCCTGGTGGCCTCATTCATGCTGATGCATGCTACATGACATGCCAATCTCATCTTCCTCGACTCCACCATTCTAACAATACCGGGTGAGGAGTACAAGTTATGAAACTCTGCATTATGCTATTTTGCCCAGCCTCATATTCTTTCATCGCTCTCAGGCTAAAATATTCTCCTCAGCACACTGTACTCAAAAACCATCAGCCTATATTATTTTCTTAATGTGAATGATAAACCAACCGGGCATTTTATATTATTAAAATTAAAACTCACACGAACTCACTTGAATCCAAAATAAATTCTGTAGGATAGGAATTTTGGCACAAGAATGTCAGAAGCAAAAATTTTAGGCGTTTCTTCCTTCTTGGACCTAGCAAAACTGAAAATGTCTTTAAATTATAGATGCATGTGAATTGACTACTTGTTTCTTATAAAGAAACTACGTCATAGTCTTCATTAATAATTCTTTCTGCCAACACACAAGGTGCAACAATTTAATTTCTGGAATGGCCCTGTGAAAGTAAAGTTTGCTTACCTGTGCACTAGTGGCTGCTGTCGCCTTTGAAATACTCTCTTTGTGAAGCTATGCACTTCAAGAGACAATGCTGCCACTGCCGGAAACAGTCTTGAAAATCGTTTTCCAGAATACCTTGCAGTAATGTCAGCAAATCTTTGTCCCTTCAGGTCATTTTTTGATTTTGGAAAGAGCCAAAAATTGCAGGCAGCTAAGTCAGGTAAAGAAAGTGGATGGTCCATTTTTTGAAATGGATTTATTAGCCAGGAACTTGCGTACTCTTAATGTATCATGCATAGGTGCACTCTCATTGTGGAGAATCCACTTGTCAGGCCAGAGTTTGGATCATTTCCTTCGAACAGACTCCCATAACATTGTCATCACTTCAAAATAACATTGTTGATTTACTATTTGTCCTTTTGCAATGAATTCATAGTGAACTATCCCCTTATGATCGAAGAAACACACAAGCATGGTCTTGAATTGCATGTGAGACATGTGGGCTTCTTTTGGCCAAGGTGAATTCTGTGTTTTCTTCTGCATGCTCTAGTATTTTGTTTCCAGGTCGTATTGAAAACACCACATTTCATCACCAGTAATGACCTTATCAAACATCTCTGCACTGTATAAAGATCAGACAGAATATGAAGCCGATGTTTCTAGTCAGCTATCAAGATTCGAGGCACCATCTTTGTGGAAATTTTTCTCATTCCAAAATCCTCCATAATAATCTGTTGCACTGTTCCCCTATTCATATTCAATTCTTCTGTTTTAGTTTCACACCTAATCTTCGATCTGAGGGCACCAAAGTTTGCACTCTGTCTACATTTGCATTTTTGGTTACCCACTTCTTGGGTCATATTGCACATCTTCTTGCTCTTCTTTAAATTGCCTATGCCATTCAAAAACACTCAATTTCTTCATAGCGTATTCACCATAAGCCACTGTTAACAGGGATAACGTTTCACTACCAACCTTCACACAAAACTTGATGTTTATCTGCCACTCCAGATTCTTGTCACTCATTTTTCCACAAACAGTATACCATGGACACATCCTGCTTGGGAACGAACGACTCCTTTTGTCTGTGGCTCAAGTAAACGCAAGTTGGAACATGTCCAAACGTGCATGGATACATGAGTTTGCTTGACTCAGCACCCCAGCGACATGCTGCGGCCATTCCAGGAATTAAGTTGTTGTACCTTGTATATATCAAGTGTACACTGTACAAGTTCACAAGTCTGCTATCTTTTCATCCCAAGATGGGATCATATCAAAATGTCTTCAACTTGGAACACTATGATAACCAAGCCTCAAAGACCCAGCAATATTTTTTTTATTGCTAGTGGGGTGGGACTAAGTCCCTTGTACTGCGGCCACTTCTGGCCTATTGTACCAGCCCCAGATGCTAGGTGAGGGTGATTGTGGAGCAACTGGTGGAATGAAGATTTGCAGGGGAAACTGAAGTACTTGGAGAAAACCTGCCCAAGTGCCACTTTGTCCACCACAAATCCAACTTGACCAGACCTGGGAATGAACCTGGGCCACCGCTGTGGGAGGACAGCAACTAATAGCTTGAGCTATGGCGTGGCCCACTCAGTAATATTAGTTGTTTACTGACAAGCTTTTCCTCATATAATCCCTTGAAAGTACAAATGTACCAATGAACATTGCCCAGAGTTTAGCAACACAGGAGTCACTTATGAACACTCTACCACTAAATTTATTTTCAGTTTTATGCTACATGCTGATGAAATTGGAGAGAAAAAAAAAAATCAATTTTTGTAAGTTTGATGTGAGTTTCAAACCATTTAAATATATGTATTCTATCACTGTGATGTACTATACCTTTAAGAATGTAAAAGATGTGGCAGGGTCCTGTGAAATGCCCAAGCTATTCATTTAGATACAAACCTTGTAAAGACGGGTTTCTAGTTCACCACTTGAGTCTTGCTCCTGGGTCATGAGACAATATTTGGATGTCTTAGAATTTACAACATCTTTTGCATCTGTCAGTTTGGCAATTGATTTGCGTCGTTTCATAATTGGCTGCATGATGGTACCAAGCTCAACTGCATTTGCTGGCCTATGGTCCAACCACACTTCACCCCCTGCTGACTGAGATCGTCTGTGCCTTGGGTTACTCACTGCTGGACCCTAATTGAACATAAAAACATTTATCAAATAGCAGTAAATTTTAACTCAGGCTGTCATGTCTCAATGATCAGCTTTTCAGATGCTGTACACAATATTTATATTCCTAAGCATAACTAGTTCCTGCCACCCTTCTGTGATGCAATGTACTATTACAGAATGTGCCAAAAATTCAGTACCGAAACTTGTGCATCTCTAACGCGGATGTGCGTTTGTCGATAGCATAGCTCCAGCCGCACGTGTTCCCAGGAGTGAAAAGGAAGTTGTGTTGCGTTGTGTTGTTGCTGGAAATGGGTCTCTCAACAGAGGGAAAAGTATTCATTGTTGAGTATTATTTCTGCTCATACGGAAGTGTTCGCCAGACAACTTCCTTCCTTGGTTTAGAGCGGCCAGATGTTATTGTCCAGAAACTGCTACATAGTACACGTGTGACGATATGGTGTGCCGTCTCAGCACACGGTATATTAGGCCCCTATTTCATTGAGTATGAGGAAGGCAATGCTCTTACTGTCACCCAAGAACGCTACAGGGACATGGTGATTGGACAATTTCTTCAAGATTTGAGAAGGTTTTGTCGTGCAAGGGGCCTTCACATGAATAGACAGTGGTATCAACAGGAAGTGTTTTCATTTCAGTATTGAATATTTTGGGGCACACTGTATAAAATTTTATCAAGGCGGAGAAGCACATTATGAACCATACAGCTTCCACCAGACTCTTATCATGACAGAAGCTGAATTTGCAACATTGTACCATAACCAAGATATGAGTCTGTTGTTAGTACCCATCTTGTGCTTGCTTTTCAAAAGAGGTGCCCATAAAGGATTGTCTCTATGCTACTGACACTGACATTCACACATAGAAACATGGCAATTGCCCAGAATAAGCATCTCAACTTTGTCTTTGGTCATGGGAGACTAGTCACGGTGTTACAACTGTCCTTGAACGCAGTACACCATTCACACACCTGTGTTTTAATACTGCATCATCCCCAAACTGTACTCTTAATCTCTGGTGACTGTCAGTTAGTTATGAGCCTTCAATCACCAAAAACTTGATTGCAGATGGGTGCTGTGACTTCTTACTAACTTCTATGGGTGCCACAATTCTACCTGCCACATTCCAAACATCTTTGTGACAGTTGCAATTTATGGGTATGGCCAAGCGGAGGATGTAAATACAACAGTGCCGATGGAATAATGGCTTCACAACGTTCATTTACAATTTTTCATTCATATTCACTTCAGAATTTAACTGATATATGGCACGAAACACAACAGTTACTCAAGAAGATATCAAAATAATAAAACACATGCATGAACTTATAAAAAATTTCTGTTCTTAATACGTGAAGATTCAGAGACATGTCCCATTCAAGGGAATATGACATTAGAACAGAAAAAAGGGAAAGCAGAGAATGTTTAGAAAAAAAAAAGAGCGAAAAAATGAAAGAAGAATTAAACTCTTGCCTACAACCATTTGGGGGGGGGGGAGTTCGTACCCTTTTAGAACTTTGTGACAATACACGTGAATGAATGTTGCCTATTTCTTGGGTGGCTGCAGATCTTGTAGGCTGGACAGGAGTGTGAATGTCCTTTGTTTCTAAAGTGGCCACGGATCTTGTAGGCCGCACAGCACTGTGACCGTCCTTTGTCAAGATTTCTTTTACTTTTCTTAATTTCGTTTCCTGATCTCTCATTTGTGTCTGTAAGCAATAAGAACGTTATACCATAAGAAATCAACATTGGATGTTAACATTCATACAATATAGTTCATTTTGCACAAACTTCTTTTCCATAAAGTGGACGATTTAAGGTACAGGTAGGAGCCCCAAAGTCCATTATATCACAAAGAAAACATGTCTGATAGTAGCTACATCTGTAGTTTAGTATTTGCAAGACATTACTGAGAAGATACACTATAACTGGAGCACAAGTAACAAAATATTCTGCTCATCAGAGGACATAACTCTGACTGAACACTTCTCTTGATCAATTTTAAAGTTACTGAAATGTGGCTAAACTATATGGGGTTTTGTCTTGTCAAGACTTTGGACTTCTAGCAGTGCTTGCACAGAAACATGGGTGAGCCATGTGCACTGGTGCTAAAGAAACTTGCACTGTTATTGCACTTAGTTACTAGATTTCAACATTCATCTACGGCATGAGGAATGCAGGAGCTAGGAAAGTGAAAGAAACTGTATGAATAAGTGAATGAATTGGGATACACTGTATTTGAGAGTGGATATCGAGGTTAGCATTCTTAGATGTGATGCTGTGTAGCTTGGTAAATAGGCCCAGTGCGTTGGGCGAACATGAGATGGGGGCAGCAAGTTACTCTGAAACATCGGTACCTATCATCAAACTATATAGCATCACATTTCAAAATCCCGCAGTCTTTGCACTGAATTTGCCTGTATGCAAACTTAATTTTAGTTTTCTACTCATCATTTGAAAAGCCAAAGATTAGGGTCAGCAGTTCTATGCATAACAGTAGTTCGGCAGACAGAACCGTGTATATTGAGCCCTCACATGGCTTATATTTTGTGTAGTGAATGCCAGGAACACTGGCCTGGAAGCTGGTGCAGTATCACTACATGTTTCTGTGCCACTAGATTTACAAACATCTTGAACTGTTGCAAAATTTTATAGAATGGGGATATGTTGACACTTTGCAGACAATTTCAAGGAACAGAAGAGAAGAAAAGAAGATACTGATCCTGACTCCCTTCAATAATTCTCAGACTACTGGACAAAGGAAGGCAGTGAAATCCAAAACGGACATTGAGACAGTAATTGTGTACATATATTTGATAGTAAATAAAGTGCAGCAGAATGCTACAATATAACATTATAATATTGTACATCTAAATCCCAATTTGGAGAATTAAATACATTTCTTAGTCTCACCTTGAACTCAATTTCCTGTTCTTTTAATCTTTTATGTGTCTCAAATGTATTTCTCTCTTTTTCAACCGCTATCTTGTCACTGTATTTTTGCTTGAGCTTCTCCTTATCTAGCATCTGCTGATGTAATAGCATTTCTTTCTTTTCAAGCTGAAACAGAATATAAATATACATATACATCTTGCTTGTTTGGTAATGACAGCCATGAACATATACCGTATAAGGCAATTTAACTACACCTTGCATTTCCTGATGCTTTCAGTGCTCACGAAATTAATTTTGCTTCAATGGCATCTTCTTTCCTGATGCCAACAAACACTTAATGTTTACTTCAAGGTCCTCATCTTTTAACAGTTTTCTGCTTGTACAAGGCTAAATCAGACAGAAAGCTGGTGCTGCTTTACCTCACATTACTTTCTGAACAGACGTTTTTCAGCACTTCACCAATGCCATGACACTATGGAAACTATGTTCTGGTTGCCCTGGAAACCAAATTTGCACTGACTGGTGTAGCTGGGAGCCTGTATGGCAGCAGATTTCATTAAGGGTTCTCTTTATAGTTACTTGGTGTGGAGTCTGGCGAGCATGGCAGAAGCAGATGCCTGTGGATATCAGTCTGCATCATTTCCATCTGTCCTTCAGAAACTTGCAGTGTGTTCTGCTATTTGGTGTGAACTGTTTCAACACTGCTCACATTCCTGAGAACAGCCAGTTACTCAAAACTGTTAAAAGGCTTGCATGCAACAATGTCTCCAGTAAAGCAATTTTCGTTACCATCATACGATGAAGATACAATCTAGTAACTTATTTATTGATGTAATGATTTGCTTCACTATCTAATGACGATGATGATGATGCAACCTCGAAGATCTTTTAGATATAGAATGCGCTCAGCTACTTAATGGCCAAGACACTAAATAATAACCTCTTTAATAAAACCATGAGTATAAGTTTCCGTTCTTTTTGCTGTGGGATTTTACCTAACTATGCATTTTGATCCGGGGCACGCGGTAGTCTGGTTGGTTGAGGCATCATACTACAAGCTTGAAGGTCGTGGGCTCAAGTCCCTATGAGGTCACTGGATTCTTTTTCAATTGACCTAATCCTTCAGCCGCACTATGGCCCTAGGGTCGACTCAGCCGCTAACAGAAAAGAGTACCAGGAATATTCTTTGGGGTAAAGGGCAGCGGGCACGTAAGGCTGACAACCTTGCCGCCATCTATGAGCCGACTGTCTACAAGATGTGGGAACCTCAACATCTCACTACCCTATGGGCCTCCACGACCTGTTACAGGGAGAGCTTTACTTTACTTTTTTTACCTAACTACGCATTTTGACCCAAAATAAAGGCCATCATCAGGTGGTCTGACACCATGTATACCGATGTGGTATCAATATACGTGCATTAATACTTCACGAAGAATCCTTCAGGAAGGGTTTAAGTCCATGGATAAATTACACTTCAATCACTCTGTTCTATGAAAAGTGCTATGTTTAAAGCTTATTACTTTCCTAATGTAAACTGTTTAAAAATAATAGATCATTCACACCTGTATTGATTAATTGCTAAATTACAAATGTTGCTTATAAGTTTTTCAAGTACTTGTGGCTTTATTTATCACAATGTTGACCTTATTATTATTATCTTATCTTGGTGGCTTATTTCATGGGCTTCCTCAGTAAGGCTTTAGTATGCAGAATATCTGTAGGTCCACAAGGGTTAGTTTCTTCAGATTATTTAGTGTAACCATTCTCCATTCATGGGTCATGTCCATAAAAAACTAAGAAACATTTTGCATTTGTTTCAGAAAACAAATGTTTATTTTGTGTCACATAAACCAGGCTGCCACAATTCCAGAACAGCTAGAACACCTGCTTCATTTCATACATCAATGCAATTATTATTTCCACTTTTAGATGCCAGAAAGTAACACCTTACGCCTTCAGTTCAGTACGTGAACTACCACGATATTATTTATACCTGTGCCACCCAGTGTCTGTAGATCAACACAAACTACAGAAGAAACAACTTGTGGTTTGAAAACAAGCTACAGTAGAACAATTGTTTTTAAATCGTATTTGTATCCAGGTAGTGTTGCACTTAGGATTCAGCCTGTAAAGAAAGTAGCTGTGGGTTGGATGACTGGGGTTCGCTTCCAGGCACAATCATGGCTCTTCCCTTCAGCACGAAATAAGGAACAAGCGGTCTCTTCAACTAAGCAGCAAAGCATAAAAAGGGACCACTTACTTCCATCTAGCACCAGGATATAATACTCACTTCTTGTTTCAATGCAACAAGATCTGCTTCCTTCTGCTGAATCTGATGCTGCAGACTCATCACAGTTGCTTCTGAGTCCATCAGTCTTGCCTGCAGAGCATCTGTCTGGACCAGAGGAACAGCAACATTCAGAGAATAATTGTGAGTATATCAAAAAATGTAACCTACAGTGACATGTTTAAGTTGGTAAAAAATTAAAAAGAATGAATTAGAAACTATCAGTTATAGACGTTTGTGGAAAGCTTTATGCACTACCCGGTCTCTAACCTGGAGGGAAGAACACAGACTCAGGGCACTTGACAGTAGCAACATTTATAGGTCACTGAATAAAAGGAGCTAAGACAGACCAGACTTGCAGCATACTTGAAGATATCTGAGAAAGAGTGGGGAAGGGGAAACTGCTTGGGAGGATAAGAGAATATTAAAATGAACCTTAGGTGAAGGGATGACCTGGTTGGGCTTTTTGGAACACAGCAACCAGAGCAAACAATTGCTTCATCAGCTAAGTACCTTACCTTCTTCCTCTCTTGTTCAAGGCCCACTCGTGAACAAGCACCATCCTGTTTAGCTATGATGTTCTCTTTCTCCACTTCAATTAACTTATTACGTAAACATTCATCTGCAAAAAAGTTCACATGAAGCTCATACAGTAATTTCATACAAAATTAAGTTGCTATGTAAATGGAATACAGTGAAGCTTTGATAAAGGTCTCCAAAATGCAACAAAATCGTGGATCCAGACCAGATATGCATACATGTTGGATGATATACTGCAGTTCATCACAGTACACCAAGCTCCTTCCTTCAGTAATGTTTATTTTTACAGGACTTCCAAGTACAATGAATGTCAACAGGTGAAACATGTAATAAAGCTCATCAATTTATGTTGTATGCATTTCATCAGTGTTGCGTCCTGCATACAAATAACAAGGCAAACCTTGGGTTCTGATAAAATTTCACTTTGTGGGTACTAGTTGTATTTACAGTGACAGGGCTGTTTAAGTAAAAGAGATTTTTATTAGAACAAGAGAAATTTAATAACGCTACTCACGTTTCTGCTGCCAGTCTTTAAGCAAGAGATTCTTCCTGTTCATGCGTAACTCGAGAAATGTTACCAGGTCATTAACTAATTTATCATTGCTTGGCTCGGTCAGTTCCAAACAAGGAAACGGCGGTCCCAAACTGCACAAAAAATAGCAGGAAAGAATGTGGTGTATATTCATTTCAAATCCAGGGTTACTATGCAAGTTTTTGTATGTTCTAGTGCCTCCAAACGTGGTCTGTGTTGCCTTTCTGGCCTCTACTCACCTAAATAAGGGTACAGAATCTATTTCTATGGGAACATCCATAAGATGGATTCTGTTACCTGCAATGATATGGTGATCACAAGAGTAATATCAGCTGAGGGAGCCACAGGACTTGAAACTGTGGTTGGTTGAGCTGGGCAGTGATGTTCATATTGCCAATGTTTTATCTTTTGTGTATGCAGAAAAATGCATGTGCAAATCTGCCTGAGAACTAAGAACCCTCCAAATGAGAGTCCAGTGCCTTACTCCAAGCCCACCAAATCCTCTACAAAATAAAGCACTAACTACTAGATCTGATAAACCAGATACAGGTCAAGACATGAAAGCTTTTACAAATGGACAGCTTATAGAGAAGAGCAGGGATGTGTCACAAACTAGATAATATACAGCTGAATAATCAGTTTACTATAACTGACTTCAGTGTAATATAATTTGAAAAATAATTTCTATAATGTTATTAGAGTTCAGTTAAATAAATCCTACATGCCAAAGAAAGAATATCCATAACTTATCTCCCATGAGAGTGAAATAGTAGCAGTACCTGGTAGTGACACAGGTCAACAGCTATTCTCAGAAATGAATACAACAAAGAGCAAGTTATCTTCCCTAAGAGGATCCATTTGCAAAATACTATCCACGTGGCAGTACCATATATGGAAGCAGGCATGGACTCCTTGATACATGAGAAAAATCCCTCCCAGTGAACTGCTGATCTTATTCAAAAACTCTGTAGAAACCTCAGCATTTTAGCAAAAATACTTCGGAAGCCCAACAGGAAGAGGGTTTCATCTTATTCAAAATAAATAATGTCAGCGCTGAAATTTACAGCGACAAAATTCTACTATAAAACTGCTTAACAATCAGTGATATTTCACGGTTATTTTCCACCTTCCCACCACAGTGGCCCGAGTTCGATCCCAGGTCAGGTCATGTGAGATACGTGGTGGAGAAAGTGGCACTGGGGTATGTTTTCTCCAAGCACTTCAGTTTCCTTTGCCAATTCTCATTCCACCAGTTGCTCCACAGTCATTAATCATCTTATCTTTGACACTATAGTTCTGATACTCTCAACATCGTTAAATAACTTGAAAAAGTGACATTTCAGATGTGTTCAGGCAGAATGCAATTAAGCCCAATCGCACAAATGACTGCATATTTGTCACACTTTCATTATCACTTAACACACTGTGGCCAGCAGAGGCAGCACCCATGACTGCGAGCCTTTTGTCAGCAAATACCGCATAGTGCTGGACAGGTGCATCACAGATAATACATTCACCAACAAACGTATGTATGCACACAGGATATACTAAAACTGCTGTTGCAGCACAACAGGAGATGGATCCTACATTCCCCTAGACTGGAACCTACCAGTAAACAAGGCCGATATCCACTTCAATATTTTCAGTATTCCCATTTCCATTTTCCTCCATCTTCCGCAAGGCCTGTTTGAAGATCTGTAAAAAAATGAAATGAACAGAACTCACTTGGCCATTATGAAGACAACTTATGAACTAAAATGTTGTATTCCATAACAGCACTTTTACTTACTAGCACTTCCATCTATTCCATAATAAGCTTCTTTAGTCTATAATATATTGTGAATAACATTCAGAAGACTTAGCAGTATCACAGAAAATTACAGATACTGTACATGATTTTTATTAATGACTGCTTCAATATTTAGTATGCAAACTTGTATGTAGCTGTTAGTGAACAGGTCTTTTCTATAAAACCAAATGGTTCATTAACCAAAATATGATTTGAGTTTAAACGATGAATAACTGTTTTGTATGCAAACTTTCTCTAACATTTTAGAAAACACAGCAAAAAGAGAAAATGGCTTCTCTTGTGCGGGGGCCTTACACCTCACCATATAAGTCTGTCTGAGAAAGTTCTTACAGCTAGTGAAAGATCATACACATGTTTAAGAGAATGAATAATGTTATTAATTCCCTTAGCAGTTGTTGCGACAAAGTTTATGCCCAAATGGCTTTTCTTTTGGCATTGTAAAAAGTAAGTCATATCATACACCATGGACTTCTGGGTTATGACACCACACGGTGTGGTGGAAGAATATGAATGTTTTAGAAAAGCCTGCTGCCTCCATCTTCATGGTAGAAATACTGATAAGATACAGACTCACAAAGGACATTTCCCATTGCAATTATGTACATATAACACTATTCGTTTCACATCATCAATGTTTTAAAAACACATGCAAACTAAAGACAGGTTATTTCATATGTTAGATCAACCTGATTGCTTTCCCTTCTTATTTTGGCTTCTCACATGCAACTTGTGTTAAAATATTAAAATTCACTTCAAATTTTAAATCACTGTTGCGTTAAGGTTTCGACCACTACTGATCATTAGGTGCTTCAAAATTGATGTGGAAACTGCTGCACTTCCATGAACGAATACAACTCAAAATTTTACCCTCTTTTATGTGTTCACGTGTTGTACATTTGTAGTGCTGGGTGATTCCTCTTATGTGCTGTGTGCAGCAGTCACCAGCATCAAATTCAAAGCACCTGATGATGACAGTGTTGGGTGTGCAACAGCATGTTGCAGTACAATATTACCTGATTGGCCTTTCTCCTGCCTGGGGTCAATCCAAAATCTAGTTTTGTGGCTAAAGGCTGTGACATTTGAATTTCTTGAGTCATTTCTGCAAATTTCAGTACATGCTGCAAACACACAAAGTGGATTTTGAGAATAGGTACATACTATATTCACTGGAGACTACATATACACATCAACCTTAAAGGTTTTTCCACAAAATGGATGCTAAATGCTGATGTTTTAAGTATGAAATGCATGCACCAGAGTTATTCTCTCCACTATTTGAACACACACACACACAGAAAAACACGCAGGCATGCAAGCACAGCCCAGGGAAAAGGGCCCCAAACAGTCCCTTCTTGCATCATATTCTCTAACTCACTGTGTCTACATGCCTGTCACACTCCAACTATGCTAATGCACAGGTAATTGCCTTCCTGGACACACATAACACTGTCACACTATGCCAGAATGTCAGTCCTTGTATTCAAAGGTACACGTTTTACTGCAACTATTAGTCTTCAAGGACCCAGATTGGTCCTTGCTTTTAAAGATACATGTTGCACTGCATATATCAACTCTGACTGTGCACCAACAGAAAAATCATTCCAAGTATCCACAGGGTGGGGGGAAACTTCAAGTTATAATTTAACTTGGACTAAACATGAAGGCTATACTGTATACAGAAAACGAAGTTATGAGTGTGAAGTGCCATGTTATAAAATATTCATACTAAATAGTAAATGTAACTCTGTGTATTGTAGAACAGTTACATTTAGAAAAATAATGTCATTTTGATACTAATGTCCCTGCAAATTTGAGCCAGATCCAACCCAATTATTATTATTTACATTGTTATACATTTCCACTCTTGAGCAATTTGGCTCTTACAGTTTATATACAAATGTGGCTGACCTGTGCACACCACGTGTGCTCTGATGTAAATGGAGTGCATAATAGGAAATAAACAATGAAAATGTTTTGTAATGTGAGTCTGTGTGATAGCTAATTTTATGACTTAAAACTAAAGAGAAAAATGATGCAATCTTACATACACACTCACACTCATGCGCACATCACTATATTGTCACACGGATGGGTGACTCAATTTATTGCATACTTTTAACACATGACTTGTGAGTACACTTAATTACAGTGCCATTGCTTATCTCCGCACACTTTGTAAATCACTGTTACATCCTCCATTACTTGTTTCCCGGTAATATCTTATAACAGTGGAGATTCAGCAGCTTCTGGGCTCAAGCCATTGCCATCTGCCCACTGTCTCAGAACTGAATTAACCTCTGAACTCTGTCCTGCTTCTAACCCCTCAGCACGGACCAATGGAAAACACGGCTCTTCTCCTGTTTTGTGTGTGTGACCTAGCAATGGCTGCTGCTTACGGTCAGCATTTAGCAGCGTGTCTATATACCACAATATGTAATTCTTCTGTATTTTTATGTGACTCAAATTGAGATTCCCAGTGATGTCACAAAATTAAATGTAAATTCAAACAAAGTTACGTGCTTTTTATGTTATACTTACAACTGTTTCATCATAATCCTCAACCCTAGGGTTTACACACACAATCATCTTCACTTGACCTTCTCCATCAAAGTAATTTTTGAACAAGTGGGTCACTTTTGAATCTCTGTAGGGTACCATTTTGTTTGCACTGTACATTTGATTTTCTCGCAGAATTTCCAAGCATGTTCTGAGGGTCATTAAGGAATTGTTGATATTCCCTGTGAAGAGAGGGAGTCAAATAGCACATGTAACTCTTGCCAGAATTTGACCATGGAGCAGAACAGCATTAAAACAAATTAAAAATGCCTGAACTTGTTTAGCACATGGTGGGCCTCACAACAAATATCTGAACAACGGAAAAACACCATCATACTGCCTACTTTAATGACCACAATAATTACAACTGGACTGACATTTGTATTCATATTGTTAAAGTCCCGATGATAGGCTAACATACTTATGGCAACATATAAAATGTACTCAATAGAATAAGGAAACAACTTTCTTTAAGAATATTAAGATCTTACTGTTACAGAGTAGACTCCATGTTCAGGACTGATAAGGGATTTCATGGGTTCAAAAGGAACTTTAGAGCACAAGACACAACATTTTCAACACACCAAACATAAATACAAACTAGCTGTGTATCTGTATGGTGCCAGTGAGCACCTACTGACATACACATTCTGAAATAGGAAATACATGTCTCTGCACCTCAAGAGGCCCAACTTTGAGATTCAAATATCTTAGTGCATGGTTGCTCAATTCTTTCAGCAAATCTCAGTGTATCAATACTGATTCAACTCATATGGTGTATGGTAGCTTCCCCCACTTGGGAAAGTAACGTATCTGCACCAGACAATATAGCCTGGAAGGATATCTGAGTCAGCTGAGTTATGTAACTTACCATAAGTGCAATATGCAATAATCAGTTTTCAGAGGTCCAAACCACTCTACTATCAACTGTTTCATTCTGAACATTACATACTCTGCAGCTAATATTCAAAACAAAGAAGGCCTGAGCTTTCCCAACATTCATGGCCAATGGTGAAACCAAGTAGTGACTCCCAAGGCAGGAAAGTAGCCACACATCTTGAATTAACTTACAGATCACCTTCTGTATTTAATGCTCAAAATTTCACAACACCCATAAAAATGTCATGTCATTACATACACACAGAATGCGAAAAATCAAAATATAGGGACCCTGAAGATGAAGTAGAAAAGGTGAAGATAATTCCTGTATTGGATCATTACATATTACTCTACCTGCTTCACGAAGTCTTTGCCCACTGTTCTTTGTTCGATTTGTTCTTTCACTGCCAGCTAGATCCACTAAAGACAGCTGACTAATGCAGATAGCTTTCTTATCTTGCAGAATATTTTCACCCTGGCTGTCAAGAGGTGCCTAAAACAAAACAGCAGCTTCCAACTTAAGAATATTTGTAAAAAAATAAGGTCTTAAGAATGAAGTGGTTGCTCCAAATGAACACAAACCTGAACCAGTCTGATGGTGAAAACTGAATGGCTTCGACTGGATTCAGAATTCAGTGTAGTGATAGCCATCCGTTTTCTTTTTTGTCCTTTGTAGAAAGCTTCAAAAGCATCTTCAGTTGATTTCACTTCCACTTCTGTTACAGAATGGACATACATATTGTGACTTGCATCCTCTCTCACGATCTTCACCTGTAAGTGCCTGTAAGACAGTTCAACTTCCTCAGCCTTATCACTGCATGATGAAAAGATCAGACTGTCACTTCAAGCTAAATTTATAAAATATTCTATGTTCATAAATTCCAACTTCTTATAATTTCGCTTCTTTCTGCAATTACTAAAGAATAAACCGACTAAAGTTGAACACCCATATAAGCAGGGGTTTAAAAATGTGGTCGCCTGGTTGCTAGTGGGAACTGAAAAATTTGGGCTGGTGATTAATTTTTCACTGTATTCAGGAGTTCAATTCAATTCAATTCAATTCATTTATTTCATCCATAGCTGTAGAAATTACAATTGGACATGTCAGATAACAACAACATTACATCAAGCATAACATTTTATTGACATTTTATAAATTCAGTTTCTTTTTCTAGTATCTTATGCTTGACTTGTGCCAACAGGAAAAAATTAATCATGTGCAGACAGGGCAGGTGACGGCCACAGCAAGGTGCCAGAAAATAGATTTTCTAGTTATCAAAATATTTGCAGAAATCTTTTAACCCTGCACACAGAAAAGCATCTTGTGAACCCTGTGTCAGTGAAAGCATCATGCTAAAACTGCTGTCAAACGCACCAACAGGTGTGTGTACACTTTGCACTACCACCAAACACTGAGAGAAACCTTCTGTCAGCTCTACTCAAAATACTGACAGAAATACAAAAATAAATAAACATAATAAAAAGTTAGAGAAGAGATAAAATTATAATGTGCCCCCCCCCATACATGCACACAGATATATGCCATATTAAATGAAAATGAAGACGAATTATGCAAACAAGTTACAGTACAACACTCACTGGAGAGTTCCATGTAATTATACCACTTGAGCTGGTGCCAGTGTGTTCCTGTGGGCACAAAATTCTCTCTCAGAAACAGAAGCTCCTTACCTTGATCTTATTGTGTCCTCAGGTATATCCTCTAGAAGGTCATACACAGCATTATTATAAACTTCAACGTAGGTTACAAAGACAGCATACGTATTATCCTCGTCAACACTACCAATCTTTGTGGTGTCTGGTGCCCGCTGAGGTAGATCTGTATCAGAGTCTTTCCTGAAACAACACAGATGTCTGTACCACAGTGCAAGTGTACAAGAGACCTAATGACAATTTCCACATTATGAATTATATAGCACAAGAATGCCACTTTTTCATCATACTTTTTCAGTGTTCTCAATGTAATGACTGAGTGCAATTCCTTCTCGCGATCCAGCTTAGCATCTGCATCAGTCTGGATATCGAAGCCATTCATTCTGTCAGGTTTAAAAACGAACTTCTTGGCTTGGTAGTTGGCTATGCTATTGAAAATGACATCCAAACACCGAGGCATTATTCCTCCGTTTTGTGGATCTCCAGTCATCGTGAAAGTTTTACCACTACCCGTAACTCCATAAGTAAATAGCAGGCCATTTTTGCCATGGATCAGATTCTCCACCAGAGGTAATGCGACATGATCAAAAACTTCCTTCTGGGTCGCTCTATCATCAAATACACGTTTGAAAGTGTGCTGGATTTCTTTATAATTTGCTACACGGTAGCTGGATCCTGCCTCTGGTGGCAGAAGCGAGACTGCTGTCTGTGATATCACTTTCACACAGGTTTCTTCATTATTCTGAAGTGGCCTTATTCGGCAGAACACTTTCACCGGATCTCTTGAAGCTGACTGTACTTTAGCGGGAGTCTTTCGTGGTTGGGTCTTATTTCGTCTGCAAAAGAAAAGGAATATTTCAGCACATATTTTCTGCCTTCTCTTTGCGAACATGCACAGACTGATTATGGATTTAAGGGTGCATGGTCACTTCACTGCAGGTATTAATAAATCTTGGGTGACAGGTTGCTGTGGCAGCTGAAAATTGCATGACATGAAATATGTCCATCAGTAACACTGTTTGGTCCAAATATTAAAATTAAACTATGAAAGGCTCTAAAGGTTTGCAACAGTGTTTGATTCATTATACCGATACTGTCTTAGACACAGTCCATTATCTGAAGTATATTTCATATGCACAACATTTCAATAGACAGTTCCACATCTGTCCCAGGTGATTGGGTGTCATTATGCTGATGCACAACTTCAATAATGAACAACATACATATAGAAACAGTTAAAATATTTGCATCAGAAAAGAAAGACACAGTACCTAAAATGTTCCTTATGTGCAAGCATCAAGATAATATATTTGTTGCATGTTCACATTTTGACTCTAAATGCGTCCAAATCAACCATCAAGTTCACCAATGAAATGAAGAAAACCAAACTGCTTGGTGCACTAGTGGACAAAAGCAACAAGAAAATAGACACACTCGGCAGTCACTGATATTAAGTCACAGACAGACATAACCTCAATATAAAGTAATCAATTAGAATAAAAGCGAAGAGAATTTATTTACATTCCATACAGGCCTAAGCCAAGTGTGCACAATGTGTCAAACTTTAGCGCTGGCTTGAACAGTTTTACACAATGATTCAGACATTTGAATATAATAGGAAGATTACTGACTAACTTAATTCCAGCACAGTAAATTCCTTTCTGATAATTAATGAGGTTAGCAGGAAATTACACCAGTATCTTGTTACTTACATTGTACAACAGAATTTGTTTGAAATTTATCCACCGTGTTGATGACGACGATGACAACAATAACAATCTGAGTAAGTAATCACTAGCCAACAGAAGAATACTAAATTTCTTAAATAATTCCCCACAAGAGACCCTCCTTTTAACACCTGCTATTATTCTAATGATTTTCTTTTGAATTCACAAGATGGGAGTAACTGAAGTAATCTAATTTTGAATTTTCTATTTTCATGAGTGGTTTGACTGCCCTCATAGCAAAGTGTGGCTAAAATTAATTAAAAAATTCGCTTAGTGGGGGGTGGAGTCCAACTGGGTCCACTTGGCACGGCGGCCACTGATTGGCCTATTGTAGCCTACCCCGGGTGATTATGATGACGGAGAATTTAGTAGAATCGGGGAACCAAAGTACTCGGAGGAAACCTGTCCCAGTGCTGCATTGTCCACCACAAATCCCATTTGAACAAGGCTGAACTTAGTTTAGGGATGTTATATTAAAGAAATGTTTTTTTTTTTCAGTTTAAGTTTCCATCAACTTCAAGGCCAAAGAATTTAGTTGTTTTATTGTCATAACCTATACTTAGTTGATAAAGGGCCGCGCCATAGCTCAAGCAGTTAGTCGTTGACTTCCCACCATGGCGGCCTGGGTTCGATCCCAGGTATGGTCAAGTGGGATTTGTGGTGGACAAAGTGGCGCTGGGGCAGGTTTTCTCCAAGTACTTCGGTTTCTCCTGCCAATCTTCATTCCACCAATTGCTCCACAATCACCCTCATAAGCATAATCATAACGGACTATATTAAGAATCTCCTTACTCAAGTTACATAGGCGGCACAACATCGGCCACCTAGAAGAGAGACAACAGGTGTTATTGACATGAACCTGTAAGGTTTATGAATTTTAATTTTGAACAAAGTATTTTCAAAACTTTAAAACAACTTCAAATATTTCTATAACCAGGAAGGCTGCTCTGACTGACAGATGGAACATTGTGTACTTGGCAATACATGTGTAATTGATATGACAACTGTTGTGATAGTGGTTTCTAAAAAGTGTTTGGTGCCTCTGAAGATGATCCAAATGGATCAAAACATGTAAGGCTAGAGAATCATCAGGTGAGATAACTGAAATAGTCACACTGGACTGACTTGTCTTTTATAATTGTAACTGTTAGTGTGACGGACCAAAAATGAAACAAATCAAATTTAAATCAGTTTGTTTATACTAGCAAATATAACTTTCATGCAATTTTGAAAACACCCCAATTTCTGACCATGAAATAATAATATAGTATTTAATTGTGCAATATATGCATTAATTTTCTTCTACATGTACAATCAAGGACTTTGCCCTTTGCTTGTGATCTATGATGTGATATTTCCACATTCTGAATTGCACAGCATATGGTAGCAGTTTTCATTTGGAGGATGGTAGCAGCCCTTCGATTGGCAAATCTTGTGATCAAAGCCATGTACAGCTAAATATGCTGAAGATCATAATTTGGCTGTATCCAGTCTCTGTTCATAATGATCACATGGAATAACACAAATATATAGTTCATCATTAATAAGAGCACATGGCTATGCCATATCTCAAGCATTGCTGGCTTCCAACTGCAGTGGCCCGGGTTCAAACCTGGGTCTGGTCAAGTGGGATTTGTGGTGCACAAAGTGGCGCTGGGGTAGGTTTTCTCCGAGTACTTCGGTTTCCTCTGCCAATCTTCATTCCACCAAAATTCTCCATCATCATAATCACCTGCGGCAGGTACAATAGGCCAATCAGTGGCCACTGTGCCGAGTAGACCCAACTGGACTCCACCCCCCACTATGTGAATTAAAAAAAATTAATAAGAGCACATAAGATTTAATCTGTAACACTGCACAGAGTTCTATCAGAAGAGACATTCTTCTAAATCCAAGCTGTTCATCTGTAAGGGCGATATGAGTTTAACAAATGACTTTCCTATACATGACTTTCTCAAATATCTTAGAGAATTCTGTTGGTAATGAAATTGGTCTGTAGTTAGATATGCAAGATTTCTTACCTCTTTTGTATAGTGGTTTCACTTTCAAGTATCTAGCAAAGCGCTTACTACTATTGATTGCTAAAATAACTTCACTTTGTAAAACGAAGGCATAACTTTGAAAGAAAACCAGAAAACATTTGCAGTACTACACCAATAAGTAATATCACAAACAATGCTGCATAACATAACCAACATAATTACGAAAACCAAATAGAAAATGTGATACTCGAATCAGGGGATTGCATGCACACTTCCAACATCCTTCTCCTATGTGTTTAGTACTAATTTTCTTAATTACAAAATTCTAGCAGTCCTTGCAACAACAAAAAATAAGTTGAAAATTACGAAAGTTCTGCACCCAACTGAATGGTTAAATATACTGTTTCCTATTTTGTTATATAACTTACGTTGGTTTCATATTCGAATCTTGAAAAACCACGGGGCAAAATAGAGCAGATTCGGCAAACGAAATCCACGCTTCTTCTATAACGAATTCAGAAAGTTACCGTTGACCGCCGTTGACAGTATATTCAAATTTGGTAGCACAATTGGTCAACGGCGACTTTACGAAATACCACAGTAAGAAATAAGAATGTATCTACTCTCTGGGCAAGGGAAATAAATATCCCACGCTGAACACAGATTATTTTTCCGTTTACATAAATTCCAAATGTTTTCAACGTGTTATGGATTCTGTGTAACGCAAATTCAAATTGTTATGGATCGACGAACATAAACTATCAAAATAGAGTTGACATTGACAACCAGTGTCAAGAACTATTAATAGTGAACCATTTATAGCTCCACCACATTGAAAGACGAAAAACAGCAAGAATATTAAATGAATATATGGCGCTGCCATCGCTTAGCCAGCTTAGGCCATATCAATGTCACGGTTCACCATATTTTCATTCGTAACCATCAGACGAAAGACAAGAGATAATTAAAGTTGTTACACCCGTGTTCATTACGCAGACAGACGCAATGATGTTGAGAATGTAAACTAATATGTTGTGGGAGGAAAAAAAGAAAACTTATGTTGGGTCCCGGAGAGGGCCATATTTTTTTGTCACAATTCCAGTTTTTCTCCTGAAAATAGTATTAGGTCCAAGAAAGGAAAGGCCTCACTCATTTCCCATCCTGGCAAGAGCTAATGTGCCCTTTAACGGGGCCGTTGTTCAACCCACTGACCCGAACGTGGGTCCTGTGTTTATCCCCTCTTCTTAGGTCATAATCTACAGCCTTGTAAACTGCCTGTACATTTGAATATTTTTCTTTATGTATATTTCAAGCCTGAGGATGGAGACAGTATGGTCCTCCGAAATGTTGGTATTCACCTACAAGATCACACAGTTTCACAATAACGTACGCATATTTTAATTATTAAATATCCTTATTCTGATAAACGATGAAGAGAGAAATTTCAATTGACATAACATTATGTTTCTATATTGTAACAGTTTATTATGCCAGTTGAAAACTCACTTCAAAATGAATGATTTTAAAGCTATGCCAAGAGTTTTCTTCAGGTACATTTCATCTGAGTTCACAACTCACTCATGGATCTGAGCCCTTCTTGAAAAGCCAATTGTGCAGCTACTCAAAAATTTTCCAGCATTTTATGGAACCCAAAGGTTCATTAACGTGTTCACAAGAGCTCTCCACTAGTGCCTATCCTGAGCCAGATCAATCCAATCCATACTATCCTATCTAAGATCCATTTTAATATTGTCCACCACCTATGTATGTATGTACGTAAGGGTTGCACAATAAAAACCGGCCCCCCAACCCACTGCAACCTTCAATGATGTATTGTGCTTCCCCTTGGATTGGCCCTTTATTAATCCTGTACTTTTAATAAAGTGTAGGACCCTGCTTATGGGGGTGTCATAAAAGTTGCTTGGTTCCGTAAAAAAGTGACCCAAGTGACAAAATCTTAAATAAGCTATGGCCTCACAATCACACAGGATGTGTGGGGCTGAGTCATTTTCTTGTAGGTACCTTTCACAAGTTGGGTTATCTGTCAGTCCCAGCTTGAAAAGGTGTCCTTTCAGGTGGCAGTGTCCAGTAGGTAATCCTACCGCCCATCTTAATTGATCTCTGTTTAATCTCAACAGATCCTTCTTTCTTCTGGCTGAGGGTCCTGATACAAAACCCTTTGCCTGTTTGAGTCCAATTATGGATTCCGAGTATTTTTATGGTTTCTGTTAGTCCAGTCCCTGATCACTTTCTTGGAAACTTCTACTGAGATGCCGCAAGCTGGGTCAAGTCCTATGAATGGCTGTTCAGATCCTGTTCTTGCCAGTATGCCCACCACCTATTGGTCTTGGTCTTCCCAGTCGTCCCTTTCCTTCTGGTTTTCCTCCCAATATCCTACATGCCCTGCCCACCTCATCCTGCTTGACTTCATCATTCTATACTTCTTTTGGACTTCACCCATCGTCTGGCATAAAAAAAAGACGTTTCGGAGACTGAATCTGTCTCCATCTTCAGGTGGATACGGAAGGATAAACCTACTCAGTTGGGCCCCTTAGAAAGAGCTAGTCTCAGTCACTGGACAAACCCCAATCTGTAGAAAAACAACCTATGAACAACCGACAACCGGTTCCATCAGTGGGAGGAAAGAATACAATCGCAGTAAAAACATGANAGGGGCCCAACTGAGTAGGTTTATCCTTCCTTATCCACCTGAAGACAGAGACAGATTCAGTCTCCGAAACGTCATGCTTTTTTTTTGTCTTTTATATACCAGACGATGGGTGAAGTCCAAAATAAGTACAGTATACACCATCGTCAGAATCCTTTCAAGTCTACCTTCATCATTCTAATTATACTTGGAGAAGAGTACAAGTTATGAAGCTCCTCATTATGCAGTCTGAGTTCACAATAGGAAGAGAAAAGCACATGATGAATATGAACCTAATTAAATGCTACAAGATCTAGTTTGGACAATACAACTAACTTCTATGAGGTACCAACACCCCACAAAATGAGCCAATATTATAATTATTTGTTTCTTTATTAATAAGAAACACTTCCTTCACTATCAATTTGTGGAATTAAGATTACATGCAATTTTTGCAGGATCTCTCACATGCATGACACAAATTAACTTCACTCTTGTGATAAAAACACTTTTATATTGCAAATCATGAACCTTTATCTTTTGCTTGAATTTTGTTCACTTCATCTGCTTATGGTGGTGTAATCATCCCGACCTAGGGGTAAAATGTAACCACAAAAATGGGCTTGTGTATGGAAAACGACATGCACACACCCAGGCTGCTACAGTATCGAAATAGAGGAATAGTGATCTATACAATTTGGAAAAGTGGATGACACCCCTATAACAGGTGTAAAAAATAATTTTACGAAATTTTAACTTGGGTTAACTAAGCTATCGATTATAACATCTAATATTTTAAATCATGAAATATCGCAGTTATATGTGATATGAATAAGTGAACATTCTGTACAGTGGAACAGTTCTGGCATAGCTGAGACACCTGATGATGGCCATTTGGAGTCTAAACATGTTGTGAAAAGAAGTGACAGAAATAGGTGTGTTATTGATGGAATTACATTACACTATGCCCTATTCTGTGCTGCTTGTATCCAGTTAACTTCTTCATACATTTCCATTTCCAGATTCATTTTAATACTGTTTTCATCCATCTACGTACTTCACTACATCTTCCATGTGGTCCCTTTCCTTTATGGTTTTGTATGAATTTATTACATTGTCAGGAATGCCACATATTCCAAACATCCTATATTCCTTGAATTTATCACATCAAAAAGTTTGGTGAAATGTACAAATTATAAAGCTCCTCATTATGTAATTTTGTTCTTCCTCTTGTTATGATATTTCTCTTCAATACAGATATTCTCCTCAGGACCCTGTCCATCCATTAAAATGACTGAACATGTTTTACACCTATATATAACAACATGTATAACTGCAATGTTATTTCATTTCAATCTTCATATTTTTATTATAAGAAACAGAAAAACAAGAGACTCTAAACTGCATGGAAGCAATAACTGCCTGAATGTAATATACATACAGCAAGAAAGAAATGTTTCTGAACAAAGATGTTCAGTATAAAAAGTGGATAGAAATGAAAGTATTGAAGAATGTCTTAATCCCTTGCAGATCAATGGTAAAGTGATACATACACTGATCAACAGCTAAAATTTCCAGTTGGCATAGCCTGCTTATGTTCCACAGCAATAATCTAACACAGAGAATAAACTCCCCTCCATCATGTTTGAAAGTATGATCGGCTGGTAATAATAAAAATACAAGGCAAATATGCGTTCTATTAAATTTAAGTCTGGGGTCCTGAGGCACAGATCAAGAGAATCACCACCACAAATATGCACCTCCCCCCAACACACACATACTTATACCTCAAACCCCCCCACAAGGATCGAACATCAACCCTAGCCAGTGCCGAGATGTGCAAAGTCGAGTGACAACAGAACTGCAAAGCTAAATGGTATACATTTGGAATCAATGACAAGTCCTGGATAATACAGAAGTCGTCATCTTGCAACAGTTTCCTTCTCACATCTTACCTTTATGGGTGTGACTATGATGACATTCTGACAAATTAATAAATAATATTTATAATTCTGCCTGAAGGCAGAATGGGGCTCCTGAAGCTCAGGGCCCAGACATGGCCAAGTCTAAAATGGCACAGGGCCTGCTGTCCTGAAAGTAATTACACCCCTTTAATCTGAATTAAGAAATCAGAGTGGCAAAAATGTGACAAGGATAGCAGCAGCAGCAGCAGCAGCAGCAGCAGCAGTGTGATGCACACTTGATCTGCTGCTAGAACTTGTAGACAAACCACAATCTTGTTTAATCTTGAAAGTGTATGGCTTGCAAGATTTAGGTCAACATGTAAGCTTTATAAAACTACATGTTTATTTATTTATTTATTTATATATATATATATATATATATATGAGGGTCTTTGCCAAACCTTATATAATATAATTTATTGCACAACTATGCAAGCTCTTGACAAGCCAACATATTCATTTGCATACTATCCCTCTGGTCTCCATCTGCTTATCTTCTTAACACAGATTGGGGGGAAAAACATCATGGCATATTTTCTCACACAGTTTACGAATTAAGATAACAAATGTGAAAGAATAATTAATTTTATTACTGTGATAGATAAAACATAATATTTATCTTATCGTACAATAGTTATTCCAAACTTCAATCAACCCCTTTTTAATATGCTGCCAGCAGTTTCGGTTACATAAAATGCAAGGAAAAGAGCTGAATGCAAACTATGTGCAACAGCAAGATTTAATGTTTAGGCATGATGCGAAAATCAAGGAAACTTTAAAATATGCCACACATAATGGATGACATCAAGAAGCACCAATCAGCAGCATTCATATTCTAGACTTCTAGAAGACAGCTTCCTGCACATTCCTGTCCCTACCAAAAGAAAAGATTGCATGCAAACAACATAGTTTTGATATAATTTCTTTCTTTCTTTCTGTCTTATGACACTGTGTACCCTTGTAGCCAGCATACATGGTGCCACACCCCAGAAAACCACCATGTGAACAATGTGACGACTTCAACACTTATATTTTTCCTTGTACATACAACAGAAAATTCTAGAAGTGTTCTGATTTGTTTTGCATTGTCACGGCACACTGCAATGACCACAGTGATTTATATATATAGAATGCATCTGTATCTCTTTTACCTCACCTACAAAACGTTTTAGCTTTCTTATATAACATTAAATATAAAACCTGCTGAAAATATTAAGAACCTTGTCAGGATGGTTCTTCAAGAGTCCCAACATAACACCTAGCTAAGGGGCCACATATTATCAAGATCTTCTTCTAATGACAGAAAGAAAATAAATCAACTTCATTTTTTATATGCTACAAAAACAGATTTTAATAGCAAAGCCAAATGGAGGACCACATAAGTTGTCCATAGGCATCAATGGCCTACCTATGGGCTTGTACATACATACATACACAGCATAACAAACCATTTGAAAATCAAATTCTTTCTGATATCTGCCATGCTTCTTAAGTAAAAACATTCTGACTTTTTCATTGGTGTATTACATTAAGCACTTTCAAAATGAAAACAGTACTTACAACCTAAATGCAATAATATGAATACCATTTCAAAATAAAATAGCACCAAACTGCAAAGTGCTGAAGTACCAACATTGTCATTTGATAAAGCACAGGAACAGTTTCACACAAAAACTGAGAAACCAAGTCCACTGTTGCCAGGTTTCAGAACTTCATAATATTATTGCTTTGTAATTTGTACTAATGAAAATGAAATGAAATAGCCACGCCCACAAGTCACCAAGAATGGGCTTCCAGTGTGAGCAACACATTCTTTTCTGCCACTACACACGTACTGTCACCGCTTAAATTACTCCACCTACTCATACTCTTTTACAAACTTTGCAGGAATATTGGAGAGTAAAAGACACTACCGATACAATCTTTTTCCAAAGCATGTGACAGTTTTAATTTTGAATTGGTTTGAAAACAGCTGACTTTTTTACAAATTTTGACAGTAACAGTACTTACAGTACCATTTTTCATTACTTACACTACAAAACCTATTTCTTTTTCACCTGGAAAATGGATCAAATATTGAGCATTCATCACATTTCAATGATACAAAACTTTTTTTTTCTGAAAGCCAATGCAATACCTTGGCATGTCAAGATGGAATGGACCACTGTTCTGAAAACAGCAGCACTCTCCAACATGCATCACAGATGATGGAAATCCAACCCATGCTGACACAGCTAAGTGCCAGGAAAGACTTCACATCATTTAGTTGCTCTGGAAGCATGAAATCGGCCACTAGCATCAGTACAAAGGCTGATGCTTTTAAAACAAGCATGCCTGTACAAGTATGGAGTTTCAGAACAGTCATATCTGTTTAAAATTTTGCCTGTCACTAAGTCTTTTGCTCTGCCAAGCCAACTTCTGAATAAAAGAGATGATATTGGCAGAGATCTGAAAAATGTTCATACAACATGTATTCACTGTTTTCAAGCTGGTGCAGCCTTTAAGCAAATACAGTACTGTATAAACACTACAAAACACAGCTACAGACCAGATTTGATTTCTGTAAAGAAACAAGCTCACCTCAGTAACTTACTGACATTCCATAAAAAGGTGAATCAGTGTTTGAAAGTCAGTACTTCAACCATCACAACATATGAAGTCCTGCACTCTGGTTTGTAACCCTAATGGACCAATTTACTTACAGTAAAATATACTTTAATAAAATATGGCCACATCTCACATTTAAAGAAAAATATTATTTGTGTATCAACAGGTATCATGTATTTGGTCAATCTAATAATGTCCTTGAAGACTAGTGTCCTCTGGAATGTGATACCACGTAGTCTAGGAGATCATTATCAATATTCTGAATTCACCTGCTGCCTCCATCGTCATGGCAGAAGAATGAACCAAGTGCAAACCAAGTGGTATGAATGTAGGGGGAGGAAGGACAACAGCCCTGTGCTCAGGCCCATCTTGCCATTACATCGCCTGTTTTCATGTGCAACCTACTCTTCTATCATGACGAGTGAGCCAGCAGGTTCCTCCAACATGCTGATTACTATCTACCAGAATACACGGTGTCTCACCCTGGGAGATAATAACCTTAAGTCATCACTGAGAGAACCTCAGATCTCTCATATAAAGGTCTTTGTCTGTGAAAACTACTTTCTCAGTACTTTATGTGTCAGGGTTGCTATTCAGTGTGAATGTCTGTTGTCACCTTGTCAGTTCAATTTGGGGGGGGGACAGTTTTGCAAAACCACGTTTAAATGTATAGTTTGGAAATACAACTAGGCTAGAAGCCATCATCAGTAAGTGTAATCAACTGTCACTTTCAGACTGTGATTGAAACATGCTGGCTGTTTTCAGTACTGATTAAATTACTTCATGGAGTTCCTGTGTCCATGTAGCAAATGACAGCAGAGGCCAACAGGCTCATGTACTATTCATAAGCAGCATGTTTGCTGAAAGCATAACAGACAGCAATACAATGTACACTGCTATGCAATTACAGCTGTCCTATCATGATGTACCACCTCTTGCAGTTGTCCGTTTGGTATTTAAGTGCAGAACCTTAACGGAATTATGCACGCAGCAGCTGGCAATATGTTATAAAAACTGTGACATTAAGTCATTCACTTTTCCACTCAGTCATGCAGTCAATCATACATAATTACTGTGATAATAAGCCATTCATTCTTCTACTCAGACATCTCCCAGTCAACCATATATAATTTCTGACCCCCCAAAAAGGAGACCCACACTAGGCTATACATATCATTACTGTATAACAGATGTAGATATATGTACTTCAGTAAGTTCCTAGCAAAAGAACAATCTCTGCACAAAGAACATGTTTAACATGCAAGTATTCAGCTACAACTACAGTGCTGGTAAGTGATTCACCCACACTTGGACCGTCTGTACAATATAGCTAAAGTTAACTGTCATCTAAAAGCAGCAGTCAACAAATGTCAAATGTCAAACATATCTGAGCAATGAAAAGAAATACCATTAAAACAAGTATCACACATATTTACTGGAAACTGGAGTGATGCAGAGCTCTGTGCAAGTAACAAAACACTGCATCCCCAACATATAAAGAAGCACCTTATGCATGTGCGCAACTGAAACAGTATATTCACCAAGAATATGGTGGTCATGATGCACCAACTTCAGTAAACTTTAGCAACAATCAACACAAAAAATAACAAGTCAAATAAAGGCATAAATCTCAACAAATATGACAGGGAAGAAACTGTTGAAGTCATACAGAAACAAAGAACACTGGCAAATAGATCATAGATCTAGTAATGTATGTCCCATAAACGAGGGTTAAATGTGGTATCAGTACTGGCAATCACAAGATTGCATTTTTAAACAAATGCACACAATGTAATGCACACTATTCCACCCCAAGTCGAACAAAATATATTCAACCACCCACCATGATATAAAATAAACCACCCAAAATGAAGCGTGCTATAAATAGGAGCCCTCTTCAATATTTTGAAGTCACAAATAATTTAAAGTTCTATTACTTGTGTAGGTATGTATATATATCGTAAACTATGTACAAATGTCGTCTCCTTAATACTGAACCTAGCGCAGCCCCACATAAATATCCTCCCACTAAAACTGGAAGATTATACAATACATAGGATTTTAACCTAAGATCTTTTGGTACATGTCAGATTTGTTATAAACAAAATTAAGCATCACAAGCCACAAGACTACAGTACAGTGAAACAATTTATGGAAACTACTGTTAAAACAAAAGTAACAAGACATGTGATAACCACAGTAGAAGCCATCCTGGTTCTCTGCAGTGTGAACAGTACTGTTTATTGTCACATCAGGAACCCAGAACAAAGTCTGGAAGAAACGAGAAATTAACTCATTATAAGTTCAGCGATGAAAATCAATCAAGTCTTCCAAGTAAAGACGGGACAATGCGACAGTTTCTTCTGAATAATTATTTAATTTCTGACAGTAAAACTCAGGTTTTGTTATGCCTGCAAACCAAAACAGTTCTGTACTTTACAGAAAGCTGAATATAAACACTCTCACATTCAGTCTTCATGGAAACATGGCAATATTATAAAATATTTTGTAAATTAATTAGTGACAATCAAATACTACCTTTTCAAATACGACAAAAAAAGGCAACTTCTTCAGAAGGTATACTTTTTAAATTAGAGCTACCTTTTGTTCTATGCACAGCTTCAACTTTATAAAAATTATCAATATCTTTTCCAGTCTTAATTATATTCAAATGGGGGGAGGGAATCTCAAATGACTAGTGAACCAACCGCACATTACAGATTTTTAATATAGAGCCTGAACAGAGTACACAGAAGAGAATTCCAAAACAAATATGAAAGTTTTGATATTTTTAGAATAAATCTGTTTTTTCTAAATGTCCCACTCTGATTATACTGGCCCCTGTACATGGTTTTATTCTGTAATTAATTCAGTCTTTATACTTCTTTCTTGAAATTGATAAAAATGGAATGCTGTTAAAAAGTATGACAACAAAACCATGAAAGTATCGCCTTGCAACATCACAGGCAGTTACATAATGTGTTTCACTGTATTACAATATTAATTTTAAGTTGCTTGTTTAGATATATACATATATTTTTTCCCCACAGCCCCAATCTGCAAACAATGTACAATATTTATATACAATGTTTTATGAACGAATGTGATTATACAGAAAACCAATTTCACTGATTGATTATTTTAAAAATTTTGTTCTTCAATTTAACTAGGCTATCAGAAGGCTGTTTTAAACTTGTCAAGATACAGATCACAAATGCATGTCAAGTAGACAGTACAATTCAATACTGTTATAAAATGCAAAATTAATTTATTCCATTCACACTTAAAGTGAAGTATTTTATAGCCTGTACTTAATGTCTCACTTGTAGGATGAACTACTGAACATTACCTAATCTATTTCAACTTGAATGTACTGATACAGTGATAACGAGAGCAATATGCATATATGGAACTAGACAACAGCTTCTCCATCCAGTTTGCTTTCAGGATATCCTGGTATAATATTCTGAACCCATTGGGTTGATAATAAAATGTGTCTCATCAGACAGAGTATATTTGCTAAGCCTATTTCTTGCCTGATTCTTCTTCGCTGGACCACCGCTTCTCTTGCTCCTCCAACTCGTACTCTAATCGCATCTCTAATTCACGCATATCATTAGCAATTCCTGCCTCATATGTATCTTCCTGGAAAAAGCATAACAAATTTGATGACTGTGATGGTGTTCTATTATTATGTATATGCAAATGGGTTTTCACCCGGTGGCAGCGGTACTACAATAAGACAACAGAAAAATAACACACATAAACACATTCAAACAAAACACAGCACATAAACATTAGTAGAAAATTAACATAACATATAATAAACTAACAGCAATGAATGTGTAATGTCATGTTCTCATTTTCCCACAGTACCACAATAGTGCAAATAGGAAAAAGTCAGAATGGTTTGAGAACGTGTAACCAACTGCTCTTGAGGGAGAATAACACAAGTGAAAATCTCTCAGATGGAATACTGACTGCAGAGGAAAAGTGCTGAGGAAGGAACAGGACCACAACAAATGACTACATAGCAAGAAGCTTCATGATTTGCATTCTTTACATAATAGTAACATGGATGAGATTAGCTGGGCATCTGTGATCCGTACCCACCTGTATGTACTATGAAGTCTGACATAACAAAACAAAAAGAGTACTTACCACAGTCTATCACGATAGTACTTACTTCATCACTCCTATAATCTCCATTTGATTTGAGGCCCCAGTTCAATGTGCCATCTTTATTCCAGCCAACAGCAGTGATTGATGTTGAAGCCAGATGATTCTGAAAATTACATTTAAGTTAAGTATAAAACAAAATGCTGCCAAAAGCAAAAAGGATTTTCAAACATCATGGAGTCCAATGTAATAAGTAAAGCTTATATGAGAAGTGTGCTCCAACTAGCATTTTCTTATGCAGTGTCAAGTGAAATAAGTTACGCAGAGCAATGTTCTCTGAATTAAAAATGAGAACTTTTCTGTATTTCTTTCTCATGAGTGTTTTTCTCTTACTTCTAAATTGACACAAACATTCTGAAAACATGACTTATCTACTAATTTATATTCTCTGTTGGTCAAATGAGGACTTCTGGCAACACACAGCATTGTCCTGTCTTCAGCCATCAGAAGCAAAACGCTCCTTTACTGCAGCATTGTATAATGCATCAGTGGAAGTTACACAAAAAGAATTTGAAATATTTTCATATTTTTCTGATGGAAACATGTGGCCTCCTGCGTTGCGCGATTCTCCAACCTGTAGGACTGGCCACTTATCAGCTTCCAGTTACTATTGCACTTCCCTGTGCACACAGCATCTCGTATCTCAAGGTAACAACTGCACCTTCTGCCACATGCATTTAGTCATAAGGATGAGATCTGGTGCTTAAACAGGCTCAGTGCTTTAGCAGTAAAAGGGACTCAGCATATTGTTGTTATTACATCATATTCCAAAAAAAATGGGCTTCAACAGAGAAATATTCTAGTTCAATCCAGAATGTAATCACAATTTGGTGCTAGACCATACAGCCACTATGTGGAAAAGTATTCACCATTTTCCACGTATATCTCCAGACAAGTGCCCAATCCTGTACTTCCTTACTAATCATTATGCTACATACCAATCTCAGTTCTTTTTCCTTTTCTCGAATCCCTTGTTCAATGAGTTGTAACTCATGAGTCAGTTTTTCACCCTCACTGAGAGCTCCACATGGAGTCTGGGTAGCCAGCTGCAACAGTACCACAGATTCCAGACATTAGTAACTGGGCTCACCAGATCTATTGCAAGCAACCCCTGCTATGGCAGCTACATATTCAACAGAACTGTATAAACAGTAGCCACATTCTGAAATCTATCCATTTTGCTAGTACCTCCACACTCCACTTCTCCTGATCCCAAATTCAAGATACACAAACACATACCCACATAACAGGCAATATGTCAAACAGCTGACCAATCAAGAAAGGGCTGTGGCCAGTTTCAATTTACCATATGCTGTGCATGATGAGTAAGAACTGTGTAATGTTCTACAAATGATAAAACAAATCTCATTTCCAATGTTGCATCTTAAGTCAAAATATCAACCTCAGCATCAAAATTTATTCTACTGTAAGAGTTCCCTCACATGCACAATACATTTCCTGGACTTTCACAAGTAAATTCAAACTTCCATCTTAGTGAATACAATTCCCTCATATAGGTCCTCTCTTTCTCAAGAATAAAATATATACCGAACTGATTCGAACATAATCTAACATATATACGGTCCAACAAGTAAATGAAAAAGGACAGTAAGTTTGCCAAAAAAAATCATGAGGTGGTAGAGAGCCAGTCTGGATGGGATGAAGCTCTTTCTTACTGTAATCATCCATGTATGGCCAAAATAAACTTACCTTCAAATCATTCAACTGCTTTTCAAGATTGCGTAGCTGTTGCTTTAGGCCTACTTTCTGGGTGTCAGCCAACACCAGCAAACTGAAACGAAATGTTAATTATAAGCATGATTCTGCTGTATAAAAATTCATGAAGCATACTGTAAAAAGAATACCGCTCTTAAAATATGTTAACATGAACAATTTGCAGTGAATGTTCATAAAACTTGAAAATGGTGGACATGTTTTATCTCATGAGCCCTTTTCAGGACAATGGCTATCTTGTCTACACAGAAGCTATTCTAACCATTTCCAAATTGTTATTACAGATACAGTACAAAAGATAAGTGATTTGGGTTTCGCATATTACCAGACATGGTGCATAAAAATAATAAGGGAAATGCCTCAAGTATGAAGGTGTCCAAGCACAAACACACAACACATTCAGTCAATGGATATTCGTAAATTGTATTTTTCAAACAGCAAACACTCAACTCTTTAGTGGAGCAGTCTGCAGTCTTATTCTGGATGAACAGCTGGGGAGGGTCCAAGATTCCATGGCCAATGGTAATGTAGCCATCACCTAGACCAGCTGAGGTAGGGCCTATGACATGTCGTCCACTTGCTATTGCAGCTGCAAGAGAAATCATGAATGTTCTAAGGACAAGGTCTCCAGGCCACTTGATTTTGGGTTTAGATGACATCACATTGCCAGCAAGGTTTCAGAATGTAACCAATCAAGACCTTTAGCTTTGGAGCCAGTATTTTAAAATTTTTCTCACAACTAAAGAACCTGAAATATATATTTTTTAAAAAGATGACAGAGTTGATAATAATTAGAAATTGGTATATGCATTATTCTTCTGTTGCCAGAAGGACAATTTTTCATCTCTAGTAGAAACTGATATATTGGGTTTTTGGACTTCATCCATCATCCTGGTTTTTAAGATAACTAATAAAAACACGACGTTTCGGAAACTGGATCTGTTTCCGTCCTCAGGTGAAGGAAAACACCTATTCTGTTGGGTCCGTTAGAAAGAGCTAGCCTCAATCACTGGATGATGGATGAAGCCCAAAAACCCAATATATCAGTGTGTTATACACCATCGTCAGAATCCTACAGTAACTTCTAGTAAAGACGTTTACAATATCTATCATTGACAGAAAAGTGGAGAGCAGTATGTTTATAATCCTGGTGCATCTGGACTGTGATGTGTACTGGAACTTACCCTGAGCAGCATTGAAGTACCAGGATGCAACAGGACTAGCAGCAGGCACTGGACGTCTCACCATGGGAGTGGAGATTGTTCCATCTCCAAACGAAGCTGATACTTGAACAGAACTGTTAGGTCTCAGGATAGTTTTAGACATCCGTGAAATTGGACCATATTTGCTGACAATTGGTGGATCAAATGGGATGAACTCATCATCCGCCATGATTGAGTCAGATCTGCGAAAGCACAAATTAAATACTAACTAAAAATCTTGTGGACAAATAACAAGCCTACCAACAGAACTTGATGAATATAAACTGTATGATGAGACAGGGTTTGCTTCGTGAGAAAGGAAGAGGTGCGGCTGATAAGACAGGTGAAACAGCAGGAAACAGAGATCAGAAAGTAAGATTCACAAAGGAAGTGGTTCAAAAATGGAAACAAAGAAAAATTAAACCTGCAGAACATCATTAGAAAAAACAGCAACACTGTTGATTTCTTTTGAACAATGGAAATCATGACATCTTGTTAACCTTTTGCATTCTCTGTATGTCCATCCTCACTCCTGTGGGCTGCAACTCCTGCTACTTCATGTTCCTCTGTGTGTGCACAAAAGACAAGACGTCAAAGAATATAAAAAACAAAAATAAAACATGGCAAAATGGAGTGGAAAATTCATAAGTTGATGGCAGAAGGCTTCTGACAGTAGATACAAAAGGACTAAGGAATTACAAACAATTATTACACTAATATGTTACAAAATTACAAGAAACCCATAGGCTAAAGACAGAAAAATATGTAGTGTTCAGGACATAAGGAGAAGTTTGGTATCAGCAGAGACAAGCAATGGTCATTGATCACAGATACTTTAAATTGTATTAAATTAATTACATAAACACATTCTTTTTCTTCCAACCTTAGCACTGATGTTAGTATACAGGCAAACACAAGCCATTCTGGCCGGCTGATAGTTAGAATAATCAGATGTTTGCTGAAGTATTTCATGGGCTAAACTTCTAATAAAGTAATAAAAGATAACATTTCTCACCTGTATAAAGCTGCTGGATGTCCTGCAGCCGCAATGTGACTCACTTGAGAATTTCCTCCTCGTCCTGTGTGCAGAATTCCTCCTGATGTCCAAATAGAATATGTTGCCGTGTTCGCCTGATTTTCTGTACATGGGAATGCTGAGGTCTGTGTGAAAAATTACGCACTAAGTCCAGTAAACGTAATATAACAAAATATAAAGAATCCAAAGGTAATGCTACAATACTAAAACATTAATAAAATAAAATTAATAAAATAAAAGTAGATACTAAAGAGTTCTGACGATGACGTATAACACTCAGAATTAAGGGGTTTTTGGACTTTATCCATCGTCTGGTGTTCTAAAAACTAGAGAACACAAAGTTTTGGGAACTGGATCTGTTTTCTGTCCTCAGGTGAGGAAGGACACATATACTCCGTTGGGTACCTTAGAAAGAGCTAACCTCAATCACTGGACAACCCGTGTTATAGCATAACTACAGCTATACACACGCCTGACACCAGGCTTTGTTGAAGGCAAGTGTCTCCCCGCTTCCCTGATGATGGCAAGAGAGTCAGTCTCCAAAGTGTTGTGTTCTTTAGTTTCTACAATACTCAACAATGTACAAATCCAAAAACTCAGTAATTCTAACCAAAATGGCAAAGTTCCAATAAAAAGGCCAGGGTCTCTGAGACTCCCTTCAAAACACTCAAAACCACGGTGATCTGCTAACTTGGTATCAAAACCTTTATTCATTATGAATTTGTTCCTCTAAAATAAATAGTGAACCAAGTCTTTTTTAAGTTCTGAACATTTACAGGAGTGCATTCATTGAAATGGTCATATCATCGGTGGGACAAAGTTACATTTACATGTAACTGAACTGCTGAGTTGGAGATAAGAATGCGTGAAATGGCAAAAACACAAAAGTGTAACCTCTGCAATTGCTCTGTATAGGCCATGATGACCTCATAATTTCTGTTTATCATTATATTACATACAACTCTGGCCTGTGAAGTCGCTGAGCTGGAAATGGCTGATGCAGCAGACTTCCCAACAACCTTTTCCAACTGAGAGATGATCTCCTGTTTCCTTTGCTGCAATGCTGCTAGACTCTTGGATACTACCCTCTGTAACAGAAAAACAAACGAACACACTGTTCAATCTGGCCTCTCCACTTATAACAGTAGCACAGTTTGTGTTCTTATGTATATGAAGAGAGGCAGAAAGAAACAACTATAACGAAACATCAGCATACAGTAAAATTTCACTCACTGTATTTATGAAGAGTAATTAAATAAATTAAAAAATGGTGATAAATCACTCCAAATGTGCTTAAGTCCAACAGGGACACACACAATGATGTGTGCAGTCTACAATGGACAGACCTTAGCCACAGAAGTTCCAGCAACCTGTGTGTGGAGCCAGTTCTGCTGACTGCCTGGACTACTCTGTTCCCACGCATTTCCAGTGCGAGCAGTTTCTCTTGGTCGGTGCTCTGCTGGTGACACAGGTGAACCATAGTCAGATTGAGACAGTGCTGGGTACATCTGTCCACCAGAAGTCAACAGCATGTTGTGTGGAGCAGCACTGTGAGAGAGACAGTGAAACTTATATCCATAGTAATAAAGTACCATACCCAAGATATTAGGTTCTGACAGTGGTGAAGATTCATAATGTGCACTCATGGGTTATAACGGCATGTAGCAAGATGCATGAGTACCAGAATTTCAGAGAAAATCTTTCTTCACTGCTGCGAAAATCTCAGGTGGATATAATATCATGTCTACAGCATGTTTCCTTCATGTGATGCCAGGAACATAACATACCTATAGATATCTGGTGTAAATGTCCCTGGCGTAGGGGCAAACATCTGTTGTTGAGAAGGTTGGTATGTGGATGCTGGTTGATTTGCACCTGCAGGATAGGCAGTAGTGTAGGTTCCATACTCAAAACCTCCAGTAGGCGGTCGAACAGCAGCTGTTGGTACCGGTGGAGGAACTTGCAAGGATGGGGTAGCAGCCAAGTACCCTACACAAGGAAGTGATAATCCTGACCTCAAGCATAACTGCACAATCTCATGGCAAATGAGCACCAACCTCAGCAACATACCTTCTCTTAACACAGAACTGTCAAATGGAGATGGAGTGATAGTTGGGGTAGTGGTAGAATACAACAAATCATCGGTCTGAACAAAGACTTTGTCATTGCTGAGAAACTCGCCAGTTTGTCCCTCCTTGTTCCCCGTCTCTTGACTCTTGTTCACTCCGCTACTATTTCTTGCAACTGCCTTCCTGTTCTTTGCTCTATACCTGAAGTAGAAGGCAGAAGTAGCACATTCAGCTTCCAAATCATGCAGTCTAGATATACTTAACAGAACGCACTACAAGCATCTCATCTGTACTGTAATTGCAGCAAGTGGGCCATCTAACAAGACTTCCTGCACCAGTCTTGTAAGCACTATCGCGCCTCCCAAAGTTCGATCATAACTACATCACAGTGCAGGGCATGCCAACGTATGAACAAAGGCACCTTATTGCCCTCAAAATGATTTCTTGGCGCTAGCATGGATTTGAGAACGTTTTAATAATTTCTTGTTCACCAGGTCACAAAGCATGTGAGATTTCCACTCTTGTCAACCAAATCTTTCTCCAAAAAGTTTTATATATTTATATTCTCTTCAGGGGTCATATTAATTCCAGGGCTTCAAGTGTCAATGACATGGCATTTCCTAAGAAAAGTGCTTATTATTCAAGTTGCCCAGAATCTAAAAGAGACTGGTGATCCCTGTCATAATGGGATGTGCACAGGAATAAGGCACACCATTGCATTTTCCAAGCTGTTATCAAAATACAAAAAACTTCAACATTCTATACTGAGTGGCCTTACTGCTGTGTCCTCCACACAGGCTCGTTCGTATAGATGCACACAGTACTGCCAAAGTTCACCAGTGGTATGATGTTTATTCTGAAGATGTATGCAGCAGATTCCTCCGAAACATCTACCAAGCTACATGGCATCACATCCAAGAAGGCACTAATACTGTTTTCATAGTGCATACTTTTTGCCCTTAATTAGAACATAACACTTCACCGAAATGTTTAATTTCAGAATACTAAATGACGGAAGGAAAGCAGATGTTGCTATTCCAACAAAAACTGTGGATGAGGCAACCTTATTTTGGGTACAACCACAACATAAAGGGAAAGGTAAAGGTATCCCTGTAACAGGCCATGGAGGCCCAAAGAGTTGTGAGAGGTCGAGGCTTCCACATCTTCTAGAATCTAGACTATCGGCTCACAGATGGCAGTATGGCTGTCAGCCTTACGTGCCAGCTGCCCTTTAGCCCCCCCCCCCAGAAGATTCCTGGTACTCATTTCTGTTAGAGTCTGAGTCAACCCCAGGGCCATAGTGCGGCTGGAAGGATTAGGTCAATGGAAAAAAAAGCCACCTCATTGGGACTAGAACCCGTGACCTTCTGTCTTGTAGCATAGTGCCTCAACCAACTACGTTACCGCGTACCCCACAATTACAACATACATTTAACAAATATAGAGGAATGTCATGAATGGCATGCAATGTCAGGAAGGACTCGTTTTCTACACCGCTGCATTAGTAAGTCACACCTACTGTAAGGAGAACAAGAACATACTTTTCCAGTTCTTCCTCAGAGTGTGCAAAGGTGCAATTGGTCCCACGTGGGCAGCTCCCTTTCAGTGTAAGGTCTCGACACATACTGATCTTGTACTTGGCATTGTGTGCATGCCCAGGTTCTTGTAATTTGCGGCTACCATGATTCTGGATAAACTCAACAAGTCCAGTGACCACAATTCTAACTGCCCCTAGAGCTCTGCAGCACTCGCACCATGTCGGTGGGCTCGACTCTGTCAATATAGGACAACTGTTTAAATCAAACAGCCAGCAAAGCTATACACTGTTCTCAAATATGGTAACTTTTATCAAGCAAGAAAAGTTTTCTTGTATCTGAAGGTCTAGTCCTGGTCTTCTGACCACCTTCGTTGCTGCTAAGCTGGCAAGCCTAATTCTGTCACTCTACTCCCAGCAACAGGATGTCAGCCTAACATGCAATCATATCTACATCATGGCTGCTGCTACTCCTTGCACTCACAATGTCTAAAGTTTGCTAGAGGTGAAGCATGGGAAGGCCGCTGACTGCTGGGTTATAAACTTATATTACCTATACATATGACACTAGCAACACAATCTGACCACAAGTTCAAGCCAGAATTTCATGTTATTTTTCATTCAGTGTATGGGAATATGAAAGAGCACTTTTTCTGATATGATAAATATGTAACAAGATTCCTTTTAACCCTTCCCATGTTGTATAAAATTTAGACTGCACCTGAGATTTTTGCCCTTCTGTATCGTTTCTGACATATTCTGATTTTCCATCTTGCATAGATCAGCTTTCACAATCTGTCATTCGTTTACAGTACTCTCAGTCCTGTTCCTGTGAATGATCCTAGATGGCCAAAGGGGCTTTGTTACTGTACTGGACTGACATGGGGGGGGGGTTCTGAAATNAAATGTTCATTTGTAGAAGTGCACATAACTTCCAGCTTCCAGGAAATTCTTGAGACATGCAAAGTGTTCAAATATTATCTAGTCTTTTAAGTAAAATATTGCTTCTAATTGGATAAAACAATTCATAAATCCTACAGACACATACTTAGATAAACAAAGGTACAAGCTAATAATTCATTATGAAACATGCCTGGACTAGGATCAATTGCAGCCAGAAGTTCGAGGTGCAGTCTGAGTACTGACAGGTTTCCAGGATCCCCTGTTCTTTGTAGAGCAATCACAAGCTCCTGAACTGACTGCGCAAATGACTGCGGTGTCTGCAGTTTATCAATGATGCTTTGCATATGTGACTTATGAGCCGTGTCACCATACAGCAGAGCTGACCATTGGTCTGGAGCAATTCGAAGCCCTGCTTCAGTTGCAATCTGCACAATCTGTGCATCGTGTTCCCGCCGCAAAGCTTCGTAAGTACGGAATTCTTCCTTCAATTGCATCAAAGATGAATCACCTTCTCTCTTTGAAACCTGCAACAAAATATGACGTAATCAGTCAACAGGACAAACTGTCAAGAACTTGTATGTGACTGGGGGTTGACAACTTCCAGCCAAGTATAACAACACAAGAATCTATGAAAATCTTGTCCTGTGTTGTACACACAGTATTCTTGTGTGTTCTTAACTTCCATGGCTCATTGGGTTCATCTACTTTGGGCTTCTGATTTTCATTTCTGCCTGTAAATGAAAAAAACGAATCATGTGTTACCTCTGCTGTCTCATATATAAAATGGTCCTCCAAATATTAAGTGTTCTTCTTTCTACAAAATACTAAATATGAAACAGAATAGATTGGGGCATTATTTGTCTCCAATAATATAATATTAACAATATGACACATACATCATGAATGAATCTGGAACATTCTGGTATTTGATTAGTAAGTTCATGTCCATGGTTTATGCTGACCGTCTTACAGTGTATACACTTTTTCACCTTATTCTTCACTTCCACACTACATGTTTCAGCACTAATGTGCCATCTTCAGGTGTCTTTATGCACGTTAAACTATTGTACTGCATGCCATAATGTCTTCATTCTAAAATGACTAAAATCTGTATTTGTCATTTTTTTTTTTTCTGTGGCGCTACAGCCCCAATTTTGGGCCTAGGCCTACTTCCACGAAACTCTCCGTTTCCCTTCGGTTTACTAGATCTTACACATACGGTAGGACTCCTTGGGCGAGTGATCAGCTCGTCGCAAGGCCTCTACCTGTAGACAAACACAGAAAAATGCACACAAACATCCATGCCCTGAGTGGGATTCGAACCCACGATCCCGGCTTCTGAGCGAGTGAAGACAGTGCATGCCTTAGACCGCTCGGCTACCGTGACCGGCGTATTTGTCATATAGGACAATGAATTCTAAATACTAACACATTTCACGATTCTTCCTATGTCGCATTGTACTCGTGCAGTAACAGGAGCAAAAGACAACACAGAACACGATACACAAATATATGTAGGAAGAATGCTCACATAAAAGAGGATTGGCGTAATTCGTGTGTTTGGGTGCGACGTAGGAAGAATCCTGAAAAGTGTTATTATTTAGAATTCATCGTCCTATATGACGAATACAGATTTTAGTCATTTTAGAATGAAGACATTATGGCATGCAGTACAATAGTTTAACGTGCATAAAGACACCTGAAGATGGCACATTAGTGCTGAAACATGTAGTGTGGAAGTGAAGAATAAGGTGAAAAAGTGTATACACTGTTAGACGGTCAGCATAAACCATGGACATGAATCAGTGTAACAGGACGCTAAAATATAACATTAGTAAGTTCATACTTGTATAGCAATCTCCTGACAAGCTGTCGCTGTTGGCACTGTAACTATGTCTCTAGTTATTCTTATTCTTAATGTACAAATAACATTGACTCTAGTGTCCTACCTTAAAACATGATGCTCTGTACAGAAGTTGAACAACATGACCAATGCTGGTTTTAGAGGCTTGTGGAAAATGTGGTTCCAATCTCTGGACTACAAACATGACCAGAACCTTCCGAGACAGGGCGGACCCATCTTCTAAAGCCAGCAAAACCAATTTCAGAACCTCTTCTTGCATCGCTGCAACATCAGAGTTCATTATTCCTCCTCTCTCTGTGAACTCTGCTAGCGGACTGTGTGAATGGCGCAGACTGAAGAAGCATGAATAGGAAAAGGCGAAGGAAACATGGGGGGATAAGGGAGGCCCTGATAAGGGCAACATCACATCTGGAGAGGTGGGGCTGATGTATCAGGCACTGTCATTGTGCATATGCTGATTGGGTAAAGCAGACATATTGCTCCTGTTTCTTCAGAATATGGACGATGGACCACACAACTGGGCTAAGCTGTTTCCCAGGTGGCTAAGACAAGTATGTCACAACAACATGACTGTAGTCACTAGAGAAAAAGATGTCCATGTGTCATAGTGGACGTTTTAATTTTAAAAAATACTTTTAATGCAACCCCAGCATATATTAGATCAAGATATTAAAAACGACCATAGAGGTACCTGGTCCTAGAAACTGGCACCCTCTGGCACGAACAGCTGCCCACAGGTTGGCCGACAGTTGCTGAGGATTCTGATGCTGAAGAATGAGTTCCGTCACGGTTCGCTCCCCAAGGGATCGTGCTGCTCGCATTGCTCTGGAGCGTCCCTCCTCCTCCATCAACTGGCAGTTGATTAATGTTACCAACTTGCGTTGCATCGGCCTGGAGAGAACACTGGTGCCACCAGTCCCATTGCCTACATAATAACAGGTTTCAGGACTCATAATAAATATGTAAGAATCCAAGTTAATCTTAAGCATGGCATTTACATCTCTTGTCCCAAAGGATGCCAGTTTAAAATAGTCTGATGGTACTTTTCAAAATAGGAAGATGGTAAGTACTAAGTACAAAAGTTGTCCTTGTGCTTAACTAATCAAGCACTATGCAATGAAGACATATGGGGGAGTGGTTGTATAGATCCACGTTTTCTTGACCTCGACACTAGTTGGAGGTGAGTTGTCAGCTTCACATTCCGGCCACTTTACCCCTTGGAAAAGAGCCTCTGGTACCCACTGGATATGAAGCTGGGCAGGCCCCAGAGCCAATCCGGACATGGAAAAAAGAACATTCCTGACCCTACCAGGACTCAAATTGTGACCCCTCAGTCATCCAGCCCATAGCCAGTCGCTATACCGACTGCACTGTACATGCTCCCCGATAACAACAAAGTGAACAAATTTCCACTCAGTTCACTACCTACTTTTAGCTTGCAAATTCTGGACACACGGTTTAGAATCTGATTAACCACCACCACCAATCCGAATCTTCTACTCTGTTATCAGATTAAGACTCATGCCATGTGTACATTGGTTCAAGAAAACAAAGCTGACCAGTTGCGGACACTTTCACCATACTACTTTGTATGGCTTTCTTTAGGAAAATATTTCAGTCACTGTTGTTAAATAAAATTATCAGTTGATGAAGCAGCACTAAATAACAGATATATTGCCACGTGTCACAGTGACTAAGATATGGGTTTGGATTGGTGAATCAGCTTATTGGCTCCTCACTAGCTTAACTACAAACAACTGTAACACTTTTCAAGATTACTGTAATTATAACATACAAAGTCTTCAATTCACATGTTAGGTCTTCACAGGTCTTCTAAGAACTTCCTGTGGTTGTCTCCTACACAGGGAACAAGTCACGTCATTCCTAGCCAGCGTCTTCATTGACGCACTATTGGCTCCCTATGTGCAGTAATATTTCTCCACTGAGATAATATTCCATTGTTGCCTTGTGTGTATTTGGTCGTGGGGTGTTTACTGGTCCATTACCTAGCAATGCTCTGGCCATCCACATTACAATATTATTAATCTAAAGCATTTATGGCTCTTATAATGGTACACAACTAACCACAGTGACAATCAACACAAAATAAAGATTCACATTTTTATGAAGATGTACATCACATTCCACCTGGGCAAGTGTCAGGAGCAGTAGAGCAAATTATGCCAAGACCACTTCCTTCGACATCCTTTAAATTCACCCATCTTCCCGTAATAATTCAATCATTCAGTGCTACGCGGTCTGAGCAAATGACAATGTTGTTGCATTATCAAAGAACAACAATGGCATACAGCACCATTATGACAGCATCACAGGGGCACACAACTGTGCAGGTAACAGGTGGCCAGACAGCACTCACCATCTTCCGATTTGCGAACTTACCTGAAGAAAATGGTTTCAAATACAAAGCCAGTTCTTCGATGCATTTCTTTGCTTGCAAATAATTCTTCAAATCTTCTTTTGTGAGATGCTTTATATTTCCACTTCCTTCAGTCTCAGGGACACTTGCTCCTACCAACTGCAGTAACGCAAAGTTGATTGGAAGGTTTTCTATGTCTGTATTTATGCTTGTCTGAAAATGAAAACATATTATCAAAGATACAGGTTTCATGATTGTAATGATGTGTAATTTGGAAACAGCCTAATGTTTCAGAGGAACATTCTGCTCTCATCTTCAGGGTTGAAGAGAGAGAGGTTCAGCTTGCCAGCTCCTTCCTGCTTCCATCAGTTTCCTGCAAGGCTTACTCTTCAACCTGAAGATAGATGTCTTACGTTCCTCTGCACCATTGTGCTCTCCCCACACTGCATGGCATTACTATCCAGAAGGCCATGGTCCTCATAGTCACTGCTGTGAGACCCTCGGGTTCAAAAGACCATACTACATTAAGATGGACAACACAAAAACTGTATTTTACAAACTTATGCATAATAACAAAGAAAATGTGTTAAAAATTACAAGTACAGTTCAGTGCAACAGTAATGGCACCACAGTATTTACAGAACAGTTAATGAATTCAACAATGATCCTGAATAACTTTATCTATACATGGAGTTAATTAACCCTGACAGCAAATGGTTTGCAAGGAATATGACATTACAAGTGTCTGAGGCAATGTTTAGCATTCAAGGTAGTGGTTTGCTAGAATCTACAAAAAAAAAAAAAGAACTTTCCAGAGAGGCATGGATCTCCATGTACTTCACCCTAAGCCTTTCTAAAACAATGGTGAAAAAACTATGGCCTGCAAGCATTGTCTTCTGTGATAAAAGTAATTGGCCTGCTACTAGTTACTTAAAATAATATATTTGCTTATAAATTCTGTAAAATGTCACGATGCTACTGATTTCTACATATCTCAGGGGAAAAAATTACATTGTTTGGCGCACAAAAGTGTTCTGAAATCACTGACATGGGACCAATTTACAGCTTGACGACCCCCTGCAGTCTGAAGTAAAATTACTAAGCACTGTAAAATACTTTAATATCAATTTACCTGGTCAAACGGGCACTGTTTCCTGTGCAAATTTGAGAGGCATGTCTTGCATACTGTATGTCCGCACCCTAAGCTGATAGGACTCCGCAGGGTGGGATCAAATTCATTGCAACACACAGGGCACGACAGGAACTCAGTCCACTGTGGCGCCTGGATTGGCATTCTGTAAAAAATAAATATTTTAGAATAAACCTTAACAAATGTGGCATCGCATAGCTATGCATAAGACAGTATAATCATAAAAAGTCTGGTCTGAACATTATCGAAATTCTGTACATAATCGCCAAATACAGTATCACAAACTAAATATTCTTATTACTAATTAAATCACGTTATAATAACTCAACATATATGGTAATCATGCAGGGATTTCGATACATATTTGCAGTATGATTAGGGCATTGCTCTTGTCACGGATGTGGGCAATACCACAATGAAAATCATTTCGGCCCACTACAAAATACCAAACATTTTACGAATATCGCAATCATGTACACTATATATGCATACAATATTGAAAATATGAAAGTCACTAGTAGTAACAATGAGTATTATCACTGAAAACGCTCAATTAACATGTTGATAATACCTTGAAAAATCCTACGCAATACATCAGGTAGCCTTCATGGCAGCCATAACAGATCATTGTTGACTTGTGCTATCTACAGGGAATAAGAAGCAACACATGAACTACTTAAAGAGATGAAACTGTGTGGGTAAAGTACAGTATTCTTCAAAAGTTGTGGCACGAACACCAAAATCTGCATTTATATTCTGTAAACAAAAATATTTTGTTCAGGTAGCATATGTCTGTACACACAAACCTCTGTCTGCCCACGTGACACAAAATTTACGGGAATCAAATCGATACAAAACACATTATCAGTCCACACAATTTTTAACGTAGTGTGAAACTACAACATAAATTCCGTAATGCGACAATATGTTATAAAAAGACAAAAGAGGACCAAATAATTACAGAGGTTGGTACTCACAAGGCATATGAGCTATATTAAAAAGCGAAGTTCAAATATAATTTTGGAGGCACATTTGTTAATCTTATATTATGAGAAAGTATTTCACAGAATATTGCAAATTTTACTTTATGAAGCGAGAGAAAAACACCCCTAATAATAAGCGGTTCGTTGATGTAAGTTTCTAAGCCTGTAAAACATTTTTGAGGGACGTCGTATTTTGAATAAGTAACGTGGTGTAGGATGAAGTCATTTTTGTTCAACAGGGCTTCCGATATGGTGCTTTGGATCCAGTGTCGAAGACAGTCCGGCAACTTCATAGTTATGACCAGGGCTTGAGGTGAGGCGGGATGGCATCCCGGTTCTTTTCTAAATGGCTTAAAAAAATCCCGTTACTATATACATCACTCGGTATATTTTCATAATTAAAAGCGGAAAACCATCCCGGTTCTGTTTTCATTCCACTTCAAGCACTGGTTATGACGTAATGAGATACGTTATCATCTGCTGATGACATAACTTGAAAGATGTTTTAGACCACGCACTTTTAATAATTCGTCATTGTTTCGCATGGCATTGGATTTATCGCTTCAACTTCCTGTCAGGCTGCAATCGTGGTTTTGCGTATGTTTAAAATTTCCCGATCTGTTTCGCTCATACGGACGATTTGAGTGGCATCGATTTCTTAATGTATAGAAACAAAGATCTAACAAAATGTTCCCCAGCAGATTGCCGTTCCAATTCGGATGCTCATAAAAAATTCTGCTAATCAGTACATTCTCGATGTTATGTAATTTTCGATATCCACAGAGTTTCATTCTAGAAACAACTCAAAATTAAAGTAAGGATAAAATTCAGTACCAGCTCTAGTGCCTTTGTATGATGAAAACTCACTTTTCTAAAATTTTTATATCAAAAGCAATGTTATTTCACGATAGGAATGAATGTTACTGGCTTAAAAGCTTGAGTATACTCTAGAAGTACATAAAGCTCTTTCACGAATTTGATAGCGCTAAGGTACTTTTTGTGTTCGAATTTTGGTTGGGTCACCTCCCAGCCTGTTTTCATAGCTCTCTGGGCAAATGCAGTACGTCAAGTAGATGATTCCATCTTTTCAGATAATTTTTAATTTACCAGTTGCTATAAAGGCTAGATACTGGTCACAAAATAACACCAAGAAAAGTGAGATTTCAAGAAATACAGATATAATTTTTCATCTCTGAAAACTTTGATTCCACACATTTAGAAGAGTTCAATCAGGCGCTCTTTAATGTGCTCATACTGCAACCCACTAAGACAATACATAGCGTATCCCCGGAGAGGTCATTCTAAGTAAAAAACTGTATATAGGTCCATGCATCCTACTCCAAGCAGATTCACTGTACAGTTGCAAAATTGATAAGAAAGAGATATCACATACTGTTTCTAATACCAGTATTTGCTGAAGTGACAAAGTTGGTACAGTACCTAGTATGATACACGCTTTCAATCAAGGCACTTTGAAACTCATATGAGAACATGGCATGTTACTCATCTGTATAGTGAAACAGCTCTAGCTTAGAAACTGTTAGGAATAAAACACACACATACACATTTTCTTGCTTAGAATGACCGATACTATGAACTTCCTGAATAGTGGCCTTTCCTCCTGGGATATCACGTATAGTTCATGCAGCCATTGAGGAACACAACAGAAGCCTGCCACTTGGAATTTACCGAGGTAGCACAGTTGGTTCACTATGCTACAAGTCAGGTCACAGGTTTGAATCTTGATACTGAATTTTTCAATTGACCTAATCCTTCCAGCTGCATTATGGCCATTGGTTCAACTCAGCCTCAAAGAGAGATAATGAGTAGCATAGATCTTCCTGGGGGCTGAGAGCGGCTGGTGCATAAGGCTGACATCACCGCCATCTGTGAGCTGACTTGTCTTAGCAAATGTGGGAGCTTCAACATCTCACATCCCTATGGACTTCCAAGGCCTGTTTCAGGCATAGCTTTATGAATGAATGCAAGCTGTTTCCTTGTACCTGTATTAGCTGTCTTCTCTTGGATGTGGTCTTGATGTACTGTCCTTCCTTTCCTCCTGCTCAGCTTCCACATAATACCTATCCTTCAGTGTTTATTGCATACAAGTTTTCTGTCATTTTATAATTAAGAAAATCTACCAGTCTAAAACAGGCTATATTATAATCTCAATTTTTTGCTAATCTGGTAAACTGTCTAATCAAAAGGCCTTCTGGTATGTGATGCTGTGTAGTCTGGTAGAAGCGTGCTGATGCACCAGAAGAATGTACTGTTTCCATCTTCACGGTTAAAGAGTAAACCAAGCTGCACTCTTTAACCGTGAAGATGGAGACAGTATATTCCCCCTAAACATCAGTAGATATCTACCAGACTACATGGCATCACACCACTGTGAGATCATCTAGTCTCATATTATTTCATCCTTCTAGACTGTACATTTCTTCACATTAATGTTCTAGCCCTTTTGCGTGCACAACTATACTACACACATCTGCTGCAGAGGCAAAACAGAGGAGTCATGATATTTCAGGATTGCTTCAAAGAAAAAAGTGATGTTGCAAGTATTTTTTACTGGAAGGGTATTGTGCAGTATAAATGTGTTCCTGTTGAGGTTACCAACAAGAGGAGGTGCAAGGCAGTACTTACCTACCTCTTGCAGGCAGCTTGACTGAAGCATCCCAATGAGCGCTCCCATATGACAATGTCCCCATCACCCTAGTTGCTACATCAGCAGAAGAAAGCTACTGTGCTACATACATCTACTTGAATTCATAAGTTCTTATTTGTATGTTAATTAGTTATATATATTTAATAATAAATTTCAACGTTCCCAGATCAATAATCTGTCTTAAATTACCCGTGTAAAAGATTTTTCTCAGCTTAGTGTTCAAATGCATTGCTCCCCAAAGAAACCTTAAATGATGGCTTCAGTGTTATGATCATTTTCAATTTGTTTCGTGAAGATGTTTCTGAATGGCAGGTTACTGAGAACACAGAGAAAGTACCATAAATGTCCAATTAAATGTCAGTTCTTAAATAGCCTCCAAGGAGCCAGGCACAGACAATGTGAAATGAATGCAGTGACCGGCTTTCTGGCAGTTCTGTTCATACCAATATTCAGTAGGACAGGACATTTTTTTCAATATTCTCATAGTTCAACAAAAATCACAAATTATTCACATTACTACACATTTCCAAATTCAAGTAACATATTACAGAGAATGTAATTGTTTGATTAAGTGCTGAAGTTCAAACAGCAGCCTCCACTTGAACTGTAATTTGATACAAAAACAAACTGCTGACTGTTATTCATACACCTGTGGCTCTTACAATGTAATTACACCCTCTTGTTTCCTATGCATATCTCCATGCTACAAATGTGTGAGCAATGTTGTAATTTTTGTAGGATACTGCTCATCTAGCTGCCGAAATTCCAGGGCACATCTCTTTCTTTCAGAAACACAGCCAATTTCATTATACAGCAGGGCCTGAAACAGAATGAACATTTCTCTTGTAAATTTCTGAAATACATGAGGGATACTTACAAGTTAATTAGATTAGTAAGACACAGAAAGAAGCCAAAGGATACCAATAATAAACTTTTTCTCCTCTCAGGATCAGAAGCTCTGAAGTCAGATTAAAAAATTACAATTCACTTCCTGAACACAGACACAACATCCAGTGGCTCTGGGAATAGAAGCAAATATACTACAATAAATTCTTGACTGAAGGGAGCTTAAAGGTGTTCGGTTTTTATGTGCTGCTCATTCCCTTGGAATTTTATTACTTCCCTGGAATATCTGTCTAGGTTTAAAAGCCATTTCCACCCTTGGTAAATGCAGGAAGGTGAGGGTACAACTACAATTCTGAAAGGCTACTTTATTAATGCTGTTACCTCTAGATAGAGCACATCTTTCACTCTGCTATACGATTCTGTCTTCTCAAAACTGATCTTCACTTTATTCAGTATATGAATGGCTTCAGTCAAAGCTTTCTTCCTCACTTCATCTGGCTGACCAGTAACTGCTGCAACTTTACACTTCGCAAACAGCAGCAATGCCCTCCCTTGATCATAACTGCCTCCATGAGACAGAATTAACAGAAGGGACTGGTCAATCAACTTCAGCGCCTGAGAAGGTAAACCCATCTGCAACTGAAGAGAAGCCATCTGTCTTTATCCCTGTATGGACACAATGTGATGGTAAATGGTATCAATTTATGTATGAGTGACCATGTTTCACCCACTTTAACACCACATAAAGGCATTAATTGTTCTACTGTTGTTAGTTAGTTATTGGAGAGGGTGGGTTTTCCCAATGCACTAAGACCAGTATTGGTCCATTGTGCTTCCCTCTATGATATTCTACCAGTCTCTATACCCTACCGATATTGGTGCGTACCATCAGTCCAGACCGAGCCAGCGAATTTGGCCTCTACAGGCTTGGCGGTATCTATAATGCTTCCCCAATCTATCAGTGGCATTACAGACTACTGTTGGGAGGTAAATGTCCTTGAATTTGGCTCAGTGACCTCCTTTGGAGATAGAAGTTTCATTTACATGCCGTAAAGCTATGACACGGGACCCACGACTTAAAGTCCCTCCCGGAGGACTTGTTCCCTGAATTTTTCTGCCCTTAAAAATTCCACGACTCCGCCGGGTTTGAACCCGCGTACCACAAGTCTTGAGGTGGGAACGTTACCTCTAGACTACGGAGGCCGCTGTTCTACTGTAAGTAAGTGGTGTACTAATTAGATTTATATTAAATGTGAGAGGGGCAAACAATCAGCCTGAAAATCCTTTGTTCTCTTACCAGTTGACAAATAAGGAAAGTTTCAGAATCACTGACATTTCTGTATCATCCAGCATTAGGAGGTACTTTGTGGGTTATTTATCCCAAAGTCTGAACAAAACATGATTTCTTCTTTTGTTATTTTACAATGCTGTCAATAGCTGTACTATACAGCTTTGAACGGTAGGATCATCAATGAACGGTGAATTGGAAAAGATTTGGAACAAAGAGATCATGGCCTATCTGAGGTACAATGTAAGTACCTGCAAGTTCGCCAGATGAAGAGCCACAAGTGCTGCCAGGTAGTCCAAATAATGTAACTGTGCTAGAGCCAATGCTGTGAGAAGTGAAATAGATCCTGCTGGAGCACTGGTGGAACTTCCACAGCAGCTCTGCAGTTCAGCTGCAAGAATTAAAGCTCTCACACGCAATGATGGGCACACAGATTCTGCTTCTGAGCGATGTCGGAAGTAGTCCAGAATATCATGCACATATGCAGCAGCCCCAGGGTAGTCACCCATAGCGACAAACAATTCAGCTCTCCTGCACCAAAGAAACATACTGCCATAAAGTGTCTGCATGTCAGCCACTCTTCTGAAGATGTAGGCATCCCGTGACTTACATGAATTTTGCATTAATGTGACTTCACATGCATTTCATTTTTTAGTGAAAACTAAACAATAATGAAATTGCTGTCTAAAGCCAAGTCCAAACTGAATGAAATTAAAGTTAATTGAAGTGCATATTTTTCAACGAAAATTAAAGGCAGTGAAATCAAAAAAGTATTTGGAATTACACAACCATTCCTGGTTACGACAGCTATTGTGTATCTATAATGAATAATGTTGAATAGATGTTTAACATTCTGATGGGTATACAATTTCTTTATTAGAGTCTGTCACAACACAACAATATAAAGGTCAAGGCTAAAATTAGCTTGGCTACATGTTTCGGCTATTAAAGCCATCATCAGGCAAACACATGATTACCATATTCACACACTACTGAACTGCAATTGCGATGGTAAAACCGGATACCTGATAATACATTATAAAATACATGGTATAAAAGTACAACTATAAACTTGTTAAAACGAAAGTTATGGCATAAAATAAGGTTAAAACTCTTCATATGATATTCTATATCAAGTCAGTTGTTGCAATCTTGTCATATTCCCGCGGACATAATGGTATATTCAGACGTGTATACATGTAATAAACTGCTTGGAGACCCATGGTATAGATATAATATAGTTTGGACATTAATTGTTTAGCCAGTGCCTCATCTTACAATGTATTTTGTCCGTTCTGGAGGGAATACAGATTGCAACTCGCTGATCTGAGAGATGAAACCAACACCTCCATACCTGAGCTGACTCTCCCATTTATTGATGGCTGCCAGACGTGCCACTGCTTGCTCTGCTTCCTGCCATTTCCCATGGTGCAGAGCTTTAGTAAAGTTGAGGATCTGCTCAGAGAACATCCAAGCATGGGAAACTGGCTCATGTGGAAACCTTTCCCTTGCATTCAGTAACAAGACAGTTGCAAAATGAAACTCACCCTAAAAGAAGAGTGCCTGTTATACAAAATTAACCATATCCATCAAGCAGATTCTTTCTTGAGAAACTAAGAGTTGCTCAGTAAGTCAAGATACTTTCAGCCTTTTACAAAACCTGAAAGTTGATTACCATGATCATGTGTCTTTATTGGTCCATAGCCTGAACCAGATAAATCCAGTGCACTCTCTCTTTGAATCTGATGTCAGACAGTAAACAATTTTAAAGAATTTAAACTTGCAATATAAGCATAAATGCATCATATCTCCAATATACCTGTTCCATGAGTATGTTAGCAACATTGCAAATTGCCTGGCAAGTCCCTTCACCATTATATGACTGCACGCCTTGAGTTGGATTTGCAGTATTGAGGTGTAGCAGCAACTGACTAGACAGAGTGGACATTTCTGTTTTCCCACACAGACACCATAAAGCAGCTTTCTGAGCATAACCATTTGTCATGAGGTCAATCATGGAATGCTGGCAGTTTAGTACATCACTCTTCATCAACAGCTGTAAGTTATACAAGTGGTACACAGTATTCAGTTTTCACTGCTACAAGTAACTAAGCCATTACAACAGACCTCACTTCTGCAGGCAGAAAATCAGAAGTATCCGTGAACAAAGTGGTATAGAATTTGAATTTATGAGTGATGAAAGTAGTGTCATGGAGAAAGTATTCTGAGGACTTAACTGCAAATCTGAACGCAGAGAGTTATTAAGGTTTCAAGGGATTACATAACAACCCTGTGAAGTAGATTCTAAATGGTTCTGACGATGGTGGATGACACACAGAGAATTACTGGGGTTTTGGACTTTTTCCATCGTCCGGAATTTTTAGGTAATAGAGGACACAGTGTTTCAGAAACTGGATCTGCTTCCGTCTTCAGGTGAGAAAGGAAGACACCTACTCAGTTGGGCTCCTTAGAAAGAGCTAATCTCGACCACTGGACAACTCCTGTTAGATTTACCCAGCTATTTCAACATATAGGACTGAACTAGCCTAGTCCAGTGATTATGATTAGCTTTTCTAAGGGGCCCAACTGAGTAGGTGTCTTCATTTTTCACCTGAAGACAGAAAAAGATCCAGTTTCTGAAACATCATGTCCTCTTTACCTAAACATTCTGGACAATGGAAAAAGTCCAAAACCCCAATAATTCTGTAAGCCTGTGAAGGCCTCACAGACAGAAGGTATTTAGGTTACAAGGTTAAGATCAGATGGACATGTAAATAATGTCTGGTAAATAAAAAATGAATGCAGAATTTTTGTAGGAAATCATGCAAAGCAACCAGATAGAGGTGAAGAAAGTGGTGGGATGCAAACATTAAGCTACTATTCAGTTCAGAACCCCATTATATTTGAGTCTCCTACCTGAGAACCTCAAACTCAAATTCTACAAACCGTAATTTCGCTTGCTATTCTAAATGGGTCTGAAACTCAGTCTCCCAAGAGAATAACACAGACTGAGGGTGTCTGAAAACAGTTTGATGGAGGAGAGAAGAAGAAACAGAAATGTGCATAATGAGTCTGGCAGGGCTATACCCACACAAGTTTACCACAGTGCATTTCAAACAGAGGACAGCGAGAACCTTACTCAAACTGATACAAATGTAACTATGAACTGAAGTTAATGCTTACATCAAACACTAGAGCTGGTTTTCCACCTTTGACCCCTGCATACTGGGCAAACGACTGAATCCCAAGAGAAGTGAGGTAACTGAGATTGAGATCACTGCTTTTTGATATCGACCTCTCTATCAGTATTTCCTGTAATAAGAAAAATCCTTATGCATTACATAGAGAGAAAATCATTTTAACTTCATAATTAAACTGAGAGATGAACACACCTTATTCTCATCACTCAGCTTGTACAGCCACGCCAAGGCGTGCTGAAGACAAACACTGTCATTTGCTTTATGAGCTGTCATGATGGCTTCTTTCAGAGCACATAAAGCCTCCTTCCTGAAACAATTCAATGCAATGAAAACTGTGAGCCGAACAACTGGCCAGACCAACAAGGTACACTTCCCATCCACAATGTGGACAAGTAACAAGTAAAAGCAAAATCAAGAATTTAAACAATTGCTCTAATGGAAAAGGTTCGAGCTTGGATAATGTTAATAGAAGTGTGGAAAACACAACGCAACATAACCTCCAATTTTCGAGTGTGATTGATTTAAATACTTATGCCATACCAAGCATAATTAATGGAAGATTGTCAAGAGTTGATTCAAATCAGCTAGCAACTCTAAAAACACCATCATTAAAGGAAGTGAAACCAAATCCCTCTAAAATGACAGAGAGATCAATTCATAGTAAACACAAAATTTGTATAATTGGTGATAGCCATGTTAAAGGCTTATCTGACAAACTGTCTAGTGACCTTGACGAGTGTTTTAGTGTAATTGGTATCTCAAAACCCAATGCTAACACTGAAGGAATCATATCTTCTTTAAATCTTTTAACAGAAAATTTTACAAAAAATGACCTGGTTATATTCTATGGTGGAAGCACAGATATCAGCAAGAATGAATCTAAAAAAGGATTCTATTCCTTAAAAACTTTTGTACAAAGGATGATTAATACAAATGTTATACTATTAGGAGTCCCTCACAGATATGATTTGCCTTCTTATTCATGTGTTAATTCTGAAGTGAATCTCTTTAATAAGAGGTTATATAGCCTTCAGTTTTTCTATAAACATGTAAGGTATTTTAATTTCCCCACTGATAGAACTCAACATACTAATCACGGACTTCACCTAAATATGAAAGGAAAAAGTTGGATAGCAAATCACTTAGTGAGAGTAATTAAAGATTTGTTCCTACCTTATAGAGCACCTGTACTTACAGCGTTACCTTGGAGGAATGATAGTTTTAATAGTCTCCAGATTCTTACACAAAATAAGGTCAGCATGAATGATATTTCCTCAGTCACCAATAATGTGGACTATGAGAATCAGCTAGTGGAAATTAGTGATAATCGTGTGCATGATACCACATTGGTATCCACAATTGACTGTTTTAATCCAGGGATAACTGCTTTCCGTTACGAGCATGGAAACAATGTAACAGGTGATGACTCTTTATGCGAGACAGTTTTTGATTGTGTGGAGAATACTTCGAAGGGAAGAGTCGAATTACAAAAGGTGGATTATGAAAAACAAATAGGTCAAATTTATGACACTCAAGAGAACTCAACAACTCGTAAATCAACCAGACTAAAAAAACTTCCATCCTCTAGAAACTGTGATTTTTTATGGTAAATGTAAATTACAACAGTGTAAACCCGAATGATGTAAGTACTGATGGGGTAGATAAAATTACTGACAACTTAAGTAAGTTAACGGAAACAATATGTAACAATAGTTACAGTAATAATGTGCCACATATTAAGAGTAGTAATACTAAATCTCAAAATAATCCATTTCATCATGTTAAAGGAATAGTACCTCTAACTGTTTATCATCAAAACATAAGAGGACTGAGAGGGAAAGCAGACGAGCTCCTAAGCCAATTATACTTAAATTTTCCTCATTTACTGTGTTTCACAGAACACCATATGAACCACTTAGAGCTAAAACAAACTTCAATTAATAATTACAGTTTAGGGGCTGATTATTGTAGATCATTATTTGCAAAAGGAGGTGTTTGCATATTTGTTCAAGAAAAGTTCAAGTTTACTAATATTGATCTTACTAAATATTGTAAGGATAGAGATATTGAAATCTGTGCCATCATGATTCATCTGAATGCAAGAAAAATATGCATAATTACTATATATAGATCACCATCAGGAAATTTTGATATTTTTATGAATAAATTAGATTTAATTCTTAATAAATTATTTAAGGTCACAGTGGATTTCGTTATCTGTGGTGACTTCAATATAAACTTCCTAGTTGATAGTGAGAGGAAAAGACAACTTGTAGCTCTCCTACAAACCTTCAATTTAACAAGTGTGGTAAAATTCCCTACTCGCGTGCAACGTGGATCAGTTACATCTATTGATAACTTCTTCATTGACATTACTAAGGCAGGTAATTATTCTGTTAAACCTATAATAAATGGATTATCTGACCATGATGCTCAGGTTGTAATATTTCATTCTTTTAATTTTAGACCATCTATTAAGAAAAGTATATTGACGAGGAAAATTACTGATCTTGCAATAAATGACTTTCTTCTGAAATTAAGCCATGAGACTTGGGACACTGTTTTTTCTACTGATAATGTTAATGATATGTTCAATTCATTTTTAGACACGTACTTGAAAATTTTTTATTCTAGCTTTCCTCTTAAGAGTGTTTGTGCTAATAATAAGAATAAAAAAATTTGGGTTACCCCAGGAATTACAACTTCCTGTAAACGGAAAAGAGAACTCTACATAGCATGTAGAGATGGTAATAATCCGGATCTTAAAAACTATTATAACAAATATTGTAAAATTTTATCAGCTGTTATTAAAGAATCAAAAAAGCTAAACTACGCTTATAAAATCAATAAATCCCTGAATAAGAATAAAACTATATGGGATATAATTAAACTTGAAACAAATAGAACTAGCAGTGCCGATAAGGCTATAACTTTAAATATTGATGGGATCTCAATCACCAACCAACATGTGATAGCCAATGAATTTAATAAATATTTTCTATCCATAGCTACAAATATTAATATTGATCATAATGACCCTAAATTTCAGAAATTAGATGACATTACTCCCTTGCATTATTTATTGCAGTCTTTTAAGACTCCCTTCCCAAACATTAACCTAAAGTTCTTATCCTCCAAAGACGTTGAAAAGGTAATAAAATCTCTTAAGACTAAAAATTCGTTTGGATACGATGAAATATCAACCAAATTATTAAAAATTAGTTCACCTTTTATTAGTTCGCCCCTAACCCATATTTGTAATAAATCGATATCTTTAGGAATCTTTCCGGATCGCTTGAAATATGCAGTTGTCAAGCCCCTTTTTAAGAAGGGAAATAAATCTACTATTTCCAACTACAGACCTATATCTATTTTAAGCTCATTTTCAAAAGTAATTGAAAAGGTCTTGTACGATCAACTTCTGAATCATCTTAAGAAATATAATATTTTAGCAGATGAACAATTTGGGTTTAGAGAGGATTCCTCAACCAATAAAGCCATTTACAAATTAATTAATGAATCCTTGCAAGCTTTAAATAGTAAACTTCCAATAGGTTGTATATTCTTTGACCTTGAGAAGGCATTTGATTGTTTGAATCATGATATTTTATTGTCTAAACTGCAATTCTATGGTATAAATGGTAAAGCTAAAAAATGGTTTGAATCATATCTTAACAATAGATATCAGAGAATTCAAGTTTGTGAAAAAGATTCTAATCAAACTACCCATTCTTCTTGGGGAAAAATAACTGATGGTGTTCCTCAAGGCTCGGTTTTAGGCCCGTTGCTGTTTCTCATTTATATCAACGATCTGCCCAAAATCGTAATTAACAATGCTATATCCATTTTGTTTGCCGACGATACAAGCGTATTAATTAAAGGTTCAAATTCAGAAAATCTCCATATTAATATGAATAATGTTTTTAATCATTTATATAAGTGGTTTAGGACAAATTTGCTTTCAATAAATATTAATAAAACTCATAGTATGCAGTTTAAAACCAAAAATAAACTCACAACCGACGTAGATATTGTTTGTAACAATCGTCCAGTAACCACTGTGTCAAATATAAAGTTTCTTGGTATAAACATAATGGATACACTCAACTGGAGTTCACATGTGGAATGTATAATCCCAAAACTTACCTCAGCATGTTATATGATGAGAAGTATTAAACCATACTTGCCTCTAAAAACTTTGAAAACAATTTACTACTCTTATTTTGGCTCTGTTACGAACTATGGTCTTTGCTTTTGGGGAGTCTCGCCTCATAGTATAAAAGTATTTAGAATGCAGAAGAAGATAATTAGAATTATGATCGGCTGTAATAGTAGAGTTTCATGTAGAGATCTCTTTCGGAAATTGGAAATTTTGCCTTTGGCTTCACAGTATATTTTTTCACTCATGCTCTTTGTGGTTAATAATAAAAGTCTCTTTATTCCAAATTCACTAAATCATAATATAAATACAAGACATATTACAAATTTCTATCAACCCATAGCAAATTTTACGGTATATCAAAAGGGAGTGTATTATATGGGCATAAAAATTTATAATAATCTTCCTTCTTATATAAAAGAAGAGTCACTCAACCCTAAGAAGTTCAAAATTTGTTTAAAGCATTTTCTTTATCTTCATCATTTTTATTCTGTGGAAGAATATTTCCAATATAAATCATTATAAGTTAATGATTATGCATTCACTAGAATCACCTGTTGATCATCCAGTCTTTTATTAGTATTATTCTAGTCATTATTCTATTATTCTAGTCTAGTCGTTTAAGCAATTTCTGTGATATGTTCAAACTGACATTGTTTAAATTTAAACTGCATGTTTCATTAAATTAACTTATATGATTGGAATCTATCTGATTCTACATGTTTTGTTTCAATTTTTGTATTTTATACTTTTTTATTTATGTACTTAGTTCTTGCTCTATTAATTTTAAGAATAATCACTGTATGGACATGTCCTCACTTGTATTGTGGATCCATGCAACAAAAAATAAATGAATGAATGAATGACTCTTCGCATTCACCTCATGTCAATCCAAAGTCTAAAACAACCACAGCCTTCATAACAGTGCTCACACTTGAAGGATATTTTTACTTACCATCTACCATGATAACACTGCTCTAGAAATAAAAGCTGATATAGTACTATAAACATAATTTTTGTTAGGAAATGAGACAAGGACCCACTCATCATAAGAAGGGCAACATATTTCAGGTTTTATTTGAAACAAATACAAGGGCTGGAAAATAAGAAACAAACTGGCATTAACCTCTGGTAATTCACTTGCATCCAAACTGTGCATGAAGCACTGCCTCCAAAGAGGTTGGTGGTGCAGCAGGACTGTCCCTCACCTGTATTTTGGGGGTGCTCATTTGTGATTACCCTAAGTGCCTCTAGGCAAATGCTGGGATAGTACTGTGACAAGATATGCCTACTTCCTTCCAAATCTTCTCACATTAATCATTCATCTACCATCCTACCATTCGATGCTATATAGTCTAGCTACCAAGAGCATAATTAAAAAGAAAAAGAAAAACACTGCCAAATTGAGTGAAACGTCTGGAAACTCACTTGTGTCCAAACTGCGCATGAAGCACTGCCAAATTAAGTGCCGCATAGCGAAAAGCCCTGCTCTTCTCCTCCTGGTTGTTGCCTTTGTTGTCTAAACTGAGTGAGTTTCTGTCGAAGCAGTGGAATAAACTGTCAATGGCACCACAGAATTCCTTGACACGTAAGCAGTTCAGGTAACTCAGGTAATGCTGCACACAAAGCAAACAAGAATGTGATTAATACATCAGATATGAAGTTCTCATAGCAGTGACTATCAAGAACTCGTTCTTCTTGTTTGTGGTGCACTGTCGGTAGACAGGTACCGTGGTTCTGTAGACAGCAGATTCCTCTGGAACACTGGCATATGGCTACCATGCTACATGGCATCACATTCCAAATGGCTGTGATCTTAACGTAAAGCATTCGTTTTTATAAATGTAATTTCAAACTTTATGAATAAAACTGTCTTATAAACCATTCTTATAGCAAAACCTGAACACCAATTCTTTACTATAATATTCAAGTTTAAATATGCATAAGATGCCCTTGGAACAAAAACTGAGCAGTCAATAGTTGTTCAACTGTTAAATGAACTGCTTGTTGGGTCCAATACTGTTACTGCAGTGACCTATGCTCAGGCACCCCCAACTGGCTTCACAACCTCACAGCCTGTTTTTCTGTGATAATTTTCATTCATTCCTCCAATCTGCGTGTTGCCAACCTGAAAGGCTACATCTATGTTTGTCACTATAATGTTTACAGATTGCCCATTTTTCTATGCATGATAGGCAAATACCTGTATTTTCAGTCATTCATATTATGATTTTCTGGTTTATGGCACTGTGTGGTCTGGTATGTATGTACCAGTGTTACAGAGGAGTATATTGCCTCTATCTATTGTTTTGTATTATTAGTGTGAAACTTGATCTTTCACATTAAGGGAAGAACACAAATTGAAGGTATTTCAGAACAGGATGCTGTGGGAGAATGTTTGGATCCAAGAGGGAAAAACTAATAGGAGAGTGAAGAAAACTGTACAGTGAGGAGCATCAGAATTTGTACTCTTCACTAAATATTATTATATAATCAAATCAAGGAACATGACTAAGGAAGGAAAACAGTATCACCATCATTATGATTTCCCTACTGTTCCCTTTTTGTTAAAACCGTCTCAGTGATATTCTGTTGGTTAATGTATTTTAAGTTTGGACAAGCATATTTAACTATTTCAGTAAGAGACACAAATACCAGTCGGTCTCTGTAGCTGGCAACTCTTAGATTAGGTCAGTTGATATTAATGAATAATATTACAAGCAAACACATACTGCTTCAGCATATTCAGGATTGGCTTGAAGCAGCTCTCTGATTCGTTCTTGTAATTCTGGAGGTGAAAGTGCTGCCATTTCATTTGTCTGCATTAAGGATGCTTGCTGGGCAATGAAAAGTTCAGCCTGTCTCCTGGACCAACAGACTCGCTCAGGATGCATACTGCCACTCTTATGAACACTGAGACTGTAATGAGATCAGTTCCAAGAAATCAAAAGGGAAAGAAGAAGCAGTTACCAAAACAACAGCTTGAAGATACTGACTGCCATCAGGATACCAGAGTACACTCACTCAGAGAGTGTTGACTTATGTGACTGTGCATCTTGTCTGAGGAAGAGTTCAAGCTTCTCTCTTCCTCACCTCCTTTACTATAAAGTTTTCCTTTCTCATTACACATGCAGAATTATAAATTCAGATTCTCACTGACCCTACCTTTAGAAAAGTTCACATGTCTCAGTGGAGACACCTTGACTGAAAATGTCAACAGATCAGTATCATGGAAGGGATAAGCATATAATCCAGTTACACATTCAAGATAAACAGACATTGAGGAATATGGTACAACTGTAAATTATATACATATATATATATGTCATATATATATGACAACAAATATTTTACATATACGTATATTTTATAGACATATATTGTTATGTGTAGGGGGTATGCGTGATGAAATGATGGGTTACAGTTCAGATGATTGGATTTATTGACAGCTTGGTTACACGCACACTCTCAATTACACTCAAATCATAGCGCTATCGCTGATTTACATACACCTCATAATCCACTGTTGCGTCGCACACATAAAGTCTTACAAATCACAGTTAACAACCTTACAGGTGACCTTGTGTATCCCTGGTTCACTTCGCCTGCTTCCGCCGCTCTCAACTACTCGTAACTTGTACATATACTGCATACTCAATAGTCGTACTCAATCCTGCCTCAACACTGACGAGTACTCTCATTATGTAGCTTTCACCCTGACCACACAGAAAACTTGTTTACTGATTGCCTAGCAACAGTCGCTGCATGGGCTCCCGTTGCATGACGTCACAGCCTAGCAGGGAGGGGTGTTTACCGAGCGTTGTTACCCAATGAACACTCGTTGCTAAGGATATTCCTACGTAATGGTCTCAACAATTTCCATTGTTTCGTTGCTCAGCAATGGGCACTATATAACACGGCACAATATATATACTAGAATACAGCAATTAACAGAAATAATGTCTGCTGTCAGTTATATAATGAAAAGAGGCTGGCAGAGAACTCTGTGTCTCACATCTGTCAAACATGGACCAATTTTACATCTGGGTGAAAACACTGTAGGAATGTAGGATCTGAGGTTCTCTCTTCTGGCATATAACGGCGTGTAGGATCTGAGGTTCTCACAGCAGTGGCTATGAACAGTTCTCTCTTCTGGCATATAGCGCCATGTAGGATCTGAGGTTCTCACAGCAGTGGCTATGAACAGTTCTCTCTTCTGGCATATAGCGCCATGTAGGATCTGAGGTTCTCACAGCAGTGGCTATGAACAGTTCTCTCTTCTGGCATATAGCGCCATGTAGGATCTGAGGTTCCCACAGCTGTGGCTATGAACAGTTCTCTCTTCTGGCATATAACACTGTGTAAATTCACATTCTGGAGGAACATGTCACTTCCATCTTCAGTGTTGAAGGGTGACACCAAGATGACACAGGCAGAAAGCAGAGCTCTGCCTCCTGGTTACTCTGTTGACTTTCACTGGACTACATGGCCTTATGTCCCAGAAGACAGATTTCTTCATTTTAGGAATGACTTGAGATATCAAATGCTATCAAAAGAGATGTTACTGAGGCAAGTCAGCATGCAGTGAAATAAACGGAAGCGCAAACAAAACTGGAGGTGCTCATTTAAAGCATAACTTCATTTGTAACCGAAAACTGTACAAAAGTGGTATGATATTAAAGAAAGTATTATGTTCATTTATGATATTCCTTACATTTAAGGTTCCAGTCCACAGTTTCACCCCATCCCCAAGCCTCTTAAGTGGGGTTTCATTGTAATTAGATGTGATAAATCTAGTACACTGAGCTCATTTCTGCGGAAAAGGTAAAGGTAAAGCTGTCCCTGTGCTTAACGAATTAAGCACTATGCCATGAAGGCATATGGGGGAGTGGCTGTGTAAACTGCAAGCAAATGTGTTCTACCCTGTCTCATGATTATTTCATTCTTTAAAATATAATCTCCTTCTGCAAACTATTTATTCCAGTCTTTCTCAGAAACCGCTGCCTTTCAGTCATCATATATGGTTGCACAAAGTGGCTTCTCTGACCTGAAGGACTTATCCACAACTGCATCACATATTTGTCAGAATTAAGCCAATATTATATAACGATTCATTTTTGGACACAGACTGACATTTCATGAATTCCAGATACATTCAGTGCACAACAAACTCTTCAAATTAAAGAAAAACTTTACAACTAGTCTTTATGCTGTTTATTTTCTATTACCTTGGCAACTCTTGTCCAGACATTTGCCTTGATGCATCTTCAGAAACAGAAACTTTCTCATTAACACACAAACTAAATTCCATATCACTTTCAGCTTTTTCTGACTCTTCTGCGGTATCTGCAGCAACTGGTTGCTTAAACACACTCCTTTCATAGTACAACTTAAAGGCTTGATAAATTCCAACAACTTGTGAGAATGACAGTTTGTCAAAAAGTACCATAATCCTCCTTATGTACAAGCCTGAAACAATTTAAACATTATGTAAGATTTGAGGTCCTTCTGGCAGTGACTATAAAGAATGCTGTCTTCTGGGATGTGGAGCTGCGCAGATCTTGTGTGAACTGACATTTCGGAGGAATATATCATCTCCACCTTCAGGGTAGAAGAATTCATGAGCGAGGAACCAGCGTGAGTACGAGGCTATTCAATTTAAACATTTTCCTTATAAATGAGTTCAGTGGGTTAAATTATTTTATACAGCACAAAATGATATGAATAAATTAGGTTTTCAAACAAAGTATGAGCTATACTGCCACTCCAGTTCTAAGAAAATGGCAGCTACTGTCCAGAAACAATATGATCTGTATGATCCTTCAACAGAAAAGGACACCCTACTCAAGTGAGGAATGAGAGGTGACTTGGTCATTTCTTTCCTGTATTGAAAGTAACAGCAAAGAAATTATGAAATTCTGGTTTAGAATAAGAAAAAGTAATTTGAGCTAAAATTCAATTTTCCTTTGAAACTATTAAATTAAAAAAAATTCCGAGACTTCAGTTATATCAAGCAGAGAGATCATTTAGTGAAGGATTATAGATGGATTTTGTTGCCCGCAGACTGGTGCACCATGAACATTCATCGACATCACAAAATTGCGGACCTAAGGAATTAGATTTGGGATACTCTTTTGTAGGTAGCACTTTCTGGCATGGCTGCATGATCCTCCAGGCCCAATGTTGGCAAACTTAAGTGTATGGGTGCATGCACGCAGGCACACTCATTGTACTCTGCGTTCCGCTTTACTCATGTTCTCTCAACTCATTCCTACATAAATGATTAAGGAGTTGCAGCTATCCACCAGCTGCAAAGGCGGTGCATAGTATTACATTTTGCTCTGGATAATGAAACTTACACACAAGTGGTGTCTAAATGGAAAACGAGTTATAAATATACCAACCAATTAAGGTTAAAAGCACAAATGACTTAATTGCCAAAATGCCTAATTGTGTCTTTTGGGATATGGCACTGTGTAGGAGATTGCTTGCTTTACCTCCAACCCTGATGACAGAGGCAACACATTCCTCCAAAACAGCAATACTACTTCTGCCAGACCACATGGTATTATTCCAGAAGACTACTTGTCACAACATTTTCTGCTCTGCTAGTTTCTTAAAATAATTACCTCACTCTGTCTCTAGACTGCAAATGCAAAAGATGTGGAGCAGTCTTCTGCTTTCAGCCAAGGGTTTCACATTCACATATTCTTTGGTTGTATGAGTTCTTTGTGTTTACTAGCACAGGTAAGATGAGTATATTTGATCTGTACCCAAAATACTTACCAATAACACTGCTTTTGTGAACAATAGGTGGAGCCATATGCGAAGGTTCCACCATTAAACGTCCCAAACTCTGTATGAGGTCAAGGATACTAGCCACACCTCTCTGGTGAGCTTCTAATAATTTCTTCTCAAAGTTCTGTATGTGAGCAGTGAGCAAAGCATACTCGCCTGATGACAATATTCCTCGCAGCTCACTCAGTTCTAAATCAGGACACTGCAAATGTTTAAAATTAATGTTTATAAATGAAATACCAAAAGAAGAAATATTAGTTTTCCACATCCTTTGCTCTCTAGTCACAGAGCCCAATGGTTTATGACACTGGACAGATCCTTGACAGTTCAAACCAGTTCACAGTGTTAGCACCCATTTTCTTAACTCCATTTGACTTGGTCTTCAATATCTCACCTTCCTAGAGTTTCCCACCCAAAACACTGTGTCCTGTCTCGTCTTCCTTCTCCAAGCTGCACTTTCAATCATTTACTGCTTCAGAGTTGAATACTCTTAACAAAAATGGCCAAGCTGAGCTACCCACAGACAATTAAACAAAGACTCTGCTTGCATGGCACTTAGATTTCATTTATTGGCATGGCTGCATGTAACTTCAGTACTCAAGTTCATATTCTTTTTAACACCTGCAATATTTCTACAGGTCTGGCATTATAATTTACACAGTGTGTCAACATAATCAATAAGCTAGCTTCGTTCCAACACACAACTTCAACTCTCTTGCTGCACATTATACGTGGGTGAGTCAAATGAAAACTTTAATGTGTAATAAAAAATCGAAATTTTGTGCCATTATCCTGTAAGTTGATAAGCGTGCTACAAACAGTGTGCAGAATGGCCTGTAGGTTGCAGCATAGTGCAGATGCACGAACACCGTCACAGCACCAGTATAAGATGGCTGCCCCACTTGAGACTTGCACCAGCGAAGAACAGCGTTCTGTTATTCGGTTTTTGTGCAGTGAAGGTGCACTGAAATTTATCGAAGAATGAAGTTTCAGTATGGTGATGCATGTTTGTCACAGCAGCAAGGGTACGAATGGAGTAGGAAGTTTGCAAATGGTGTGACTTCGGTGGAAGACGCTCCTCGTCAGGGTCAGGCACATCGAGTTGTGACTCCAGAGAACACTGCAGCAGTTGAAGCCCTAGTGAGGGAAAACCGCTGAGTGACACTGAATGAAACTGCAGCAAGTTTAAACATTAGTCATGGTTCAGCACACCACATTGTGCACGAAGTGCTTCAGTTTCACAAAGTGTCTGCAAGATGGATGCCACGGCAGCTGACTCCTGAATTGAAAGACCGACGTATTGATGCTTGTAAAGAACTTCTGCGGCGCTTTGAACGAGAAGGTGATGACTTCTTTGCAAGAATTGTTACTGGGGATGAAACCTGGGTTCACTTCCATGAACCGGAAATGAAGAGAGCGAGCAAGGAATGCGCCATTCCTCATATCAAAAACCGAAGAAGTTTCGAACACAACCATCAGCAGGTAAGGTTATGCTGACTCTCTTTTTGGACGAAAATATATATATATATATTGTAACGTGTTTTGTTACTGATCCTACTTCTGACACCAATGTAACGTGTTTCGTTACTGAATACGCCGTAGAGATCGTTAATTGGTTTATTCAACAATCTACAAGAAACGGCTACAATTAATTATAACACAGTTGCGGGTTTCCACACTTTACAAACCCTACAACCAAAGTCTTCACGTACTAATAACGCGGGAGCTATACAAATCTCCCTGAACTACACACTCCAGGTATAACTGTACTACAGCACTCACTAAGTCTCGAAAGCACACAATAAGTCTTCCGCTCGCTGACTTCTTAGTTTTCGCACACTCGCAGGCTGCTACCTGGAGAACTGTTGATAACACACTCACTCGACTACTACTTAACTCGGCGGCTGTCACATTACAACTGACTCGCAGCCGCTGTGCAGTTCCCTTATATAGCCGCAGTGCTTGCCTGTTGTGTAATGAGTGCCACGTCATCCTGTTACGTCACCGCTGTTGACTCGCGTTGCATAGCTACCAGGTTGCGGGGGCTCGGACAACTTCGGCTCCGCTCGGCTCACTTCGGCTCCGCTCGTGACGTCACCGCGGGGAGAGTGGCGGGGTGATGACTCGCCTATTACGCGAGCGCTACGTTACCGCCACGTGCCGCTGGGGAGGTAGGGGTCCTTCGTTGCGCAACATGTCACAATATATATATAAGAAGGATGTAAACCAGGACCAATTAAATTGATATTTATAAAGTTAGTTTGAATTTTCAGTTGACCTAATCCTTCGAGCTGCACTATGGCCCTCGGGTCGAGTCAATCTCTAACAGAAGTGAGTATCAGGAATCTTCCTGGAGGTGATGTGCTGTCGGCCGGCGTGTAAGGCTGACAAACACAGCGCCATCTCTGAGCCCATTTTCTAAGAAATGTGGGAGCCCCGACGTCTCACAATCATATGGGCTCCCACGGCATGTTACACGGATAGCTACCTGTATGTTCCTTTCTAATAATACTGTGTTACTATATGCAAAACTTCACTAATTTGTACCCGCTTGTCTAGTCAGTACCTTGCAGGTGAAGCACAGTGTTTGCTTGCAGGACACGCAGGTGGGCCAACTGAGCCGGACGTCTGCTCCCCTCACTCTATTGGTGCTGCAGATTAAGAATAATGGAATTATTTTTATTATTCTCATCATCGTAATTATTTGTGAGCACTGCTGTTGCCCTCATTGCCACAGATTTCCTTACAAAGTAAACCGGATTCGACATTCCATCCCCAGTGACATTCTCTTTGTTAAGCAACCATAAATATGCCCACATTTCACATGTTCACTGCTGTTTATTTGCCTGGCAACAATTTAATGCATAAAGCCATTACTGGGAGTAGAAACTTAGCTCGTCACATCCAAAGACGACGGCCACAACACACCCAATGGCAGCGATGGACCACCGCCACAGCATAGACACCCGCGAAGGGGACATCGCAAAGGAAAATTACCGGGAAATCGGAAACGCGGACGACGGCGATAGCACAGACACCGGCGAAGGGGACTGCGTCAGAGTCAGGTGCTATCCTATAAATATCTCGGACTGAGGCAAACCACGAAAAATTTCAGTCAGGTTAGCCGATGTCTCGGACTATATTCGAACCGACCACCACCCAAATACAGGTCTGAATCGTCAACCCTTGACGTAACGTGGCCTCACAAGAAAGAGTGACTATTTCCTTAAACAGTATTAACCGGGTGGTTTTCCTAATGAAGACAGTGTGCTTTCTGTATTGTAGGAACTGAATTTTTATGTACTTTTGCATTAGTTTTATGTTTGAAGTGTAGACAATAAATGTCATATTATTCCGAGAACGTATTTATCTGATCATGTTTACATGAGTCAGAGCCACGCAAATTCTCAGAAAGCTCTCAGAGTGACAGATGTAAAACGCAGTTAGTCTGCCTTCAGTGGAATCCTCAAGTCCACCTCCTGCCAATGAGGAGGAGATTCTAAGAGCGAGTGGAACAAATTCGACATATCCAATATGGCGTGAGGATATCTGTCACGTGACATACCCAACACGTAACAATATATATATACATACATGTGATGTTTGTTGTTAATTATATGGAATTGTTTACAGAAAATTC